TGTCATTTGAATGTGAATGATAATAAAATTGATTGATATTGATGATAATGTTAGTGAATGTTTTCTAAATGGATTCAATTCATTTGGTTGACATATCCACTTGTCAACTTGTTTTTTTTTCATATATTTATATCGATAATGATTGATGCTGATTTTGTGATTGTATTGTTGACCATCTCATCATCACATCCTATCATCATCATCATCATCATTATAGATGGATGGACAAGTTGGCCAAAAAAAAAGTGTGAAACTGTGTGTGTGTGTGTAGATTATTACACACACATACAGTCATATTAAATGGGTCAATATAAATCTATTACATATGTGTGATTGAAATAATAATGGATCGATTTTTAATTCAATAAGCAAAAAAAAAATCATCATCATTAATGATTACTACTATGCTGTGATCATCATCCTACGCATCATTGAATCTATATCCATCGATTATGGTCATTACTAATGAATTGGCATATATACTCTATATATATATAAAATGATTGCCAAGAACAACAACAACAACAACAACAAAAAACATTGACCGATTATGAATTTATTTGGTGGATAATCATGGAAAATTATTTTTTTGTTGTTGTTGTTGTTGTTCAATGCCGCATCATCATCATCATATATATGATTACCCTCAACATTTTTATAACAACAAACAACAATGGTTCATCATCACTGATTATCAATTGAATGGCAATGTTATTTTGATGATGATGATGACAAAAACGATCCAAATTTTTACAATAGATTTGGAATGATTATGATTATCATCATCATATATATAGCTACTAAAACTTTCAATGGTCAACATAAATTCAAATCGACAGCAGCAGCAGCAACAAAAATCATGAATGGCGCCGTTTTGTTACAACAACAATGGTTCCTTTTCAATTTCAAAAGCCACACCGAAAAAAGAGACTGAGAGACTGAGACTGAGAGAGAGAGGACATTAGAAAAACGATGATGACGAGCAGCAATCTATTCATTCATTTGAGAACAATTGAGTGGTAGTAGTGATAAACGTTCATTTTGCTTATGTTGTTGTTCGAACAAACGACGATGACCGATCATCATCATCATCATCGTCATCGTCATCATTGCTATGATGATCATTCGTAATCATTATTGCCATGATGGGCTATTTATGCGAATATAAACAACAACAACAACAACAACAATCATTGTGACCATCATCATCATCATCATCATCATTGTTGTGATAAATAAATCATCACTATCTTTGACCACTATTTTTTTTTTTTTTTTTTTTTTGGTGTTCCAATGCACACACACACACACGCCAAAAAACATTGTTTTTACGAGTGTGTGTGGCCCTTTCTTCTTTGTTGTTGTTTTGTTGTTGTAATATCCACTTTGTCTCTATTGTATTTTGGAATGGGCCATCCTTTTTTATTTGGCTTCTGTATTCTGAGATAATCATATAGCATATATACAAAATCCTATATGATGATTATCATTATAATAATTAATAATTCATTCATTTGTTCAATGGACGTTTATTTTTTGTCTGTTTGTTTGTTTGTTTACCTGGCCCAATTCATTTCAATATTCTTATTAGCGAGCGACAATCTTTTGAGAAGCTTAATAGTAGTAGCCACATTTGTGTGTATTAATCGCAATTCCTATGTAATACGGATTCTACACACACACACACACACAATGACCGAACAAACCGATTATTCTAAAGTCAAATAGACAGAGAGATACATTGCCCATTCATAATAATAATAGTCCATTCTGCCTTATAATCATTGTGTTTTGTTTTGTTTTGTTTGTTTGTTTTTGTAAAGGAAATGAATTTTGTTTTGAAACTAGGGCAGTTAAGTTGCTTTTTACATATATATATACGAAACAAAAAAAATGAAGGGACCAACCTTACAAGGTAAACATTTTTGTATGTATAAGACACACAATAAGACAATGATGACCAGAAACAGGAAACCTGTTGCTTTTGCAACAAAAAAAAAATGTTTGTTTAACCCCAACACACACACACACACACAAAGATTTCGATCCAAAATCAAACCCACGAGCCTACGAACAATATATATATTGGAATTGAATTGAATATAAAATTGGTATATATTGTGCCAAAAATATTCAATTTTTGCAATGTCGGTGGCCATCCGTAAAATGATTGAAAATCAATGTTGCGAAACAAAATACATAATTTGTCCAAACTAATAAAATAAAATAAATATATTGGGTTCATTTAGTTTCGATTCAATGCATCATCATCATCATCATCGATTGGTCATTGGATGGAAAGCCATCAGCCACAGTAAATCACGAATCTTGATCATCTCCTTTGATTATATATATATAACCCGGTGATTTCATTTCATTTGTTCTGCTCGATCAGTTCACTATATAATCACAGACACACACACACACACAAACATTGACCAATGCAGTAGTGATTCAATTATCGTCGTTCTCTCTCTCTTCTTTTTTTTTTGTCAATTTTGTATCCAAAAAATGAAAAAAATGTGGCCCGATTGTATTCACACAAATGAATGAATCGTTCCACTTTGTTCAAAAGCTCCCATCGTTGTCCATCAGACAAATGTTGTGGTTCAAATTGAATTAACTTTTGCGTTTGTATTTAACAACAACAACAACAACATTACATGACACATCATGATGATGATTATGATGGACAAGAAAATAAATTGAAAAAAAAAATTTTCCACTCATAACATAGAAATTGCCGCGCAAACAAGGCACAAAATTGTTCGTCCGTTCAAAATGAATGAATGAATGAACTACCCGTATATTGTAACATAACAACCGTTAAATATTACACGCCCTGGAGGGATAACCGGAATATTGGCATGAATATCAGAAATCTCTTGGAAGTGTAAAGCAGATTTACTTCAAAATTAGGATTTCCTAGAAAGAAAATCCAGCTTCAACATTTTCACTACCAGGAACATATGTCAATCTTAAAATTGTACTGAAAGCAACCTTAATGCCAATTTAAGATTCTGAGTGTTATGATTTTGAAATTGAATTGATGTACTTCAATGGTTTATGATCAGTTCAGATTAAGAACTCTTTTCCATTACAGATAATGATGCCAGTAAAGCAATCGACTCAACAATTGCTAAAGCATTCTTTTCTGTGGCAGAATAGATTAACTTGGTAGGAGTCAGTAATTTCCGTGAAAAAATATCCCACAGTAACCATATCTTGATCATCATCTAATTCGGTATCTTTCTGTTTTAATACAGCTCCAATACCAACATTTGAAGCATCTGGACAATAAGACATTGGATGGAAAGCCATCAGCCACAGTAAATCACGAATCTTGATCATCTCCTTTGATTATATATATATAACCCGGTGATTTCATTTCATTTGTTCTGCTCGATCAGTTCACTATATAATCACAGACACACACACAAACACAAACATTGACCAATGCAGTAGTGATTCAATTATCGTCGTTCTCTCTCTCTTTTTTTTTTTTGTCAATTTTGTATCCAAAAAATGAAAAAAATGTGGCCCGATTGTATTCACACAAATGAATGAATCGTTCCACTTTGTTCAAAAGCTCCCATCGTTGTCCATCAGACAAATGTTGTGGTTCAAATTGAATTAACTTTTGCGTTTGTATTTAACAACAACAACAACAACATTACATGACACATCATGATGATGATGATGATTATGATGGACAAGAAAATAAATTGAAAAAAAAAAATTTTCCACTCATAACATAGAAATTGCCGCGCAAACAAGGCACAAAATTGTTCGTCCGTTCAAAAATGAATGAATGAATGAATTTAAATCAAATTTCACGAATTTCAACACACACACACACAGGCTAAACACTTGGACACGGAATGATTGGATTCGGATTCGAATTTCAAACTAATTTCAAATTCTCCCATCATTTTTTTTTTCATTTGAAAATGTGCAATTGGCAAATGACCATTTCATTCACTATTTTAACCTCGATGACAGCACAGCAAAACACACACACACATACACACGACACGACATTTGATTATGGTCACCTCAATGTGTTCATTGTTTTTGTTTTTTGTTGTTGTGTCCATTACTCAAACTGAATGACGATGAGATGATGATGAGAATCATGCGATCGATTATTTGTTGTGATGATGATGATGATGATATGGCCAATCATCATGATCATTGATTACATCACACATATCATCAGACAACCCTTCTTCTTCTTCAACACAAAATTCCGTTTCTTCATATTATTCATTCACACACAATCAATCAATCAATCGATTGATTGTTTGTTTGATTGACACGATGATTGCGGATGCACATAAAGGTCATCTTATCTTACCCATCATTCACTAATTTTCTGTGCGTGTGTTTGTATTCATTCATTCATTCTTTTTTTTTATCTACCGATGAAAATTGGATTGAAATGTCATTGTCTCTTTTTGTCAAATTTTAGAATATTTGGATCCAAGTTGACTTTTTTTTTCGTTTCGTACATAGCCGGTTTTGTATATTCATTATATATACACTGTCATTATCATTGAGCCATGAAAACGGTGTCCATCAACGGTTAGTTTAAGGGGAGAAGGTCCATTCGTGTTATCATTCAGAGCATGCAGAAGTAAAATGCAATGTTCACATTGATCGATGATGATGATGATGATGATGATGGCTTAGCTATGCTTCATTAATATTATCATCATCATTCTATAATAATAATAATAATCACTGCAACAAGTAAACAAACAAACTAACTAACTAACTAACCAACCAACATAGATTGAGATAGATTGAATTGATCGTTCAACCTTATCATACACAAGGTCTAGGTGATGAAAAAGAAGAAGAAGAAGAAGAAGAATCATGAGAAACATTCATATATATAGAGAGACAATGAATGAATGAAAAAATCATCAATCCATTTGACTAATTGCTTTTTTTTTGCTTTGTTTTATTTTATTTTTTTTTATTGTTTCTTAATACAGGTGATTGGCGATGCTACAGACAATGGAGATATTGAGCTTTCTATAATTGATGACAATGTTAATAATGATGATGATGATGTTGTTGTTAATAATAATTCAACCGATCAATCCAGTATTCCTATTAGAATTGAACCTGGAACTAAAAAATTGATTTTAGTACGAAAATTAGACAAAGAAAGTGTGGAAGGAGAATCCAGTGTCACCATTGCTATACGATGTAGACCGAAACGATTGTTATTGGATAAAAGGAAATTGGCCAGAAAATTATCGTCAAATGATCAACATGAATCCAATTGGAATCGTGTTGAAAAACGAATTGCCACCGATGAATCGATTGATCAATCATATTTGGCATACGATACGATTACCGATACTACCAGTGATGATGACATTATTATTCCAATCAGAATTCTGGTCACTGACGCTAATGATAATAAACCAGAATGGCAAGGCAACGTTCCGTACTCGGTTAACATAAGTGAAATGTCATCGCCTGGTTCTGTCGTGTTAACTGGCATTAGGGCCATTGATAACGATCAACTTGGTCCATATTCGACGGTTGAATATTACGTTGAGCCTGGTCCATATTCTCATCTGCTTCGATTTGCTTCACCGTTGGAAGGAACGTTGCTTTTGGCTGCTCAACTCGATTATGAAACACTGCCAAAATTCTGGGTGTCGATTCGTGCTCAGGATCAAGGAAATCCACCCAACACGGCCGTTACAAAAGTGAACGTTCAAGTGATTGATGCAGACGATCAGAATCCACGATTTGAAGTGGACAAATACACTGCCATATTGGGTGAAGGACAAATAACGGCACATCCGCTTCAAGTGAAACCAAAACCAATACGAGCTGAAGATCCTGACCGAGCGATACAATCACAGATTGTTTACGAATTCAACTCGAAAGATGAAGATAGTCGTGAGAATGCTTATTTCAAAATCAACGCTCAGACTGGCCAAGTTAGTTTGAAACGTCCGTTGCATTCGTCAGTAGCACTACCAATCACGTTGGTCATCCGTGCGACTCAGCTGGATAATCGTGATCGTTACGCTTTGACCACATTGACCATAGTGAGTAAACGAGATCAAGTGATGCCTGAATTGCGTTTCTTGCATAGCAATTATTCGACATCACTTTTGGAGAGCACACCACCAGGCCAGGTGGTTTTGACCGTTCAAAGTAGTCGACCAGCCAGTACTTCCAACCAACCATTACGATTTCAGATTCTCGATGATGAACATGGCTATTTTAGTATCAAAAACAGTGGTGAGATTGTCGTCAATCGAATGCTCGATTATGAAAAACATCATCGATATTCGTTCCGCGTGATGGTTACCGATGGTCTTCAAACCGACCTTGCACGTGTAACAATTGACATAATCAACGTGAACGAACATGACCCAGTGTTTGGTCAATCGACCTATGTGTTTCATGTGAATGAAGCTCGTCTTCGATCATCACCAGTGATTGGTCAGATGCAAGCCACTGATGCCGATGATGGTGACCGTGTCCAATTATCATTGTCTGGACCACATGCTGCAGCATTTGCTTTATCCGCTGATGGCACATTACGACTTCGAAGTCTTCGTTTGGTCAACACAACCGAATGTCATATGATTGCTACAGCCACCGATAGTGGAACACCATCACGAAGTTCTTCTGCTTCAGTGGTGGTCAAATTTGCTTCTGCATTATTAAAATCATTGGCTGGAAGAACATTAGAATCATTGTTATTTGAATTAGAGCATCAGACTGATCTGTCATCATCGCCAGCCATATCACCTACTGCCGTCGATATTCTTCAACATTCATCGGCCAACATATTCTCGGCATCCACAAATTCAACTGCCCTCGTATTGGTGATAGTATTGGGTGTTTTGCTTGGCACATTATTTATAATAATCGTGGCTCTTACATTGCACGTGCTAAAGAATCGAAAATATGAATCACGACGATCATCAAATTGTTCGCCAGTCACGTTACATCAACGTCACCATATTAGTTCATCTTCTGCATCAAGTGCATCCTCTTCATCGTCGTCGTCGGATTTATCGTTATCCGGTGGTCACCACCACCATCATCATCATCATCATCCCCACCACGCTCATCACCAGCACATTCAACACCAGCATCATTGGCCAACCAAAGATGATTCACCTGAACGGTTGTTTTCGGCAAACAAATCACTGTTTCAACCCACTGCCGTATCAATGGTCCGTTCGAACAAAGTTGTTCCATTAGATTCTAATACTAGTAACAACGATGAGTATACAGAAGATATTGATAGTAATGCGAAAAAATTGCTTGAAAACCTCAGCCCTGTTAAACGATCCTTGACGACGACAACGACAACCATGCCCAACAGTAATAGCTCAATCGAACAACCAGATAGTGCCATTTCATCCGACATTTCCTGTCAATGGTCAGACAGTCATAAGATTAGCACTCATTCTTCTCAAGCCAATAATTCTCGTTCGCAATCGGAATTTAATTCCGATTCTACCCATTCTGATATAAACATCAATCCGATTAGTACATGCAGTCCGACTCCTGATTCTAATGCATCGCGTATAAGCGTAATTCGGTGGCCACAAGGTTCTATACCTAGAAGGGTGAAGAAATTAACATGGAAAGATGAACAACGCAATAACCATCTGGATCAGCTGTACACTAGCAATTCAATCGTGCAAGCACAGGTATGTCATATTACTAATATTTCGTTTATATCCATTAAAAATTCACAAATTATTTTTTTACACAGATTCCAGTCAAAACAACCAAAACGAAAACATTAAGCGGTCATCTACTGACCGGTACGACATCATTGGCTACACCACCTTTAATGAATGGACATGGTCATTACCATCTACAACATCATCATCATACGGGCAGTAATAGCAGTAGCAGCGGAAGTTCAGCAATAGCTTCAACAACCACAACGATACGACATCATCAAACACCTCATTATCCTATGGCTACAGCATCATTGGCCATTGTGGACAAATCAACAACAGGGACACAGTTCAAACAGCAGCAGCAGCAGCAGCAGCAGCCAAACGATCCAACAGCTTTGCCCGATTTGACTGTCTATTTCTAGTTTGGTCATTCTTTCACTCAATTCATTTGTTCATTCATTCATTCATTCATTCATTCATCTTGTTGTGATATTTATTATTCCATTTTATACAAATTCCACTTCATCGGGCAATCAAAATCTATCATTATGATTTAGCCCAAGCCTTAGCACATACACATACACATACACACACACACACACACACATATGCAATACAATGCTCTTTGTACATAACATTTTTATCATCATCATAAATTCACAGTAATAAAGTTACCATTTTTTTCCAAAAACACACACATATTAAAAAGTATATGCAAGTGAAAAAAAAGTGCAATGCCCTACCATCATCAAAAGATTTAAATAATTAATTACATATAGAGATATTACGTGAATCCTGGGAGTCATGAGAATTAATTAGCCTGTTCCATTTATTCAGGTAATCATAAAATCCGGAAATCTGTAAATTATAGCCAGGAATCACTGCTTTTCTCGGTGATTCAATGATTCCTGTTCTGTTGTTGGCACATTCTTGACACGTCGTCGTCGTATGGTCATCAACATTATCATCATCATCATCATCATCATCACTATTTATAACCAGGCAATAATTTGGTACTACCATTGTTTTTGTTTCATTTGATCCAAAAAAAAAAAAGAAAAGAAAATTTCATGATGAATTTTTTTTACTATTTTTAAAATAACATCTGAACACACTGCGCCATCTATTGTTGATTGTTTCGGTTTTCAATCGATTTTATTATTTGTTGATCAAAAAAAAATGACGTGTACCGGATAATAACCGCAGTGTATTATTAATGATGATGATGATGATTTCTTGTTAATCGAATCATCATTTGGATTGTTATTAGTTGAATTTTTAGAATACCATACCGGTAAATCGACAGAATTTTTTTTCATTTTTATTTTTTTTTTTTGCTTTCATTCATTCATTCATTCATCATCATCATCACAGTCATATCGAATGCCACTACAGTTTGTGATGATGATGATGATGATGAATTATAAATAGCATCCGTATTCATTGTTGGCCATCAACAACAACAACAACAACAACAATCAATTCCTCAACTTTTTTTTCAGCTGCTGCAATTCTACTTTGAATGTTTAAGTGAATGATCACATCCATTCATGCTGTTTGTATATTAAAGTGATGAAATGTTCAATGTTGGCCTGATTCCTCTCTCTCTCTTTTTTTTTAGATTTCGACATTCGCGGCATGGCATGATCAACAACAACAACAACAACAACAAAATGATGCCTGTATTTTGTCACCAAGAAGAAGAAGAAGAAAAAAATTTTTTTTTTCCTTTTCACCGACAATAATTGTAATAATAATGATGAAGATGAGAATAGAATAACATATATCTACATAGCAAAGACAATCCTACATTGTGTTCATATCCATATATTCTTTACTCCATTGTGCTGCTCATCATCCAGAATTGCAGCAGTATTCGGATTGATTGGGAAAAAAAAACAACGACAACGACAACGACGACGTTGGTGTGTTAGCCAACAACCATTGAAAAATTCTTGTGATTATTCATTGATGGGAACCAAACAAAAAAAAAAAAAAAATCAACTCGTTGATCGTATGTGTGTGTGTGTGTGCCTTTTATTACCACCAATCAATATCCATGTGTGTGTGTGTTTTCGTGTTTTTTGTGTGTCTTTCTAATTGAATCTTTTGATCAAAGTGTTTTTGCCTTTTTTTGTGCCTTTAACCAAAAATGGTCCAGATTATCGATTGCTCAATCTGAATCAACAATTAAAAAAAAATAAATTACAATGACCATCATCAAATGAACACTGTTAATCGCGTGTGACATCCAAAAAAAAAAAAATAAACCATCTCGAAAAAATGTCTAGAGCCGAAATTGAAATGGCACCGACCTTTACGGTCAAGCCAAAAATTCGTGAAGAAGAAGATGGTAATCGTTTAGTGTTTGAATGTGAATTGAATGCCATTCCACAGCCAGAAATTCGTTGGTACAAAGATAATGTATTCATCCGTAATGGACATGAATTCCGTATTACATATGGCATATATCCTACTACTAAACCACATCATTACATTGCCACATTAGAAATGAACGATGTTTATGAAACTGATGCCGGAATGTATCGTGTACATGCAAAAAATCTAATGGGTGAAGTATCGGCGTCCATTAAGCTCAATTTTGATCGTAAGTATATCGTATATCGTATTTATTATTCAAATTCAATATTAATTAATGATGAACACCTAGACGTGCAATAATCTCTTCTTCTTCATCTTCTTCTTTTTGTTTTGGCCATCAGATTATAGAATCTATAGACACAACAATTGTGCTAAGAATAGCAAACAAACAAACAAAAAAAACAGATGCTTACCCTTTTACATTTTCACATAATCCATTTGTTGTCAGTAAAGTTGAGTTGCGCTGTTTTGTTCGATTCTTTCATTTTTTAATACTCTAAAAACTATTTAGAGAAAGAATTTCAATCATCCGATGTTTTTTTGTTTTTGTTTCTCTTGTCTTTTCAAATATCAAACATTAATCAAATAAATCGTTCAATCTAGTATCGATCCTATCCAAAATGACTACTATTAATTGCAGATGCGTTAATTGTAGACAAATTGATTGATTATAGCAACAATAGTGATTGATTAACCGAAAGAGAAACATTGATCCCCAGATCATACCATACCATACCATACAAATCCAATCGACTAATTGAGTTTTTTCATTTTTTTTCTACCCTTTTACAGCTGCCGATCAACCTAAATCAAGGTAAGTGCCGATGTTTGACTTTCAAAAAAACAAATTTTTGTGCTGCTGTTAATCAAACACATTGGCGTCATTAAATGTCAAAAAAAAAAATACAGACCAGACATCCACGATGATCACATATTTTGGCCTGTAATAATCGTCTGTGAATCAGGAAAAAAAATTATAAAAATCTGGTGTAACATAAAATAAATGATGATGATTAACGTCACACAATTCTTTATACAAATTATTTTCGTAAAAAAGTGGTGCCATCTGTCACTAGTATAATTAACAATTAGATTTTTAAAAATTTCATTTTATCCTCACCAGAGACCGTAATTGTTATATTTTATATTGATGATGACTGAATCAATCAGACAAATATGGAATCTATGTCACACACACACACACACATGTTGATGATGATTATAATAATAATAATGAATACTAAAACGCTAATAATAGTTAAACGTTAGGGAGAAGTGACGCTAAAAATAACGTGATAAAAAGAATAAAAAAAAATGACGATAACCGAATTATTGCAAACGAAAATTTTTTTTTAAAATGAAATGAAAGGTACACATTAACACAGACGCGCACACACACACAAATGTAGTACTAAATATCATTTCGTTTGATTTGAAATGAATTGATTTGAAATAAAAATCAATCAATAATTGATAATTGTATGCCATTTTCTCTCTCTCTATAATAATTTGGCATCGAAACTAGATCGATTGGTTGACAAAAAAAAAAATTCTCTGAAATCGATATGACCTTCTCTTGCGAGAAAGAGAGAGAGAGAGAATAAATTCTTTATGAAAAAAAAAATTTTCCACTCATCATTTTGCATCAGAATTTATAGCTTTCTCTAGTTTGTCTGTTTTGTTTTGTTTTTATTAGTCTGTTTTGTTTGTTTGTTTGTTTGTTCTTGACAAATTACAAACTCTGCAAACACTAACATATACTATATATATGTAGCAATCAAGAATGGATTATGGAAAAACAGAAAAACGGATTGTCATCAAACAAACAAAAGGGAACAAAATTCTTGGCTCGATTATAAAACGAAAGAGTTGTGTTTGTGTGTTTGTGTGTATAGACGGTAAACCTGTATGTTGTGGAATGAAAGTTTTTTTTTTTGCATTCATTCATTTTTTTACTTATTTTAGGCAACTTTTTCAAACTTTTCAATGATATATGGTTCTCTTTTTTTTGAAGGACAACCACATACAGGGGCCATACACACATAAGGTGAACATTTTCGTTTGTAGTTTGTCATTATCTTTATGTGAATGTGAACATTCTGCACTATTCAATCATCATCATCATCATAAATTTTTTTCGAAGTCAAATTCTCTTGCCACATTCTTTCCCGTTCTCGAAAGCTTGTTAGCATCAATCTATTAACTTGCCATCATCATCATGATCATGATCACTGTAGAATTTGATTTTGGCCCAACAGAAAGTTATTATTATTCATAATGAGAAGAATTATGCTGATTATGATGATGATGATGATGATGATGCTTAGTAGCCAAAAAAAATTCTGAGGCCTATGAATACTGTGTGTTTGTATATGTTTCTTGTCAAATAAAGAATCAAATTCAGGAATTCTCACAAAATTCATGTGAACGGTGTGTATATACTAAGTATATATTGATGGAAACATAGCCATCGGTTGTGTGTGTGTGTGTGTGTGTGTGTGTGTGTGTGGGTGTTGACTGATGAATAAATATTGGGCCAAAACATCAATCACTGTTGTTGTCAGTGGTGACATGATGAGTAAAATGGTCCAAATTGGATGAAAATTCTCTAATTTGGACCATCATGAATTGGTTCAACAAGTTGTTTTCTTGCTAATCGAAACAGCAAATTTCTTTCTTTTGTCTATCCATGTAAATTCGAAAGATTCGAATCTATTTTGACCCAATTAGACAACAAATCGATTGTCATTCGATTTTTTTCCGTTGAATTTGACCAGCGTTTGATTTTTGCAATCAATTCTTTACCGATGGCCAATTTATATTCTATACTAGTGACGTATTAATGATGTCACCGGTCTAAAAATGGCCCATCAACAATGATCATCATGAACGATGACAACGATGATGAGCATGTTGTTGTTTTTGTTGTTGTTGTTGCTATTTTCGAATCGATTTCTCCCTTATCCCCCAACACATACACATTCTGGCCATGATGAAAGAAAAAAAGTAAGGAATGAATGAAATAAATTTTCTATTTTGGGCTCGTTGCTAAAGATTTGTTTTAGACCAAACCAAAACTAGAAAAAAAATGTAGAATAAGAATTGCTGGTTTGTTTGCATATATTCATTCGTTCACTGTGTGCGTGAATGAAGAATATTCGGTTTGACCGCCCAATTTATTCTACACGATGTAATCAAAAAAAAAAAAAAAAAATAACAGTCGACAAATGAGAGGCGTCGATGTAATTCAAAGAATTCATCTTTTTTGAGGTTTTTTAGGTGATGAACAAGAATTCTTCTTGATTCATACATTCAACATGAATGTGTTAGTATCCGTTGCGCTTGTTGATTGCATTTGCAAATTATATTCAAAACACAAATACCAAAAACTTCAAGGATAAAATAGAATTATTTGGGGAAGTGGTGTATATATGATGCGTTTACCTATGCGATGGTAAAAGAAGAATCCCAATTTGGAATCATTATAATGATGAGACAGTGGTAGTAGTGGGATTATTATCATCATCTCTATTATAATACCAATAGAAAGACAGACAGACAGACAGACAGACCTAAGGAATGTGGTTAGCTTCTAGCAAACCAACCATCTAACCAACTAACCAAATTCGAATAAACGTCGTAGAGAAGAAATCTTACCTAATGTATATCCTTAATGGACAGAAAAACAAAAAATGTATGCCAATCGCTGTTTGGCAGGAAAACCAAAAGAATGCCAAAACAGCAACAATAATAATAATAACAACAACAACAACAAAAAAAACGAACCATTTTAACGTCCTTTTCATCATTAGTTTCTGATGTGTGTGTGTGTGTGTGTGTGTTTGTGCGTGTATTTGAATGAGCGGCGCGGGTGCCCTCTTCTTCTTCTTCTTCTTCCTTTTCAAAAATTCAATTAAATTCCATTCATTTGCATCATTTGTGGTGTCTGTGTTGTGTCCATTAGTCTGATACATTTATTAAATAATAATAATAATAAAAAAATTCATTAATCAATTACTTTATTAATAAAAAAAAAAGAAAATTTTTTTTTTTCAATTTTCATACTCATTATCATCTCAATACTGTGTCTCTGTGTCGGTGTGTGTGTGTGTGTGTGCTAATCGTATTCCTGTGTGTGTGATTTTTGGGTAAATATTCATTGTGTGTGTGTGTGTATGTGTGCCTTTCGATTACAACCCCCTCAACACACAACTTCGATACGTAGCCACCATATATATATATCAACTGAGAATTGATCCATCATCATCATCATCCAATTCATTCATTGTCTTTTTTTTTGCTTTTGTGACTTGCTTTTCATTGGTAAATAATTATTGTAAGTGTTGATTCAAAACCCCATATAACATAATTTGGCAATTCAGTGTGTGTGTGTGTGTGTTTTTTTTGATTTTACAGAATAAATCAATTCTATATTCTATATATATGTGTGTGTGTGTTGTTTCCAATTATCCGATTGCAGCCAACAAATACCATACATCGAATAGAGTGTTGTTTACATTTACAAATTTTAGAATTCAATTTTTTTTGTTTTTGTTTGGAAATTAGATTCCATGTTTATTTTCGTAGTTTTCGTACATCGATTTCACTAGTGAAGAAATTGGTGAATTTAAAAAAAAAGACCTCGATCTATTTTATTGTATTGTATATATTAGAAAAATTCTCGGATGTATTGGAATTCGAATACAAAAATAGTATGATGATAACCATCAACGCCATCTTGTGGCCAATTTGATTGTTTAAGTATTGTGGAATATTATTAACCATTTAACCATTTTTTATTTTTATATTTCTCACATGAACAAATAGTGAAATTGATGGTATATCACCTACGTTCAAAAAGAAACCTTGGATTGCCGAACTAGATAAAGAATTTCGTCGTATACATTTTGAATGTGTTTTATTATCTGAACCACGTCCATCAGTAAACTGGTATTATAACGGTATACTTATCAAACCACATGGTCGTTACAGAACTGAATTAGAATCGATTCAAAAACATCTATATCGTTCATTGCTCATAATTGAAGAAGTGGTCGTTGAGGATGCTGGTAAATATAAAGTAATTGCCAAAAACGATCTAGGCGAAAGTAACGCTACTATAAGCCTCAATTTCGACGGTATGTCCACGTTCAAACATAAATCATGATAATCCATGATCAAAGAATATTTATTTTTGTTTCATTCATAGACGACTTCAAACCCGAACAAGGAGCTAAACCAACATTAACGGAAAAAACTTTGCTCAAAAAAGTCGGAAGCGGACAAGTACAATTTGAAATTCGGCTTGTTGCCGATCCACAACCACAAATCGAGTGGTATCACAAAGATAATCTAATTATCAAATCCGGCCAATTTGAATCGAAACAATTTCGTTGCCAAATACTAACCGATCGTCATAATCATCTAGTATCACTAACATTCTTAAAGCCGCAATTATCGGATGCGGGCCAATACCGCTTTGTAGCTCGAAATCAATTTGGTTTAGTCGAAACTAACGTTGATTTACCGTTTGGACCGGACGGACGACCAATCGTTTCGATGGCGGTGGCGCCACGTTTTCCCAAAAAGCCGACCATTCGGCAGAAAGGCAACGTTCTTATATTGGAATGTGTGCTCGAAGCCAATCCATATCCTGAGATCACCTGGTATCATGGAACCAAGGTCATCAGCGATGATAGCCGTCACAAAACAACACGTACGGAAACCGGTGAGAATATGTACTCACTTGCTCTCGAGATCATCAATCCCACTTTAGAAGATGGAGGCACTTACAGATGTAATGCAGTCAATGATAAAGGCGAATCGAATGCAAACATTGCTCTCAATTTTCAAAGTAAGTTATCCTGTGTAATTTAAATAGACAACATTTATTTTATTCATTAATCATCATCAATATTATATTCATTAATCATCAATATTAACAGCTGGTGATGACGAGGACAAAGATGCACCAACATTCATTGGCAAGCCTCGTATCATACCGAAAGATTCGTCCATCACAATGGAATGTCGAGTCAAGTCCAAAACTAAAATCACTGCTCAATGGTTCAAAGGCACAACCACTGTAACTGCTTCTTCTCGTCATGTGATGACTGTGACCAAAGAAAAAGAAGATGAATATCTATGTGTGTTGGACATCAAAAATCCGGCCGGATCGGACGGTGGTACATACAAATGTTTGGTCAAAAATGAAGCTGGAGAAATTACTGCCAATCTCGCCTTGAACATCGAAGGTGCACCTGAAGACGATTCGATCTATCCCAAGTTTGTCGACAAGCCTCGTATTATTTCAGAAAAGGATGGTTCATTGATCATCATGGAATGTCGTGTGAAAGCACGACCGAAGCCCGATATCACCTGGTTTCAAGATGGTGTCCAGGTGAAAGAAAGTTCTCGAATCAAACAGACAGTAATCAAAGAGAAAGAGGAAGATACCTATCTAATTCGAATGGAAATCAATGATGCCGATATGGAAGATTCCGGTATGTACAAATGTAATGTTAAGAATTCCGCCGGTCAAAGTGTGGCAAATCTATCTTTGTCAATCGAAATCATACCGGTTATCAGTCAACGGCCAAGGATCATACGTCGTGAACAGCAGCAAAAGATTGTCATTGAATGTGCCGTCAAATCAGCAAACAAACCTCAAATTACCTGGATTCGAGAATCACTCACAGTCAGAGAAGATTCTCGACATCAAATCATTGTACGTGAAGAACGTAAAGGCGAATATGTTATTGCTTTGGAGATTGATGAACCAACCGAAAAAGATAATGGAGCCTACAAGATGAAAGCAAAAAATGAAAAAGGTGAAGTTGTCACTGAAGACATTATTGTACGTGTGGATGATCAGAAAAAGAAAAAAGAGGAAGAAGAAGAACGAGCAACGAAAAAAGCAAAAAAACAAGTATCCCAACCTCGTGTTGTTCGTGGCCTTCGGTCAGAGGTGAGCAATCTAAATCAATGATTAACAATTATCAAAACCGTTTTTTTTTATTTCACACAGAAAGTACAAGTGGGCGAATCATTGGAAATGTCATGTGAATACGAATCTGAAGAAGATGTTCAAGTCGTTTGCTACAAGAATCGTCGAGTGATCAAAGAAAGTCAACGAATTGTAATTATTCGTGAACGTCGAATCACACGAATCATTATCAAAAGGGTGGAATTAGAAGATGATGGTGAATATATGGTCGAAGTAAGCAATTCTGCCGGCAAAACTGAAACTACTGGACGTGTCACTGTTCAAGACAAACGTATGGATCAGGACGAAGATGAAGACAAAGAGAATCAATTGGGTAAGAAAAAAATCAAAAAAGAAGAACAAGTGGAAGATGTCGAAATGAAAGATGTCAGCCAAGATGCGGTGAAAAAAACAGAAGAAACCCAAAAACGAAAAGAATCTATCAAACGACGAGATTCGGATAGTAAAACCGAAAATGAACCAAAAACAAAAAAGATGGCTGAAGAACCGAAACCAGAGGAAGAAAAACCAAAGAAAAAACTTTCGATCAAAAAAGCAGCTGAACCGTCGGTGACAGAGGAAGAAAAACCAAAAAAGAAACTTTCAGTAAAAAAACCAGCTGAACAGGAACCAGAAAAACCATCAATTGAAGAACCAATTGTAGCCAAAAAAGTTGAAACGGTCGCTGAAACAAAACCAGAGGAAGAAAAACCAAAAAAGAAACTTTCAGTCAAAAAACCAGCTGAACCAAAACCAGAAAAACCATCAATTGAAGAACCAATGGTAGACAAAAAAGTTGAAACGGTCGCTGAAGCAAAACCAGAGGAAGAAAAGCCAAAAAAGAAACTTTCAGTCAAAAAACCAGCTGAACCGAAACCAGAAAAACCATCAATTGAAGAACCAATTGTAGACAAAAAAGTTGAAACGGTCGCTGAAACAAAACCAGAGGAAGAAAAACCTAAGAAAAAGCTTTCGATCAAAAAACCTGCTGCTGAACAACCAGCCGAAACGCCAGCAGAAGAACCGAAAAGACGATTATCGATCAAAAAGCCAGCAGCTGCTGCTGCTGAAACCACAACTCCAACTCAGGAAACAACAGCTGAACCGGTCAAACGACGTTTATCAATAAAAAAACGATCATCAGTATCGACACCAGCCGAATCAGCTACATCCAGTCCAGCAAGTACAGCTCCATCATCGCCAACAAGCAAAACTGCACCATCATCGCTTGCAGCACCAAATGAGGAAGCTAAACCAGCCAAGCGATTATCTATTAAAAAGCCGCCTAGTCAAGCTTCGATACCAGAGGATAAACCAATAGCCGCCAAAACCGAAGAAGTGAAACGAAAAGATTCGGTAAAAACAGCAGAATCTGAACCAGAACAACCGAAGAAAAAAGTGTCGATCAAGAAGAAAACGCCCAATGGTGAATTGCCGCCAGCTACTGTGACCAACAACGAGAAACCACCAGCTGATGAGATGCCGAAAAAAGCGACTGCTTCCAAAATGCAGAAAGTACCATCGATCGAGATACAAACAGCTGAAGAAGAGCGTCCGAGTGCAGCGAAAAAAGGGTCGATTCGAGAAGCAGCCCGGAAACCGTCATTGGAGAGTAAGCCGAAAGTAGTGGTAGAAGATAGTGATAGTCGTAGGGATAGTCTCGATAGACGAGATAGTCTAACTGAAGCCGGATCTGCCCGTTCATCCCGCCGTCCTTCTATTGTTATCGTTGCAGATGAGAAAGGTTTAGCTGTCGATGAAACTGGACAAATGAAAAAACTTCGACCAGGTGAGATGCTCGAAGTTCGCCGTGGCTCACGACGTGGTTCGAATGTGGTGGATTTACGTCGTGCTTCATCCACGGAAATTGATCGCGTGGACAAACCATCGACGCCGTTACGAGAGATGGGTGATGAAGGACCACCGGTTGTTACGGATTTCGTTGAAAACGTTACCGCTACGGATGGAAAAACTGCTTACGTTCAGGCAACCGTCGAGGGTAAACCGATACCGAAATTCAAATTCTTCAAAGACAATGTGGAAATATTTGAAGGTGGCCGCTATAAAGTGGTTACCGATGGTGAAACCAATACTGTTTATTTTTGTATTCGAAAAGCGAAACAAGCAGATGAAGGTCGATACAAGATCGTAGCCTACAATGATTATGGTGAAGATAGCTGTACAGTGAAGCTTTTCGTTTCCGGTAAGTAAATCTAACATTCATTCTATTTTTTAAACCTGATTCTTTTGTAGACGAAAGTGGAATGGATTTCCGTGCCATGCTCAAAAGTAAACAGTATGCAAAATGGGCTGTGGATAAAGAAGATCCAGATTGGGGGGCATTGAAATCGACTGAAGATGAAAGACGAGCATCGCTTCGTGATACCAGGGTTTGTTGTTGTTTTTATTTCACTCACAATCATCATTTGTATATGTAAAATTGATTCGGACATTTTTTTTTCACAGAAACTGGATGAATTTATTGAAAAGCTTCAGGATCAACGTGTAAAAGAAGGCCGTGATAAAACGGCTCGGTTCCAGTGTGTGTTTAGCAAGAATGGCATCAAAGCTAAATGGTTCAAAGGTCGGCAAGAATTATTCGCCGGTCGAAAGTATAAAATGACTAGCCAAGGTGATTTACATGTGCTCGAAATCAATGATCCTCGAGTGGATGACATGGGTCAATATAAATGTCAATGTCTAGAGAAGACAACAAGTGCCGCTCTCGAAGTTGATTATCCGGATCCAGTGTTTAAATTTACACGACCATTGGCTAAAAAATATGAACAATATTGTGGCAAAGAAATCGTAATGGAATGTACGACCAGTCATTCAAAAGCCCAAGTTGAATGGTTCAAAGGATCAAAAAAGATTGACCGTAATGATGAACATTTTCTCATTGAACGTGATATGTACGGTAAACATTGGATCAAAATCAAACATTGTCGCGAAGAAGATACCGATGATTTTAGTTGTCGAATTGTCAACACTGAAGAAACGACTGCCACGAAATTGGTGGTTACTGAAAAGAAATATATTTTCGTCAAACCGCTGCTCAGTCAGAAATGTGTGGAAAACGAAACAATCGTTTTGGAATGTGAAGTTGATGACCGGGATGCTGAAGTTGAATGGTTTAAAAATGGACAGAAAGTTAGCCCTGTTGCTAAGAAATTGGACATTGTGGCTGAAAATCGAAAACGAAAATTGGTCATCAAAAAAGGTAAAGTTATTGACGAAGCTCAGTACACTTGCACGACTAATGGTGATAAAACGGAATGTGAAATTCTTGTCGAACGTAAGTTTTCTCATCCTTTTGCCATAAACTATTGATTGATCATGTATATTTAACATAACACAACAATAGCATCGAATAAATTCCGTAAAAAGCTACAGGACAAAACTGTCATCGAACGAGAAGAATTGATTCTTGAACTGGAAATGTTAGAAAAAAGAGCACCGTTGACCTGGTACAAGAATGGTCAAGAGATGCCTCACAATGATCCACGATTCGTCATGAAATTTGATGAGATCACGGGCAAACAACAATTGATCATCAAAAATGCCGTTATGGAAGATGCAGGTGAATATATGGCCAAAGCAAAAGACTGTAAAACATCCTGCAAGGTGACCGTATTGGAAGGTGAAAAGAAACCGGAATTGTCACCTGATAAGACCGATTTTCAAGGAGATGTGGGACGTCCATTGACGATCGAGATTCCTTACAAAGGTTTGAATCGATTGAATTTCATGCACAGAAATTACTAATGAATCATTTATCCTGTTGTTTGATAGTTTTTGGAACCAAACAATCGGACGTCATACCCAAACTGACCAAGAATGGCTTGCCTGTATTAGCAAAAGATGTTGACATTGTGGTCAAAGAAGACAAGATTGTCATCACATTCAAAAAGCCATCCAGAGATGATTCTGGCAAATATGATTTTACATTGTCCAATTCACAAGGTGAAGCTAAAGTGCCGTTAAATTGCAACTTTGTCGATGTTCCTGGTCCACCAGAAGGTCCGTTAGAAGTGAAAGATTTGTTTCGTGATCGATGCAAATTAAGTTGGAAACCACCGAAAGAACTTGGTGGTTTGCCACTTTTGCATTATGTCGTTGAACGACAAGATATTGGCGTACGTGGTGGTTGGACAGAAGTCGGTACGACTGAAGATCTTAAAATTGATGTTACTGATTTGGCTCATAAAAAAGAATACAAATTCCGTGTGCGAGCAGTGAACAAAAAAGGCGCTTCAGAACCTTTGAATTCAAGCAAAAACATTATCGCAAAAGATCCATATGATGAACCATCCAAAGTACAAGATTGTGAACTGGTCGATTGGGACAAAGAACATGTGGATTTGAAATGGAAACCACCAGAAAAGGATGGTGGATCACCAATAGAAAAGTATGTGGTCGAAATGAAAGATAAATTCCAATCCGAATGGTCACAAGCGATCGAAGTACCTGGTGATAAATTGAAAGGCAAAGTTTGTGTACCTATCATCAAGGAAGGAAACCAGTATCAATTTCGTGTTCGTGCTGTCAATAAAGCTGGTCCAGGTGAACCATCTGATCCTACCAAACCGGTTATAATCAAAGATCGTTTCGTAAAACCATTCATTGTTGGTGAAGGTCTCAAAAATATTGTCGTGAAAAAAGGTGCCAACATCAAGTATGACATTCAATTCAAAGGTGAACCACCACCAGAAGTTGTTTGGGATACCAACGATAACGAACTCAAATCATCGTCACGCGTTAGCATCGAAAATACGGACAAGACCACATTGTTGATTATAAAACAAGCAGTTCGTGCTGATTCTGGCAAGTTCCGTCTTACATTGACCAATTCATCGGGAACATGTACATCAACGGCCGATGTAGTTGTATTGGATAAGCCAAGCATGCCTCAAGGGCCATTGCTCGTCGAAGATGTTCATGCTGAACATTGTAAATTGAAATGGAAAGAACCGAAAGATGATGGTGGTACCGATTTGAAAGGCTATCTGATCGAAAAACAGGATGTCGATTCTGGCCGTTGGATTCCATTGGCCGAAGTTGGTCCAAATGTTCGTGATTACAAATGCGAAGGACTTACCAAAGGCAAAAAATATAAATTCCGTGTCAAAGCAGTTAACAAAGAAGGTGAATCAGAACCATTAGAAACGTTGGCTCCGATTCTGGCTAAAAATCCATATGATGAACCTGGTCCGCCAGGAAAACCAGAAATTGTCGATTATGATAACACCAAAGTCGATTTGAAATGGACACCACCACAAAATGATGGTGGCCGGCCAGTAGAAAAATATATAGTCGAAATGAAAGAGAAAAATGCTCAGGATTGGCGACAAGTTGTTGTCACTGAAGGCCCAACACCGGAAGCAACTGTACCACGATTAAAAGCCAATAGTGTGGTGCAATTTCGTGTTAGAGCAATCAACATTGCCGGCAATGGTGAACCAAGTGAACCTACTGAACCTCATCTGGTTAAACATCGAAATCTTAAACCACAAATTGATCGAACCAATTTGAAAAACATCACATTGAAAGCAGGACGATCACACAAGTTTGAAGTAGATGTGATTGGTGAACCAGCTCCAGAAATCCGATGGACATTCAAGGAAGAAAAATTGTCCGATTCTGAAAATGTAAAAATCGACACAAAAGAATATCATACCGATCTACAGCTGATGAAAATGAAACGAAAACAGACGGGAAAATATACCATCACAGCCACCAATCGCAACGGTACAGATTCAGTTACTGTCGAAGTGAATGTTTTGTCTGCACCGGGCAAACCGGAAGGTCCATTAGAAGTTGAAGACGTGCATAAAGAAGGCTGTAAACTTAAATGGAAAAAACCTAAAGATGATGGTGGCGTACCTATCGACCATTATGAAGTGGAAAAAATGGATAAAGAAACTGGCCGTTGGACTCGAGTGGGCAAAGCTCCAGCCAACAAACCGGAAATTGAAGTGACCGGATTAACTCCAGGCCATGAATATCAATTTCGTGTGGTGGCAGTCAACGATGAAGGTGAAAGCGAACCTTTGGTTACTGATCGTGGTACCCTCGCTCGTAATCCATACGATGAACCAGGTAAGCCTGGAACGCCTGATATTGTCGATTATGACAACACTAGCGTCGATTTAAAATGGCAACCACCAAAGAAAGATGGCGGCTCACCTATCTTGAAATACATCATAGAAAAGAAAGAAAAGAATGCTCTACAATGGGAAAAAGCTACCGAAGTTCCTGGATCACAATTAGAAGGCAAAGTAGCCGATCTGATCGAACGACAAGAAATGCAATTTCGTGTGGTGGCTGTGAATAAAGCTGGTCCTGGTGAACCAAGTGATGCTACAAAAATGCATACAGTCAAATTCCGCCGCCTAAAACCATACATTGATCGTACAAATCTGGAAGAGGTGATCACCATTAAACGTGGTAAACAACTGAAACTAGATGTGAATGTTCGTGGTGAGCCACCACCAAAAATCACTTGGAAATTGGTGGAAAAAGTCATCACCAATGATCAACATTATGACATTGTCAATGTGGATTATAATACTAAATTCACAATCAACGACAGTCAACGAATGCATACGGGTAAATATATGATTATTGCTGAAAACGAGGTTGGTCGTGATCAAGCACAAGTGGAAATATGTGTTTTAGCTGCACCATCTCGACCAAAAGGTCCATTGAAAGTGGAAAATGTTACGGCCAAAAGTGCAGATGTCAAATGGCAGAAACCTGAAGATGATGGCGGTAAACCTATCAAAGGTTATTTGATTGAAAAATTGGATCCAAACAGTGGTCAATGGGTTCCATGTGGAAAAGCCGATAAAGATGCTACCGATTTCACAGTAACTGGATTGCAGAAAGGAAAACAATATAAATTCCGTGTGAAAGCATTGAACGATGAAGGAGAATCAGAACCATTGGTCTGTACAGAACCAATCATCGCGAAAGATCCGTACGAAGTGGCCGATGCTCCAGGTCAGCCAAAGGTCGATGATTGGGACGAGAAAAAAGTCGATCTTAAATGGACACCACCGAAAAATGATGGTGGCGCTCCCATCACCGGTTACATTGTCGAAATGAAAGATAAAAATAGCACGCAATGGATACCAGTGTTGGAAACACAATCACCAGCCGCTCAAGCTACTGTTGAAGGATTAACAAAAGGCAAACAAGTTCAGTTCCGTGTGAAAGCAAAAAATAAAGCCGGTGAATCGGAACCATCACAACCATCGACTATGCATACGGTCAAAGAACGACATTTGGCACCTAAAATCAATCGAGATACATTGAAACCGATTACGATTCGATCTGGTGGTACAGCGAAATTGGACGTGGAAATCAGTGGTGAACCACCACCGGCTGTAACATGGACTTTTGATGGTAAAAAGTTATTCGATGATAACAACACAAAAATCGAGAATCCGGATTATGAATCACATCTACAAATACGTCACATGACTCGAGCACAAAGCGGAAAATATACCATAACGGCCGAAAATGAATCAGGAAAAGATGTGGCTGAAGTTGAAATTAAAGTTTTAGATCGGCCATCTAAGCCTGAAGGACCATTAGATGTTAGTGATGTTCATGCTGAAGGTTGTAAATTACAATGGCGACCACCCAAAGATGATGGTGGTGTTCCAATCGAAAACTATGTTGTCGAAAAGAAGGATAGCCAAACCGGAAGATGGGTACCATGTGCAAAAGTTGGGCCCAGTGACACTGAATGTAAAGTTACCGGCTTAGATCAGGGTAAAAAATACGAGTTCCGTGTAAAAGCAGTCAATCCTGAAGGTGATTCAGATTATCTGGATACTGATCGTTCAACATTGGCGAAAAATCCATATGAAGAACCTGGACAACCTGGGATGCCAACTATTGAAGATTGGGACAAAAATTGGGCACAATTGAAATGGGAACCACCCATCAGAGATGGTGGTGCACCCATTACCGGTTACATCATTGAGAAAAAGACAAATACAGTCCAGATTGGGTGCAAGCTGCAGTAATCGACGGTAATATTTGTCAAGGAAAAGTGAAAGGTTTACACGAAGGTGACAAATACGAATTCCGTATTCGTGCAGTTAATAAAGCTGGTGCTGGAGCTCCATCCGAATCGGTTGGTCCACATTTGGCTAAAACCCGATGGTTAAAACCGCAAATCGATCGAACAAACATGCAGCCGATAACCGTGAAAGTAGGACAAATGGTATTCATGGATGTCAATGTTATTGGTGAGCCAGCACCGAAAACTGTTTGGTCTTTCAAAGGAGAAGAATTGAAAACGAACGAAGTTTATAATATCAATGATGTCGATTACAATACTAAATTCACATTGAATCGTGCTACTCGAAAAACACGCGGTGTGTACACGTTGACTGCTAAGAATGAAGTTGGTGAAGACACTGCAGAAGTTGAGATCAAAGTTTTGGGCAAACCATCAAAACCACAAGGACCGTTAGAAGTTTCAGATGTACATAAAGAAGGCTGTACATTGAAATGGAAACCACCCGAAGATGATGGTGGATGTCCAATCGAATGTTATGAAGTGGAAAAAATGGATGAAGAAACCGGTAGATGGGTTCCATGCGGTAAAGCCGGACCCAATGATACTAAATTGAAGGTGAATAATCTTGTACCTGGAAAGAAATACCAATTTCGTGTTCGTGCCTGTAATAAAGAAGGTGATTCCGAAGAATTGGAAACTGATACCGCTACGTTGGCTAAAAATCCATTTGATGAACCAGATAAACCCGGTAGACCTGAACCCATTGACTGGGATTCTGATCATGTTGATCTGGCGTGGAAACCCCCCGAAAATGATGGTGGAGCTCCAATCGAGAAATATGTTGTTGAAAAACGAAAGAAAGGAACACATAAATGGCATAAAGCAAAAGAAACAAAAGGGCCAGAACCATCAGTAACAGTGGATGGACTTGAAGAAGGTGAACAATATGAATTCCGAGTTATTGCCGTCAATAAAGCTGGTCCAAGTGAACCTAGTGATCCATCAAGAACAGTGATTGCTAAACCTCGAAAGCTGGCGCCAATCATTGATCGAACAAATCTGAAAAACATTAAAATTCGTGCCGGTCAACCGGTCAAATTTGATGTAGATGTCAAAGGAGAACCAGAACCGACAATTGAATGGTCATTCAAGGATGAAAAACTTAAATCCGATGATCATCATAAAATTGAGAATGAACCATATCATACATTGTTCATGTTGATCAATTCAAAACGTGAAGATACTGGTATCTATAGGATTTTGGCGAAAAACGAACATGGCACTGATGAAGCAGAAGTGGAAATAACAGTCACATCTAAACCATCGAAACCTGAAGGACCATTAGATGTAAGCGATGTTCATGCCGAAGGTTGCAAACTAAAATGGAAAAAACCCGAAGATGATGGTGGTGAACCCATTCTCAACTATCAGATTGAAAAACAAGACACAGAAACTGGCCGCTGGGTTCCAGTGTGCACATCACGAGAACCAGAAGCAGATATCACTGGTTTAATACCGGGTCATGAATACAAATTCCGTGTGAAAGCGGTGAATGCTGAAGGTGAATCTGAACCATTGGAAACGGATCATGCAACTGTTGCGAAAAATCCATTCACTGAACCGGATAAACCAGGTAAACCACAAGTAGTGGATTGGGATCGTCATCATGTTGATTTGAAATGGGAATCACCGAAAGATGATGGAGGTGCACCAATTACCGGTTACATTATTGAAAAGAAAGAAAAAACCGGTAAAAATTGGAGCAAAGCATTGGTCGTTGATGGTCCAATAACTGAAGCACGTGTACCGGATCTAATCGAAGGTGTTGATTATCAATTCAGAGTCAAAGCAGTTAACAAAGCAGGTCCTGGTGGACCAAGTGATGCAAGTGAAGTAGTTACCACAAAACCAAGACATTTATTGCCTAAAATCGAACATGTTCGTGATATCACTGTACATGCTGGACAACCGATCAAATTAGATGTGAAAGTGATTGGTGAGCCACCACCGAAAACAATGTGGTATCGTGGAGATGATGATAAACCGTTATCCTCTGGCAGCGATCTCAAGATTGAAAACGAACCATATCGAACTAAATTGATGGTTCCCAATGCTAAGCGTTCGGACACCGGAATGTACAAATTGGTTGCATCGAATCCTTCTGGCACTGATGAAGCAGAAGTCAAAGTGACCGTATTGGACAAGCCTGCAGAACCAGAAGGTCCACTAGATGTTAGTGATGTTCATGCTGAAGGCTGTAAATTGAAATGGAAACCTCCCAAAGATGATGGTGGCGTTCCTATCGAAGCATATGTTGTGGAAAAACAGGATCAAGCTACTGGAAAATGGGTTCCGGTTTGCCAGACAACAACACCAGAAGCGAATATTTCAAATTTAGAACCAGGCCATGAATATAAATTCCGTGTAAAAGCTGTGAATGCTGAAGGTGAATCTGCTCCGTTGGTTACTTTAGAACCAACATTGGCCAAAAATCCATATGATCCCCCCGGAGCACCAGGAACACCGAAAGTAACTGATGTGGATAAAAATCATGTCGATCTTCAATGGGAACCACCAGCCAAAGATGGTGGAGCTCCAATTTCTGGATACATTATCGAGAAAAAAGAAAAGGGCAGCGATAAATGGGTCAAAGCTTGTCAAATTCCAGGTGATGACACAAAAGCCCGTGTTCCAGATCTGGAAACTGGCCATGAATACCAATTTCGTGTAAAAGCCGTGAACAAAGCTGGACCAGGTGCACCCAGTGATGAAACGAAAATGGTTCTCGTGAAACACAAGAAATTGGCGCCAAAAATTGATCGTAAAAATCTGAGACCGATCAAAATCAAAGTTGGCCAAGAATTTGTATTCGATGCCGATGTAATTGGTGAACCAGTTCCCGAAGTTGTCTGGAAACTCAAAGATAAAATGGTTAGTGATAAAGCAAATTTGACCATAACAAACAAACCTCATCATACACGGTTGGAATGCGATAAAGCTACACGTAAAGATGCAGGTGTTTATCATGTGATTGCCACCAACAAATGGGGTGAAGATCAGGCGGATATTGAAGTGAAAATAGTAGGAAAACCATCAAAACCAAAAGGACCACTTCAAGTGGAAGATATACGAAAAGATGGCTGTACATTAAAATGGGAAAAACCTGATGATGACGGTGGCGAACCATTGGAAGGATATTTGGTGGAAAAATTGGATCCTGAAACTGGTTCATGGATACCGGTGGGAAAAACATTTATACCCGAAATGAATGTTAACAATTTGATGCCTGGCAAGCAATATTCATTCCGTGTGAAAGCAATCAATAAAGAAGGAGAATCTGAACCACTAGAAACATTGTCTCCGATAATTGCAAAAGATCCATATGAAACACCTGGACAACCTGGACGGCCAGAACCAGTGGATTGGAATAAAGATCACGTGGATTTGAAATGGGAGCCACCAGCCAACGATGGTGGAGCACCGATTGAATCTTATATCATTGAGAAACGAGAACGAGGTTCAGGTAGATGGATGAAAGCAGCTGAAGTTCCTGGTGATCAAACCCGTGGTACAGCACCAAATCTGGAGGAAGGCAAAGAATACGAATTTCGTGTTACTGCCGTCAACAAAGCTGGACCCGGAGAACCATCGGAAGCATCTAAATCAGTGGTGGCAAAACCTAGATTCCGTAAGTATAAACTTTTTGATTATTAACATATTCATACTAAAACATATTTTTGTTGATAATAGTTGCGCCACGAATCGATAGAATTGCATTTAAAGATCTAACCATAAGTGCTGGTCAAAAGATATTTTACGATGTTCCTGTTATTGGTGAACCTCCACCGGAAATCACTTGGAATATTAATGGCAAAACAATGCCCGCTGAAGGTGATACACATCACAAAATTGAAACCGAAGATTATAATACCAAATTAACAGCAAGAAATGCAACAAGAGGCGATTCTGGTGTTTATACCATTACTGCGATTAATAGCTCTGGTAGAGATACAGTCACTGTACAAGTGACGGTCACGGATAAACCTACACCACCTGAAGGACCATTAGATGTGAAAGATGTTCATAAAGAAGGATGTAAACTAAGCTGGAAAAAACCAAAAGACGATGGTGGATTGCCTCTCGAAGGATATCTTGTTGAAAAAATGGACACTGATTCTGGATTATGGGTGCCCATCGGTAAAACTAAAGGCACCAATATGGATGTAAACGGACTAGTACCTGGAAAAGAATACAAATTCCGTGTATCTGCTGTCAACAAAGAAGGCGAATCTGAACCATTGGAAACATTGAAACCAATCATTGCTAAAAATCCATTCGATGAACCAGGTCAAACGGGAAAACCACAGGTTACTGATTGGGATAAAGATCATGCTGATCTACAATGGGAACCACCAAAAGAAGATGGTGGCGCTCCTGTCGAGAAATATATCATTGAAAAACGTGACAAACATGGCGATTGGGAGAAAGCGGCAGAAGTTCCAGGTGGTGCAAATTCTGCCACCGTTGAAGATTTGATTGAAGGACATTCATACGAATTCCGTGTAAAAGCTGTGAATAAGGCAGGACCAGGTGAACCATCCGAACCATCTGATATGATTGTGGCTAAACCACGTCGTCTTCCACCGAAAATTGATCGTACCAATCTGCAAAAGATTAAATTAAAAGCAGGTCAAGCGTTTAACTTTGACGTAAACGTTAGTGGTGAACCTGCTCCCGATACTGAATGGCGATTGAGAGATCAAACGGTGAAAAGTGTTGGCAATGTCAAAGTACAACATGAACCATACAATACAAAACTTAATGTTCGACAAGCAACACGAGCTCAATCAGGTATCTTTACTGTGAAAGCTACCAATAAATATGGTGAAGATGAAGCTCAAGTTGAAGTTATTGTATTGGATCGTCCCTCACCTCCTGGCGGTCCTCTTCGTATTGAAGATGTTCACGCCGAAGGCGCTACACTTAAATGGCGTCCACCCGAAGATGACGGTGGCTTACCAATCGATCATTATGTTGTGGAAAAAATGGATCCAACTACCGGTATTTGGACACCGGCTGCTGAAACTATTGGTGCAGAAACAACAGCCGATGTCAAAGGTCTCACACCAGGAAAGAAATACAAATTCCGTGTCAAAGCAGTCAATCGACAAGGAGATTCTGATCCATTGTATTCTGACAAAGATATTATCGCCAAAAATCCGTTTGATCCACCTGGACAACCAGGTAAACCAGAAATTGCTGATTATGATACAGATTTTGTTCAATTGAAATGGAAGAAACCAGAAAACGATGGTGGTGCTCCTATTACCGGTTACATCATTGAAAAGAAAGATAAATATAGTAACGATTGGACACCAGCGGCAGAAATCGAAGGCGATGTAACCACCGGTCGTGTTAACGATCTAATTGAAGGCCAACAATATGAATTCCGTGTTCGTGCCGTAAACAAAGGCGGTCAAGGTGAACCATCAGATTCCACTGGACCACACATTGCTCGACCAAAGAATGCACCACCAAAGATTGATAGAAATTATATGCGCGATATTCGTGTTAAAGCCGGTAAAAATGTTGAATTGGAAGTGCCGATTTCTGGTGAACCACCACCAAACAAAAAATGGACTGTTGATGGAATGCCCGCGCCTGATCGTTGGGTGATCACTAACGAAGATTATAAAACACATTTATCGATCAAGAATGCTGAACGTAAAGATAGCGGTCAATTGATGTTGACTGCCACCAATATTAACGGCACAGATACGGCTACCATCACATTGACTGTATTGGATGTACCTGGAGCACCAGAATCAATGCGTATCAATAATGTGACCAAAGATGGTTGTTTTGTTTCATGGCAACCTCCAAAAGATGATGGTGGTTCAGATATTCAACACTATGTAGTGGAAAAAAGAGACATGGAAACAGGTCGTTGGACGATGGCTGGTGAATCAACATCACCCAGTCTTCGTGTCGATAAATTGATCGAAGGTCATGAATATTCATTCAGAGTGAAAGCTGTAAATCGTGAAGGCGAATCTCCATGGCTAACTGGAAAAGAATCGATCATCGCTAAGAATCCATTCGATGTGGCATCCAAACCACAGGCACCACAGGTTGTCGATGTTGATGCCGATCATGTAGATTTAGAATTCAGACCACCTCGTAATGATGGAGGCACACCAATCACAGAATATATTATCGAAAAGAAACCAAAGAAATCACCATTTTGGCAAGAAGCAGTTCGTGTGGCTGCACCTCCAAAACCAAAAGCTGGTGATGATGGCGAAGCTGCTGCCAATGTACCAATACGAACAACGGTTCCTGATCTGATCGAAGGTGAAGAATATGAATTCCGAGTAGTTGCAGTGAATAAAGCCGGTCCCAGTGATCCAAGTGATCCATCAGAAGCGGTGGTTTGTCGTCCAACCAAAGTACCGCCATCGATCGATCTAGGAGCTATGAAAGATATTTATGTGAGAGTTGGACGAGCAATCAATTTTACCGTACCTTATAAAGGAACACCATGTCCAACAGCTACCTGGACCATTAAAGGCAAAGATGTTGTTGCTGGTGCTGATAAGCGTGTTGAATGTGAAAATATGGCTGCATCAGCTATTATCAACATTACAAATTCGGTACGTGAAGATTCTGGTCAATACAAATTAACTTTGAAGAATCCGTATGGTGAATGTTTTGCTTCGGCCAAAGTTACCGTATTGGATCGGCCATCACCACCAGAAGGTCCATTGGAAATTAGTGAAGTTACAAAAGAATCCTGTAAACTTAAATGGCGTGTACCAAAAGATGATGGTGGTTCACAAATCATTCGATATGTTTTGGAAAAAATGGACATTTCACGTGGTTCATGGACAGAATGTGGTACAAGTTCTGATTTGACATTCAAAGTAACAAAATTGGTGCATAAAAAACAATATCAATTCCGTGTGATAGCTGTTAATGAGATTGGTGAATCTGAACCATTGGAAGGATCGGATATTATAACGGCTAAAAATCAATTTGATGTTGCAGAACAACCTGGAAGGCCATTGGTAAAAGATTGGGGTCCAAATCATGTGGATTTAGAATGGAAAGCTCCGATTGATGATGGTGGTTGTCCAATTACTGGCTATTTGATTCAGAAAAAAGAGAAAAACAGTCCATTCTGGACCAAAGCTACTACTGTGCAAGGAAATCAAACTAAAGCTACAGTTCCTGATCTTCGTGAAGGTGCTGATTATGAATTCCGTGTGATTGCATTGAATAAAGCAGGTGAATCTGAACCAAGTGAACCTAGCGATATGGTCACATGTAAACATCGTAATCTTGCACCGAAAATTCTTACACCATTGAAAGAGATTCGAATGAAACATGGTCAAAAATTAGAGGTAACCATAGATTTTGTCGGTGCACCACCACCTGAAGTTCAATGGATTAATTCAAAGACCGGCAAACCGATTGAATCGGATGCAAGATTAACAATTTCGAATTCAGATGACAAAACCGTTTTGAGCATTGTCGATACAAAACGTGGTGATAGTGGTGAATATAAACTTAAATTGACCAATGTAAATGGTAGTTGTGAAGGTGTATTGCCCATTGTCATTATGGATAAACCATCACCACCAGAAGGACCATTAGAAGTGATGAATGTTGATAAAGATAATATGGACCTTAAATGGCGACCACCTAAAGATGATGGAGGATGTCCACTGGTTGGATATGTGATTGAGAAACGTGATAAAACGGCTGGTGGTCAATGGGTTCCTGCCTTGATTAATGTTCCAGCTACAGCTACCCATGCTAATGTACCAAAATTGATTGAAGGTCATGAATATGAATTCCGTATTATGGCCGAGAATTCACAAGGTTTATCAGAACCATTAAAAACTGATAGACCGATCAAAGCGAAAGCTCAATTTACTGTACCTGATCGTCCTGGACAACCGGAACTGGTGGATTCGGATAGAACATTCATAACAATCAAATGGGCACCACCACGTTCAGATGGTGGATCACCCATTACTGGTTATGATGTTGAACGTCGTGATATTAAATCTGGTCGTTGGATTAAAGTCAATAAATTCCCGGTGGTTGGAGAACGTACCTATACTGATGATACAGTTACTGATGGTCATATTTATGAATATCGAGTTGTAGCCATTAATCGTGTTGGACCAAGTGAACCAAGTGCGCCATCAAAACAATTGGTTGCAAAACCATTGAAAGAAGCACCTCGATTAGATTTAGATGGTTTGAGAGGCAAAACAATTCGTGTACGTGCAGGTGATCCATTGGAAATTGTCATTCCAATGAACGGAGCACCTACGCCCACTGTTGAATGGCAGATCAATGGACAGCCAATGAAACCGACAAACCGTATTGAAACAAAAACCAAAGATGAATTAACATGGCTCAAGATTCCAGTCTCGCAACGAACCGATTCTGGAACCTATAAAATTATTGCCAAAAATCCCTATGGTGAAGATTCAGCCAACATTGAAGTTTTGGTCTATTCAGCTCCATCACCACCTCGTGGACCATTGGAACATTCAAACATTACAGCTCAATCAGTACAATTGTCATGGCGAAAACCAGAAGACGATGGTGGTGCTGAAATAATTGGCTATTCAATGGAAAAATGTGTGTTTGGTAGTGATGTATGGCTACCAGCTGGTTATTCATCGTCGACTACATTCACTGTAAAAAATCTAGATGAAGGCAAACAATACAAATTCCGTGTTCGTGCCGAGAACATGCATGGTATATCTGAACCATTGGAAAGTGCCAAACCTATAACAGCGAAAAATCAATTCGACACTCCAGATTCTCCTGGTCAACCACAAATTCTTGATTATGGACCTTCATTTGCTCAACTCAAATGGACAGCTCCATTATCGGATGGTGGACGTCCAATTCAAGGTTATATTGTTGAGAAACGAGAAAAAAATCAAACCGATTGGACTGCAGTCAATATGAATCCGACACCTGGCACAGAATTCACAGTGAACAATTTGACCGAAGGTCGATCCTATGAATTTCGTGTTATTGCTGTGAATGAAGGTGGCAAAGGTAAACCATCGAAACCATCTGCTATGATGACTGCAAAAGAAAGAAAATATCCACCCGAAGCTCCTGATATGCCACGTGTTGACAAAATCACCAAAGATTCTGTCACGTTGACTTGGCGAAAACCATTCAATGATGGTGGATCAAAAATCACTGGTTACATTGTTCAAAAACGACCGAAAAATGGCAAAGATTGGGAGAATGCAACCAAATATCCATGTCCAGATACACGATTTACTGTACCGAATCTAACCGAGGGTGATGAATATGAATTCCGTATTATCGCCGTGAATGATCAAGGTGAATCACCACCAAGTAAACCTTGTCCAATGGTTCGTGTGGAAGAACAACCAAACAAACCTTGTATTGATGTTGGCGCCGTCAAAGATATCACCGTCAAAGCTGGCCAAGATTTTACCATCGATGTTCCGTTCACTGGTTTTCCACGTCCAACAGCAACATGGTCTAGTAATGATATTGAAATTCTTGATACTGATTCTCGTTTCACATTTGGATTGACCGATACGAATGCTACATTGGCATGTAAGAATGCTAAACGAGAATATACTGGTAAATATACGATCATGTTGAAGAATCCATCTGGTTTCGATACTTGTACCTGTAATGTTAAAGTTTTGGATCGTCCTAAACCGCCAACAAATTTCTTCTGTGAAGAAGTAGATGGAGAATCATTGACATTAAAATGGTCACCACCAAAAGATGATGGTGGATCTGAAGTTACAAATTATGTTCTCGAAAAACGTGAAGCTGGTACATCAACATGGACTAAAGTTAGCAGTTTTGTTCATGGAACTGCATTCCGTGTCAAAAATCTTACTATTGGTCGTGCCTATGATTTCCGTGTTGCTGCCGAAAATCAATATGGATTGTCTGATTTCACTGTCACTGATGAACCGATAACAGCTCGATATGCTTTTTCGACGCCATCAGCACCTGGTGCACCAAGAGCTGTGGACACTACACCCGATTCAATAACATTGACATGGACTCGGCCAAGAAATGATGGTGGATCACCAATCACTGGTTATGTGCTTGAAAAACGTAAAGTTGGTGATACACAATGGGCCAAAGCAACCGGTGCTATTAATCAGGTGAATGAAACAACATTCAAAGTCCATGGTTTGAAAGCCAATGAAGAGTATGAATTCCGTGTGGCCGCTGTCAATCTAGCTGGACGTGGTGATTACAGTGAAGCAAGTGAACGTATCACTGCCCGTTATCCACCATCACCACCACGAATTAATGCCGATTTCCGTTTGAAAGATATTGTTGTGCGTGCTGGTGAAACATTCCAGCTAACCGTTCCCATCATTGGATCGCCAACACCAACAGCTGAATGGTTTATGAATGAAAAACTTATTCAACCAGATGATCGAATGTATTCAGAAGTGAATGCAGAATTTACCGTATTGTTGAACAAAAAAGCCAAACGTGAAGACACTGGTCGATATACGATCAAATTAACAAATTCAGAAGGAAGCGATTCAGCATCGTGTCGTGTGTTGGTTGTCGATGTTCCTGGCCCACCACAAGGTCCATTGGAAATGTCCGATGTTACACCCGAATCATTATCTATTCGATGGTCACCTCCATTGGATGATGGTGGTTCACCAATTACCAACTACATACTTGAACGTCAAGATCAGGCTGGCAGTAAACAATGGATTCGATGCAGTGCTTTCATTCGTAACTGTCATTTCGAAGTGATGGGCTTAGAAGCCAATCATCTTTATCATTTTCGTGTTCGAGCTGAAAATCAATATGGTGCTGGTGAAGCTATTCAAACCGATAAACCGGTGAAAGCTTGCTTCCCATTCACGGTGCCTGATCCACCAGGAAAACCAAACGTAATGGATACAGATCGAAATAAAGTTCGTCTTTCATGGGAAAGACCACTCAAAGATGGTGGATCCAAGATTCAAGGCTATACCGTTGAATATATGGATCCAATCGATGGACGATGGATGACAGCCAATATTGAACTGATCAAAGGAACCACCTATACAGTCACCGGTTTGATTAACGATCGTGAATATGAATTCCGTGTGAAAGCGAAAAATGCAGCTGGTTATTCGAAACCAAGTCCTAGTTCCGGTTTGATTTCGATGAAAGGCAAAATTGGGGTACCATCAGCACCCCGTGATTTACGTGTTGTGAAAGTTGGACGAAATTATGTCGATCTAAAGTGGGAACCACCACGATCAGAAGGTGGATCCAGAATTACTGGTTATCTCGTCGAACGAAAAGAAGTGGGTGGTTCACATTGGTACAAAGTTAACGAATATGGTGCTCTCGACTGTCAATACACTGTGCTCAATTTACCTGAACATTCGGAATACGAATTCCGTGTATCGGCCATCAATGCGGCCGGAACATCTGAACCAGTATACACTACGGCTCCTGTGAAGATTCAAGAATTTGCTGAAGGTGCTAAACCGGAATTTGTTCGTAAATTGATCAATAAAAGTACGAATCTACATACAGAAGTTACCTTTGAATGTGAAGCTACTGGTAAACCATTACCTACAGCTCGTTGGTTTAAAAATGGTCGTGAAATTGTTGGTGGTCGTTACAAAACATACGAAACAGACGAAGGTGTTTTCAAATTAGTGATTATGGATGTTCAAGAAGGTGATGAAGGTGAATATACATGTGAAGCTATGAATGCATTTGGTTCGGTTCGAACGATGGCACCATTGAAATTGGCTGAAGCACCAGAAATACTTCGATGTCCAAATGAAATCAGTCTCGTTGAAAGTGATAATGGAAAAATCAAATTATTCTTCTCAGGTACAGTCCCTGTCGATGTTGTGCTGACTAAAGGTGGTCAAACATTGGCTGAAGATGATGGCCATCTTAAATATGTTGTATTTGACGATTATGCCATCATCTACGTTCGTGATGTGAAAAAAAGCGACGAAGGACAATACACAATTCAAGTGAAGAATGATTCAGGTTCAGCATCAGCTTCATTCCGTGTGCTGGTTACTGGGTTACCTGATCCACCGACCGGACCATTGGAAGTGGGTGAAATCAACAGAAATTCTGTGACTATATCATGGCGACCGCCCAAGAATGATGGTGGCAAAAAGGTGACACATTATATTGTTGAACGTAAAGAAGCAACATTGAACACCTGGATAACGGCCAGTAGCTGTGTGAAAGAAACACATTTCACATTGCAAGGTTTGAATGAAGGTGGCGAATATCTATTTAGAGTGTTTGCCGTCAACGAGAATGGTCAATCCAGACAAGCATTGGAAGGTGATTCACCTGTTGTGCCTAAATTACCGTTCAATCGGCCATCACCGCCTGGCGTTCCAGAAGTTACATCAGTTGGTGGTGATTTTGTCAATCTTAGTTGGACTAAACCAGAATCTGATGGTGGTTCAAGAATTCAAGGTTATGTGGTTGAACGCCGAGAAACTGGATCTACACATTGGCAACGTTGTAATGTGGCACTATGTCATGCAACTCAAATCAATATTGCCAATCTTATCGAAGATCGTGAATACGAATTTAGAGTGTCTGCCGTAAACGAAGCTGGCCATTCAGAACCATCTTCTAATACACGACCAGTGCGTGTAAAAGATCCTGATCAGGCAGTTCCACCGGAATTCGTTGAACCATTGCATACAGTTATGGCCATTGAGAATCGATCGGCAGAATTCCGTTGCACAGTGACTGGTGTACCTAAACCAACCATCACCTGGTATAAAGGAGTTCGTGAATTGTTTGATGGTGGCAAATTTACCATGTTAAGAGATGGTGAAAGTTACATCTTACGAATTGATAATGTTTATGGTGAAGATGCTGATGAATATTGTTGCAAAGCAAGCAACAAAGCAGGAACACGTACTTCTCGAGCAGAATTAATCATAAAAACGGCTCCCAAATTGCATGTACCACCTAGATTCCGTGAAGCAGCATGTTTTGAACGTGGTGAAAATGTTCAGATCAAAATTCCATTCACTGGTTATCCGAAACCGAAAATTCGTTGGACTAAAGATGGTGAAGAAATCGAGAAAGGTGATCATTTCGATTTGATTGTTCAGGATCGACATGCTATTCTAGTCATTCGTAATACATCCAAAGAAGATAATGGTCCATATACGATTACAGCTGAAAACGAACTTGGTATCGATACTGCAGTCATCAATGTAATGATATCCGATCGACCGGATCCACCAAGATTCCCGATCATTGAAAATGTTGGTGATGATTGCGTTACATTAACATGGAAAGCACCATTGTGGAATGGTGGCTCACAAATTACCAACTATGTGATTGAAAAACGAGAAGCTGGTATGACAAGCTGGGTGAAAGCTGCTACTACTCGATTCCAGGTTTTTATTTAAAAAAAATGAATCAAAAATAAATTAAACTAATATTTTATTTCTCAATTCCAGGTACATCAAATCACCAACCTTAGCTCGGGTAAAGAATATGAATTCCGTGTTTTTGCTGAAAATGTTTACGGTCGATCTGAACCATCGGAAACAACACAAAAAGTAGCCGTAAAAGGAGAAAAGAAACGTCAGAAACGAACACCATGGGAATTGGATGCTCAAGGCAATAAGATTCATGGTCGTGGTGATCGACAATCGAATTATGATCAATTTGTTTCGGATTATGATTCAACAATGGCTTTCCCAGTGGAAATCAAAACCAACGAATCGGTCTATGATTATTATGAAATTCTTGAAGAGATTGGTGTCGGTGCATTCGGTGTTGTACATCGTTGTCGTGAAAAGAAAACCGGTCGAATATTCGCTGCCAAATTCATACCGGTATCACATCCATTAGAGAAATCAATCATACGAAAAGAGATTGATATAATGAATCAATTACATCATGTTAAATTGATTCGTTTGAATGATGCATTCGAAGAGGACGATGAAATGGTATTGATCTATGAATTTATGTCTGGTGGTGAACTATTCGAACGAATCACTGATGATAATTATACGATGACTGAAGCTGAAGCGGCCAATTATATGCGGCAAATCATCGAAGGTATCAAACATATGCACGAAAAGAACATCATTCATTTGGACATTAAACCGGAAAATATTATGTGCCAAAAACGTAACAGTAATCTGGTGAAGATTATCGATTTTGGTTTGGCCACCAAACTTGATCCACATGAAATGGTTAAAATTTCTACTGGAACTGCTGAATTTGCTGCACCTGAAATTGTCGATAGAGAAGCTGTTGGAACTTATACGGACATGTGGGCCTGTGGTGTGTTGACCTATGTCCTGTTGAGTGGATTGACACCGTTTGCAGGTGACAATGATATCGAAACTTTGAAGAATATTAAGGCTTGCCATTGGGAATTTGATCCCGATGCATTCAAAAACATTTCGGAAGAGGGCAAAGATTTCATTCGTCATTTGTTGACGAAAGAAAAAGAAAAACGTATGACTGCACATGAATGTCTGGAACATCCTTGGCTCAAACAACTAGAGATACCGCATACGGATGCCATTTCTGGTCGTAAATATCAGGATATTCGTGATCGAACCAGAGCTAAATATCCATCTTGGGACAGAGCATTGGTACCGTTGGGTCATATTGCCAATTATAGTTCGTTACGTAAACTTCAGGATGAGAAATACAAATTGCATGATTTGTTCTTGGATCGTCGTGAAATGTTGCCACGTTTCGTGCTTAAACCACAATCAACAATTGCCTATGAAGGTCAATCGGCTAAATTCTTCTGTCGTGTGATTGCTGCAGCACCACCAACATTGAGTTGGTATCGCGAAGGCATGGAACTACGACAATCAGTGAAATTCATGAAACGATATGCCGAAAGTGATTATACATTTGTCATCAATCGTTGTAAACTAGAAGATCGTGGTGAATACATTATTCGTGCTGAAAATCATTATGGATCACGAGAAGAGCCTGTATTTTTGAATGTTTTACCATTACCTAAAGAGGAATATAAATTGCCAACAGAATCGGAACCAAGACGTCGACGACAAGAAGCGCCTAAAATGTGGCTTGATGAACCATGTGATTCTGGACCACATTTCACTTTCTTTCTTCGTACACGTATCATTCAGATGGGTATCGGTGTTCGTCTTTTATGTTGTTTGACCGGTAAACCATGGCCACAGATTAAATGGCTCAAAGATGGTCGAGAATTGCATAAATCTGAATACACAATGAAATCTGCAGATGGTGTTGTCACATTGGATATTGTATCGTGTCGTATGGAAGATGCCGGTAAATATACATGTATCGCAAGCAATTCACTTGGAACAGCCGAAACATCTTGTGCTGTCGTTGTTGAACCTAAACGAATTATATCACCATCACCATGTCTATCACCAAGAGCAGGAACTCCGATACCTGGTCTGACCAGTTCTATCATGTCACCACTAGAAGCCTATTACAAAGAAGGTGGTGCATCAACCACCATCCGTAATTCGATGCGTGAAGCACGTGCATCCAGCATGTATACAAGTCGTCGTAAAGATTCATTGACAAGTACAGTGACAGATTATTCCGGTGGATCATCAAGTACCACATACCGAAACACTACTTATCAACATCAATCTTCCTATACGGGAACATCATCCACATTACGAGATCGCCATGTGTCGACAAGAACATCATCATATGATAAACACGATAGTCTTTCGAGATTACGATCACAATCACCTTCGTATCAATACCATTCAACGATCAGTAGTAGCCGTGTACGTTCACCCATCCGTTCATCATATCTGAGTGGACGACAATCACCATCACTGCCAACCAGTTATATGCCACCATCAAGTACATCGTATCGATCATCAACACCAGCCACAAGTCGATTACCAAGCTCATCATCCACCGGTACACGATTTACTAGCGGAACATCATCACGTCCACGGAAATCAGTTTCCAAAATTGATAGTAAGTTTTTATTATTATTTACAATCAATTATTGTTTATTAATTGAATCTATCCATTTTGAAGATGTTTTTAGTGAACCATCATTCGTGACAAAACTATCCGATCGTTCGATTGGTGATGGTGAACAATTGAAATTACAATTACAGGTGAAAGGCGAACCTGAACCAAAGATTGAATGGTTCAAAGATGGACGTCGTATTCAATCATCGGATGTAGTCGATCTGAAATATCGTAGCGGAACGGCCACATTGATTATCGAAGAAGCATTCCCCGAAGATGAGGGTCGTTACGAATGTGTGGCCACAAATTCTGAAGGCAAATCCACAACCAAATGTTTTATCACAATCAAACGTAAGTTTTGTTTTTTTTTTTATTCATTCAATCAACAAACATTAACATTTCATCACTTGAATAATAGCAATGGACAAAGCAAAAACGGCGAAACCAGTCTCAGCAACTGCCAAAAAAGCTCCAAGAATCGTCAGTCATATTCAATCAATAACTGTAAATGATGGACAATCAGCATCGTTAAGATGTACAATCAAATGTAAGTGAATGATGATTTCAGTAATTTCAGAATTTGTAATCTTATCTTTTGACTAAAAAAACATAGCTGAATCGCCTTTCGATGTGATATGGTTACACAACAGTAAAGAAGTGAAAAAGAGTAACGATTTTAATTATCGTCAAGTGGGCGATGATTTTATACTCGAAATAGCCGAATGTCTGCCCGAAGATTCTGGTATCTATACATGCGAAGCATTCAACGATGCTGGTGAAACATTCTCCACCGGAACCATTCTTGTCAAAGGTATATATTTGTCATTGTCGATTCTATAATCTATCATCTCATTATATACACAGTATCAGGTGACAATAATCAAGGATGCGGTATCATCGAATTTCCACGTTCAATAACCGGAACGATTAATAGTAAAGCATCGTTTACGATCGAAACCGATTCCGATGTTGATAAAGGTATGTTTCATTTAATGAATATAATGAATAGAATGATATATGCATTTTTTTTATCTTTTCATCATCAATTAGTCGAATGGTTACATGATTCTAGACCGATTGATAGCGATTTACAGACACAATCCACATCGAATAGGCAATTCAAATTGACAGTGTCAAGTATACGAGAAAAAGATGTTGGCCAATATACTGTACGATTGACGAATAAAAAGGTGCAACAACAACATTGGCATTCGCTTTGGTCATTATTAAAGAATAAATTATTAATTAATTAATAATTCACAACTCAAATCTTCAAAGCAAACAAATTTTTTTTTTTTACTGAAAATTCAATCAAATCAAATCAAATTATTATATAGATTAATTAAGGCACACACACACACACACGCTAATAATAATGGACAAAATCTAACTTATTGTTATTCTTATATATCGATATTTTAACATTTAAGAAAGGCACACACACACACACACACACGCACACATAAATTATTATTATTCTTGAAATATATAGAATTTTATTTATCAAAAAAAAAATGATTCTGATTCTGTGTGAGTACGTTATTTTTGAACAATATGATATTCAGTGTTTTAGATGGATAAAAAAAATAATAATATTGTTGTGCTGATGATGTGATGATGAGATGAGATGTGTGATAGTCTGATTTTCCATGGAATAAGTTTACAACAATCGTGTTTTGGCAATAATAATCGTAATTAAAGTTTTTCATCAAATTCTGCATCGAATGCTTGATTAGAATAATCATTGGTTGGTGATGGTTTCTGTATAACCAATGTTGGTAATGTATGTTGATTTGCTCCATTTGTTTTTGTTGTTGCTGTATTCATCTGTTGTTGATGTTGGTGTTGATTTTGTTGTTGTTGTTGTTGTTCCAATGTATGTAAATCATCACGGCTTAAATGTTCAACAATAGCTGAACCAAAAGCATCGCCCAAAACATTAATGGGCGTACGAATACGATCGACTAGCCAATCAATGATAAAAACTAATGAAATATCCTCTGGAGGCAATCCTAATGCATTCAATACGATCACCATTGTAATAAGGCCAGCCTGAAAAAAAAATATTAAACAACATTTGAATCAACATTAAATGATATTTAATAAATCGATCAATCAATCAATCAATCATCTATGTAAGTATTTGAATGAATGAATGAATGAATGAATAATGTTTTCCTTGTTCCCTGTCATCATCATCATCATCATCATCGTCATCGTCATTATTATTATCAAAATGTCAAATGTTCCATTTACCTGTGGTATGCCAGCTGCACCAACTGAAGCTGCTGTAGCCGTTATGCTTACAATGAGAACACGGGCAAAATCCATGTCAACTTCACGTGATTGAGCAATAAATATGGCTGCCACCGCTTCATAAAGAGCTGTACCATCCATATTGATTGTCGCTCCAATTGGAGCGACAAAACGAACTACATTACGATTTATTTTATTCTTCTCTTCCAAACATGCTATACTTGATGGTAATGTTGCCGTACTGGATGCTGTACCGAATGCTGTCAACAATGCTTCACCTTGATTCAAAACAAATCTATAAGGATTTTTACGGACTATCAAATAATATATTCCTGGTAGTATGAGCAATCCATGTACCAATATGCCCAATATAACGGTAAAGGTGAAAAAACCAACCGAACGAAATAACTGTCCAGCATCTTCAACGGCAATAATACGAGGTAGAATAAGAAAAGCAACACCAATCGGTGTAGCTTTGATCACCTGATTTGTCACCTGTAATGTCATTTCACTAAGATCATTGAAAATGTCTAACAGTAATGGTCGTCCTAATCGAGCCAATTTACCAACAAATATTCCAGATACTACAGACAATGTGACCAGGCCAAGAACATTGATACCATTCGAATGACTGGATTTAATGTTCCATTTACTCAAATCGGTTTCATTTGGCATTGATTTTGGTGCAACCAAATTGGTAGCATATTGTGAGAAAGTTGTTTGTACCACATTGTCCGGAATCAGATTTCTGATCAGATCTAAAACAGTATCCGGTGTGGTAATCTTACGTGATATTGTTGGTGCTTCACCAATGGTGGCTTGTTCCACTTTACCAGAACCAGGATGTAATGTAAGTACAAGAAAGATGCCCAAAGAAATTGCTATGGCAGTTGTACCACCATAATATATTAATGCACGTTTACCGATTTTACCAGAAATTTTTGAATCCAATGAACCAAGTGCCGAAACCAAACTGGATACAATCAACGGTATGGTTAAACATTTGAGTGCACGAAGAAAAAGTTCACCAGGAAATTCTAAATACATTAATTGACGTTCAGTCCATCGATGTGTAGAACTAGCACGTACAATAATTCCTATAATGATGGCAGCTATAACACCAAAACAGGTACATAATGGTAATAAATTTTCCTTTACCAAGGTACGTATTTTTTCTTGTCTGGTTTGTCGTGTCATTTTTTTTTTTTTTTTGATTGATTGATCATTGACCAATGTTTAATTATCACAAAATACACAAAATATCAAAAATTCAATTAATAATCAATCGATGATGACGATTCAGGCGATTCAATCGACAACAATACAACACTCAAATTAAAAATGTCAATTTGAATTTTTTTTTCAAGTTTCTATGTCGAAAAATGTCATTGCCAAATTTTTAAATGAAATAAAAAACAAAATATCACAGGGAAAAATCATTTAACAATAATTTCCCACCTCAAAACATGTAACGTATACACTTGAATATAATGAATGTCAACGATCTAATAATAATAACGATTAGTAGTAAAAAACAAAGCGGATTTCCGGAATTCTGGTTGGATCCTGATGAAATTCGGATTGGTGGAGGAGGAAATGAACACGAAGCAAAATGTACAAAAAGGCAAAGAATATTGTGGTGGTGGTTGGGGTGACACACTACTTGTTGTTGTTGTTGTTGTTGGTGATGGTGATGGTGGTGGTTCGATATTGATGAATTCGATTGTGCTATATTTATATCAAATGAAAAAAAAAAAATATATTCGTTATCTCAATATCTATCTATACTGATCAATCAAATCACTAGTTTTGATTCGATTCGATTCGATTCGATATATATGTGACTTGTTTGTGTTTGTAAAGAGCATCATCATCATCATCATCATCATCAATGATGCATGATGCTTGTGCAATGGATTCAATATATGTCTTGACTTGTTTTTTTTTTTTTTTTTTTATTTCATTGCATTTCTATCTTTTTCTCTTTTTCTCTATGCATGTATGTATGTATGTATGCATGTATGCATTATCTTCTCTTTTGTGGTAATGTATGTATATTCATATGAATCACGAATATATATATGAATTATCCATCACCATGTAGATTTTTGAATGTAGTTGTTTGAATCAAATTTGTATTTGTATTTTTTTTTTTTTTTTCGTTGTATGCTAAATAGCTATAGTTAACATTGATAATAATTTTTTTTTCTCTTTCTTCTTCTTTTTTTTCCCCAGAGATATATATTCGCAAACTGTTAATGAAATCAACAACAGCAACAGCGTTTACCACGAATGGGAAAAACTAGAGAGAGCCAATAATTTGACATTCATCATGATACACACACGCATGAAAATATAAACAAGATTTTTGTTTCCATACACACACTATATCGAATTCATTATCAACTATATAATCATATCACGTGCAAAAAAAACGAACACAAAAATTCATTTTTGTGTTTTTTCCCACTTACCTGAAAAAAAAACAATTGAAGAGAGATCAGTTATCAATGGCAATCATCATCATCATCATCAGAGCTAACTAAACAAAACAAAACAAAATGCTCAAATCAAACTGGAATTAAACTGATGATTCTTGTGTGTTTATATATAAAAATATCCAATTGTATATAAATGGACGATGATGATGATGGTGATTGCAATCCAAAACAACGGCGAAAACGATGATTGCAATCCAAAACAACAACAACGACGACGACGACAACGACAACAACGACGACGACGACGACGATGGTAACAATTATCAATGAATGTAAAAAAAAAAAAATTCTACAAATATGCTACTCTTCTCTTTTCTTTTCTTATTTGTATACACAACAGACACTATCGAAATGATGATGGTGATGGCTACTTGTTTTATTGTTCAAATAGAGCTACTACAACACCATCAACGATGATCAATGTTGTTGTTTTTTTTTATTTGAAATCCTGTTTTGAAATTTTTTTTTATGTTTTGTTTTGTTTTTTATTGATTGAAACAAACAAAAAAACAAGTCCAATGTAGAGTATGTCAGTGTTAACAAAAAATCAAGATCAGTGTATAGTGATTTGATTCAATTGAATGGCATAGAAAAAGAAATTTTTTTTTTTTTTTTTTGTAATGACCATCAACCAAATCTATCAATTTATAAAACAGATTGAAAAAATGGATCGGATTTAAAAAAAAGAAAAGAAATCAAAGAGTTAACCCAAATCATCATGTTCATTATCAAGGATGGTCATTGATTGATTGTAATTGCTTACATTTTAAAATTTCAACTGATCAACGGAACAAGATTATTATTCATTAATAAATCGAATAAATGAAATGGATTTCAATGTAATCGAAATTGAATTTATCATCGATGATGATGATGATGGTGATGAGATTTCAAAGTTCATACATTTTTTTTCTGGCGCAATCTTATTCAATCGATCGATATAATTTTTCTCTGTGTGTGTGTGTGCGTGTGTGTGTGTTTTATTGATTGACATCATACATTTGCAATATCGGGTGAAATATGATCCAATCGTTCGATCCAATTGAAGCAAATCAAAAAAAAAAAAAAAAAAAAGAAAGTAACTTGATGGATTCAAAATTTTTTTTATTTTTTTTTTTTTTTTTTTGTGTGTGTGGTCACGTGAAACCACATGATTTGGCCCAATTTGTTCAAGAACACTTTTTGTAAAAATATGATTTTTTTTTTATTATTGCAATAATACAACAACAAATGTCAATATTTTGATATTGGTTTTATTGATGATCATGATATGATAATGATGATGATGATTATCATCATATCATTAGCCAATTGAATCCAATTGGATAAGATATCTTAGTAATTCAATACAACTTGGTCGGCAAATTTTCACTTAACCAAAATTGATTTCTTCAATATGGCAGCGTTTCACATTCGAAATTAATTGCCACTTTTCATCATCATCATCATCAATCGATCCTATGATCAATACTAATTGTGATTAAAATGTATTTATGGCGGAAATCAACAAAGCACTAAAAAAAAAAATTATTATGATCAATCAAAATGATGATTGGGATTCAAAGTACAACAAAACAAAACAGAAATAAAAAAATCCATTTGCAAAATATTTGAAATTTTAAATGTATTATAATGGATATTATTCACAATAGATGGCGATGACTATGAAATATTTTTTTTTTTTTTGAATTATCATTTTTGTTTTATCACCACTAGATGGTGATCAAAAAAAAAAAAAAATTCTCTTTTTATCAATAACGATGTTTTTTTTGGCCACACCTCCATCGATGATATTCTCATACCTCAATGCTCAGCTTGTTATTGCAACAAGCACACACACACACACACACACACACATTTTTTTATATATATATACCACTACCACATATGATTGACAAACATGAATTTTTTTTTTTTTGGTTCATTCCATCTGAGAATTCATGGATCCATGAAATATAATTTATTATCATTTTCAACAACAACAATAACAACAACAACAACAACAACGACAACAAACTGATCAAAACTTTTAAAAAAAATTTAAATAAAACTGCAAAGTATTAAAAAAAAAAATTTAAAACTTGACAAAAAAAAACCAATCAACTTGCGCGGTAGCTTCGAAATAATTATCACATCTTTTCTGTGATTTTAACTGTCTCTGTCTGTGTGTATTATCTATCTCTATAAACATTGTGGTCACCACTGACGACAACACAATCTATTATTATCAATTGTCATCATCAAGTCCATTGACATTATATATTCAACATCATTGACCCTAGTCAGCAAACAAAGAAAAAAAATCTGTCATCCAATCAAAAAAATAGAGAAAGAATTCTTCTTCAAAAAAAAAAAAATCTAAAATCCCAACTTTAGATTCATCCATCTGGCTTCTTTTTCAAGGGATTATATCAAATTTTCTATGTGTTTGCGACTATCTGTGTTGGTTTAGGTTCGACAACTTTTACATCCATTCACGGGCTGGCCATCTGGATTTTCTTCCTTCAATTCGAACGTTTTGTTTTGTTCCAAACACACACGTACCAGTTTTTTTATTTTTTTTTTGGATCAATGAAATAATGATGAAAACGGCATGCAATATACGCCATGAAATATACGCCACCATTGTTTGTTTGTATTGCATACATAAATGAAACGTTTGAATTTTCGTATCTGAAACGTCAGTGACAACAAACCAAATTATTAATGCACAAAAAAAAAAAAAATAATACCCAGTGATAATGGTGGTTTCAAAAGTCATCATCCGATGCTCTAATTTTTTTTTCTCCATTCATATTCAGTCCAACCAAAACTAGCCATCTACAATTTATTTATTTAAACTTTGACATCCAAAAATAGACATCAAAAAGTAAGGAGGTAAGTTTTTTTTTTATTTATTTATTTATTTTTGAGATTATTTTACCAAATGTTTAGATTTTTGTAGATTGCATCTTATATCTCATTTTTTTCGGTCATCATCATCATCATCATCATCGTTGATGATAACGGCCATGATGATGATCATTTAGGCAATTCAATTCATAATGGTTCAAATGTATTTGTATTGTGTCATCCATTTTTTTTTCGAATGAGTACACCTTTTTTTCATTTTACTTTGAAATAGTTTTTTTCCTGATTTCCTTGAAATTTTCAGTGATTTATTTATTTATTCATTGTTTTTTTTTCTCATTTCGTTTTTCACATCAAAATTTCATCCGTTCAAAGTTTTTGGCAACCATTCAACTTTGAACAGGTCGATGGCCGACACTTTTTTCCACTTTTTTTTTTTTTTTTTTGTTTCGTCTCGATTCATTTGATATGATGATGGTGAAAAAAGAGAAAGAGAGAAATTCAAGATTATCACATCAAGTCAAATATTTCAAGAATAAATGAATGAATGAACGAATCAAGTTATTGTCCGAATGTTGAAAAGTTGTCCAACAACAACAACAACAACAACAACGACGACGACGACCATGATGACGACGACGACTTATTACTGTCCATATAAAAACTTGAATCGAATCAATGATGCTAATCGTTTATATTTTGACCTTGAATTGAAAAAAATTTTTGCCTTGTTTAAAGCATGTAAAAATAGTTGTTCCTGATTTGGAACAAAAATAAACAAATGTGAAATTTCTTTACCGGATATTCAAAATAATATAATGATATATATACGTTGTTTAGGAGTTTTTCTTTCGTTTGTTTTGTCGTGATTTTTTTCTTGCAGAAATCTTTTAATTTTATTAGCATTTTTTTTAATGGTCATCATCATAATAATGATGATGATGATAATTGCCATGAATTATGGCTCTAGTATACACACAAGGGTTGAACTTGAATTCTTTTTAATGTTTGTATGAACTATGATGATGATGATGAATTTGATATGCAAGCATAGAGGTCTCTTTTTGTTTTCTAGTTTTCAACAATCACGATGACCACCATCCATGAATGATGATTATGATGATGATATCATGTCCATTTTTTTTATATTATGATGATTATTATTTTTAACTACTTTTGACCATCATTTAATGATGATGATGTTCATCATTTTCGATAAAATAACCCTGGTGGTGGTCAATTAATGTTTTTTTTCTAGAAAAAAAAGCCGAAACCCGGCCCATTGTTTAAAATCATCCAGAAAAAAAATCAAACAAGTTCACATTACAGTTTATGAATATTTGTTTATTTTTTGTTTGTTTCTCAACAATCCTCTTAGCATTTTATTATGAAAAAAATTCATTTTGTTGTTGTTGTTGTTCCTGTTTGTTGCCAACCACTTCAAGTTTGTTCGATGATGAATGAATGATGGATATTTTGCTGACGAAAAAATAAAACTGAGACCATAGTTTTTTTTTGGCCATTTCATTTTGAAACAAATTTTTTTTTACTCGTTTAGTTTCATGTTTGCCTTATTCAGTGAATCGTTGTTGTTGTTGTTGTTGTTATGATCCATTTGGATTGATGGCAATGAGGAAATGGGAAAAATTTTTTTTTCTTTTCATTCATCAATCCTTTTTTTCCTGTGATATATAATCTCCAGAAATCATTTCTATATGATAATCGTTTCTATAATTTCTTGCCATGATGTTTTCGTGTGTGTGTGTGTGTGAAAAAATGACATTTTTTATCATCACCATTTTTTTTTTTGTTTGCTTAAGTGAAGCTTCTTGAAAAATAAAAAATTTTGTCTGTTATATCATCATTCAATTTGATGATAGATTCGATTTTTTTTTTATATATATCACATCTCATCGATGATAATGATGTCTGTGATAAAACATTTGTCAGTGGTGGTGGTGGTGTATTGCTAAATCATTTTTTTTGTTTGTTTGTCTGTTTAAATAATAACCAATTGAATGAATGAATTGTTGCCAGACTAAACAACAACAACAACAATAATAACAATCACCAATATATTGCAATAAAAGGTAGGTGTTTTCTGCGTTGTATATGACCATTATTATGTGCGTAGGTGCCATGATGATGGCGTGAAAAAAAAATTCCATTACATCACACGTTATAATGTATGTATGTATGTATATATTACACATTGATTTTCAATCAAATCAAATCTTTTATTCCATACTATTTGATTCAATTTCGACAAAATAAGCTTCCTGTTTGCTTCGTTTTTTTTTATATTTATACAACTTTGTTTTCATGTTTGTGTTGTGTTGTGTCGTGGATTTTTGTACCTGTTTGTCTGAGCATCACTTTTCGATTTGATCTAAATCATTCAGGATGTCGACGAAATGATTTGTTATTTAATTAATTAATTTTTTTTTCTTTTAATCTTGTTCTTTATCTACGTATATATAAAATCACGCATCAAGCATACATATCGATTTGATTGATGAACAACAACAACAACAACAATAACAATAAAAATAATACCATAACCACGCAGTATGTGTAGTTGGATCACAATTTGGTGACATAAATATCAAAAATCTCCATGTATTCATCTATTGTATGTGTATAATTCCGTTTTTATTATTATTATAATAACGGTATATCTAATGGTATTTAGTTTACATTGGAAGCTTTACGACCATTATCGTTATCGTTATCTTTCGTTTTTTTGTTTTGTTTCACATACATTCTTTGAATTGATCACACAAGTGGTTTTTGTGATCGATCATATATACATGGCAAAACCACACACACACACATACACACACATAAAAGATATATCTAGCCAACGATCAAATGGAATGTGTATTATTATTATTATCATTTTAAAACTACACATTCTCCCGATTCGGTTTGTATTTTTTTTTTGTTATTAGTCTAGTGTTGATTGTCATTTTTTTTCTTGATTTTTATTTCTAATGATCAGTGATCCAGTGATCTAAATTTACAGTGGCCAAATATAAAACATATAAATCCAATGAAAATTAATGTCTTTGGTGGGCTTTTTTTTCCCATTCAAACTGCCCATCACATCATCAGGTATGTGTGTGTGTGTGTGTATGTATATTTGCATCCTTCATCATATGAATGCGGTGAAAATTTTCACCAAAAACCTTTGATGATATTTGTACGTTTTTTGTATTTGTGTTTTTTATTATTTGGAAAATTTTTTATGGTTTGAATTATGGTTTTGTAAAATTTTATCATGTTTTTCTTTTGATCAAATTGTTTTTTTGTTTAGTTATTGCTTACCAAACGATAATGGTGATGATGATGATTATCGTTGTGGTTGTTGTTGTCACCACCATCATCATCATCATCACCATGGTTATATCTCGTACGTGCAAATGTGTATATGTGTGTGTGTATGTTGAATATTTTTTTTTTTTTGTTTTTTTATATTTATTTATTCAATTCAATGTGATTTATGTATGTGTTTCTATATAGTTGTTAACAGTTTGTTTTTGTTGAATTTTTTCAATTTTTGATTCGGTTCGATGATTTTTTTTTTTGCTTTTTCGTTTTGTATCGGTGGTAAAAAAAAAAAAATAAAATCCAATTAGAAATGGCAATGAAAATTATCATTCATTGGAATTTGGTGTTTTACGAAAATAATAATAAAATTCATCATGAATGAATGAATGTGGTTAATTAACATTATTTAATCATAAAAAATGATAATTTTTCTGATGATGATGATGATGATAAGATTCAAAGTGTTGAAATATATTTTTCATGATTTGCTGATGTGTGTAGTAAGCAGCCTGTATAATGTACCTGTTTTTGTTTGATTTTTGTTTTCTGGTGAGAAAAAAAAATTATTGATAATCGATTTTCTTTCTTTTTTTTTTTTTTGAAATTTTGCAAATGTTTATGAGGTCAAACTTGTGTATTTGTGGTCTGTTTATCCATTTTTTTTTTTTTTTTTTTTTGGCAAACAACACGATCATCAATTGATTGTCGATGATGGTGATGTTTTACATGTTTTTCTCAAAAAAAATTTTTTCCATTCATTCATTGATGATGATGATGATGATGTGCCCCTTGTTTTTCTATTATTATGACGGTTAAATATCCGTTTTCGATGTATTCATCTTGTGATGTTTTCATGTTGATGATCATTGATTGATTTTTGTGTGTGTGTGTGTGTGTGTTTGGTCTCTATCATGTGTTTCTATGTGTTGTTGTGATTTAATAGTATGGCCACATATATCATGATAGTTCATTATGTATCTAAATAATTGTTTGGTGTATGTGTGCGTGTAACTTTTTTTGTTGTTGCATTGCGAACTGGAAACATTATATTCACAATTTTGCAATTTAATTCATCACATCATCATATGTAATCAACAAATGAATCAAATTATCGCATTTCCTTCTCATCATCATTGTTTTTGCAATTTGTAACTCCGGGATTGCATCTTAAATGTATTTATATAAATTTGAAATTCAAATGATTAATTCAGGTAGGTAAAAATCCGGTTTTCAAAATGTCTTTTTTAATTATTGAATTTTAATTGTAAATTTTCAAATAATTCATTTGTTGCTGTCATTTTTTTTCGATTGATTGATTGATTGATTCATTGTTCTATTATGATAAATGAAAAATTCATTCACATACACAAATACGAAAAAAAAACAACTTGGCAATTATGAATAAATCATGGTTTAGTTATGTAATTTGACGCTTCATTTGAAGGTCGACTGCCACCACCAACATCACCACCACCGCCACAATACAATACAATACCATGCATGCATGTGTTTTATATATGATATATGAAAAAATGAACAGAAAAGAAACGCGTTTTTGTAATTTGATGTATGAATCTCACTGGCAATATATGTGAAAGTTGTCCATTCAACAATATTTTTCAAGCATTTGCTTTGTTGTTATTTGATTCGGTTAATTCATAATACCGAATTGTCATCATCATCATTATGGATAAAGAAAATGCACGACAATTTCAATGACTTGTTCATTTGGTTTTTTTCCTAAAAAAAATCACGACTTCAATGTCATTTCAATTCAAAAAAATGACAAATCTTTTCCGTTGTAAATATACAACTTTTATAATAAACTAAATTATTAATTTGAGCAACAAGTGTGTTTTTGATTTTTCTTTTTCATGTCACACATCTATCTATCTATCTATCTATCCAAATGATTTAATTCAACTTGGTTATTGTCGTTGATGATGACAGTTGTCACCATTATAATGGTGAAATTCATAGAAAAACATAAATAATCATCATCACATATGTATCAATCAATCAAAGTGTCTATTTTTTTTTTTTTTTGCTGTCATCGATTCATCCATAATCCATAATTACATTTTAAGTGTCCCCCTCTGTGTGTGTGTTCGTGTTTATCAGTTTTATCATCATTTCAACAAAATCCGCGCATATACACACACTTGACAAAAATTGTTTATTTCTCTGTATGTGTGTATGTTTTTTTTAAATGTTCAGTTCATTAATCTCGATGTTTTGTTTGTATTTTGTTTTTGTATTTTGTAGGATTTAATTGGATATAAATTATTTATAATAATAATAATAAAGAATGCCATCGACAATAACATCAACATCATCTATGTCATCATCGTCAATGATGATGATGATGATGGTAAACAACAACAACAACAACAACAATATGTCAACATTAACGACGGCTGTTACACGACCAAAACAAGTGATCAAAGATTATTGCCGTCAAAAACATTATAAAGGACCTATTTATTATTTAACACATGAGGAAAAAGTTGATCTTCATAAACATTATACCGTACAATTATGGATCAATGATAATTTCAATGCCAAAGGTATTGGCCTTTCCAGACGTAATGCTGAATTCAAAGCAGCATTAGAAGCTATCCAATTGTTTCATGAGAATGATCCATCCATATTGGAGCTAATAAAACAATCAAATGATCGATCATTCGGTAGCCTAAGACGTCGTCGACCAATAAATCGGTCATTTAGTGTTGATTATATATCAAATGCTAATCGTGCCGATTCATTTGCATCGATGGCCAATGGTCATTATGATGCAAATGATGGCCGTCAGTCCGTAACACCAAGTATGGATGGTATTGATTCAATTACATTAAAAAGTGATTGTAAGTGAAAAATTGAATGAAATGTACGGAAGTTTAACTTATAAATTGTTGTTTTTGTTCCCTTTCAAATAGATTCCAATGTTATGGCATTATCGAACAATGTTATTGATAAATCTAAAGACAATTTTCATCATAATCATCACGAAACATCATCGGATGAAGGTGTTTGTACGGAAGAAAGTGAATGCTCAAATTCAGCACTTCCTTCACCGAAATTAAACAATCATAGACAAACAAAGGATTTGAAACGAAACAGTTATAATAATGATAATACGAAACGATCATTTAGCTTTTTGCCATCATCATTAATGTTATTAAGTTCATTACGTGATTTTAGTCGTAGATCTTTTCGGCGATCAAAATCATTATCAAATAATGGACGACGAAAAACTGAAACCGATAATGAACCATCATCAACAGCATCGACGATATCAGCATCGTCATCATTATCATCATCATCATCATCGACAACAACACCAAGACCGATATCATCATCATCCAGTTCATCATCATCATCAACATCGGCATTTTCATCCGATTCATCCATATCATCCACACATCAAACAATACATAACAATGCAAAAGATCATCATAATGACTTTGGTGAACCACAAATAATGGCTACAACATCTATGATAATACCAATGAATGAAGAAGCAGCAATAATTCATTCTAATCATTATCAATCATCAAATATAATTGTTGAATCAATTATTGAAGAAGAGGAAGAAGAAGTGGAACAATCGAATAATGATGAAAATAATAACAATAATAATAAAAATAATAACAAACAATCATCATTATTATCAATAAATCGTAGCTTATTATTCAATAATGGCAGCAATAAAAGAATCGATAGAATTGATCATAACCAAAATGGTATTATTCGTAGCTATTCAAGTTCATTATTATCACAGCAACATGTTTGTCCACATAATCATTTCTCAATATATGGACCAATTCTTTGTAATAGTACGGAAAATTGTTCCACTCTACATAGTCACCACAGGGAAACAATTGAAACAAGTCCAACAGCAATATTATTAAAATATTGTATACGAATGTATCTACCATTACCATATTATGATATACATTTTGATCAAAAATTTATGGTTACATGTCGTGTGATAATGTCAATTGAATCATCAACAAATAATAATAATAATGATCAACAACAACAACAACAACATCGCAATCCAAAACGTACTATACCGGAACAATATATTGATCATCAATTTACAGCTAAAGGTCATGGTGAAATATTACGTGAAGCTAGAAATATGGCAGCTAAATTGGTTATTAATAAATTGACTGTTGCTGGTCTTTTCCATGATGAATAACATTGGAATTGAACAACACAACACCATTTAAAATCCAATACTCTCTAATCAGCTTTGACTAAATTTTTTAAAACTTTATTATTATCGATTATGGATTATTAATATTTATTATTTTCATCTTTAAATACACACATATATATACAATCATCATGATGAAATGAAATGTCATTTTTTTTTACTTTACTTATGATGATTATTATTATATTTTTATTTTTATAATTCATAGTTATTATGATGATTATTGATTGATTAGAAATTTTTTTTTTGTTTATAAATAAATACATGATGAATTAATCTTGTGTTTGATAATTTTTTGCGTGTGCATATGTGTGTGTATGTTTTTTCTTGGTTGACCATGATTGTTGTTGGTGAATGAGTCACAATTGATTTGATTCGATTTTTTTTTTTGATTATTAACTGGCAATATGGGTATGTTTGTTTGTTTGTTTGTGTGTGTGTATGTATTCGATTGGTGTTTTTTTTCTAGGTGAAATTGATTTTCTAATCAAATCAAATAAATGGATCCTACAACAGAGAATGATATTTGTAGAATAGAAAAGGAAATCCTTGATGATTGAATTTATTCATTCAACATTCGATAATGATCGATAATGGATAAATAATATCTAAACATTGGAATCTCATTGACATTTCCTCGCTACATATACCATAAACCAACCACATCCTCATTCAATTCATTCATTCATTTCCGTTTTCATTGAAACAAAAACCAAAAAGCAAAACAACGACAACAACAACACTGATAGATCAATGAAATCGCCGTTCCGTTTTCAGCAGCAGCAGCAGCAACAACAACAACAACAACAACAACAACAGCTATAAAAATTACAAAGACGACAAATACAACAAAATTCTACGAAATAATTGATACAACATGCACACACACACACACACACACAATATTTATTCATCATTTATAAATATCATTACCAAATAAAAATCACTGGAAATTTTTTTTTTTTCGATTTTAATCAACAACAGTTTTTTTGTGTGTGAATTTTGTATTGATTTTCAAAACAAACGACAACGACGACGATGATGATGATTCAGTCCATTTTGAATTTGATTGCCATTTGTTTGGCAATTACCATTGTCTAATCTGGTGAAAAAATTTTTTCTTTACACATTGGTTTTTTTTTATTTTTATTGATTACAAATCAATTTTATCAATTTGGTTTTTTAGTGGTGGCAAAAATTTTGTTTGTCCACTGCTTTATTTCTATTTTCTTTTCTGATGTGAATGAAATGAACTTGTGGACACTTTTTCCAAAACAGTGAGAAAAAAAATGGTCAATTTGTTGAAAATGAAATTCCTATACCATTCAAATGTGATGAAATTATTATATTTTTCATCATCATTATTATTGATTGGATTCTGTGAATGTCAATCGGGACCATTTTCGTATGGACATTATTCACAGGCAATAACAGCAACAACAACAATTAATGATTCAACGACAATATCACCATCAATTTCGACCACCACCACCATTGCCATCACAACAAATGATTTTGTTGCACGAAGGAAAGATATGCACCTCAATGACTATCGATCATCATCATCATCATCATCATCATCATCACCAACGACATCGTCATCGTCAACATCGACAACAAAATCTTCTGCATTAAGCAAATTATTTGAACAATCAATAGCAAAAACATATCGATCATATGAGAAAAGTAAGTTGATTTTTTTTTGTTTTGTTTTGTTTTGTTTCGTTTCGGTAAAAAAAAATGATCATATATCTATGGCTATAGGATATAGAAATTGTCCATCATTACGGAATGCATTGAAAAATGGTTATGTAAAATTACGTTCATATCCAAATCGTGTAGCTCGATTCACCTGTAATAAAGGATACGATTTAATTGGTAATCGTTATTCTACATGTAGCCGTAATCATTGGACACATGATTTACCTGTTTGTGTTTGTAAGTGTTTTTTTTTTTTGTTTTCATTCATTGCAAAAGAATAAACTTATCTTCTGGTAATAACATTATTATTCAGCAACATATTGTCCAAATAAATTGAATGTACCACCACCATTGATTGTACGATTAATATCCAATCATAGTAGTGTTGTTGATCTTCAATGTGAAATTGGTTATCGTATTCAAGTGACAAAAAAAACCAGTGGCAGATATTTTTCCGATTTTGATCATAATTCATATCAAGCATCATCGATACGTGCATATTGTGTATCAAAACAATGGCTTATTGATGATTGGAATCAACCAGATCATTCATATACATCATCGATGATTCCATTAGATCAATGGCCAACATGTGAAAGTGAGATATATTTTTTTTTTCTTTGTTTTGTTTTTTTTTTATTAATCAATGATTTTTTTTCTATCACAAAGTTTATGAAAAGCCAATAGAAAAATCAATGAATTGTACATTCGAAAATAGATATGGATCAATTTGTGGTTGGATGCAAGGTATGTGTTTTTTTGTTTGTTTGTTTGTTTGTTTGTTTACTTTTAAATTTAATTCAAAATCAATTCCATTTATTCATTCATTGATTGATTATTTGCATAGATAATGATGATGATTTTGATTGGACACGTAATTCATTTACAACACCATCATTTTTAGATGGAACTGGACCATCATTTGATCATACATTTGGTGTGAATAGTAGTGGAAATTATCTTTATCTTGAAAGTTCATATCCACGTGCATCAAATGATATTGCCAGACTTTATTCACCTGTATTTCAACATGTTGAAAATTCATCTATCGCTTGTTTTCAATTCTATTATCATATGTATGGTAAAGCTATTGGAACATTACGTGTGTTTGTTAAAGAAAAATATCAACGTTTTTCCGATTTGGAACCAGTTTGGGAAATGTCTGGTGATCAAGGTGACCAATGGCTTGCTGGACAAGTGGAAATTCAACCAATATCGCCTACATTTGCATTGCAACCATTTCAAATTATCATTGAAGGCATTCTCGGTAATGGACATCAAGGTGATATTGCTATCGATGATTTGTTATTAACATTGGGTAAATCATGTTCAATGATAACTACCAATTCAACTACTGTCGATGTTGTTAGTGAACCATCAATCGCTGATATTCTAGATTCAACTGATTCACCAATCAATTCAGTGAATTCATCATCATCAATATTACCAAAACCATCAAAATGGCATGATTCACATTTTACAGAACTGGACGATGATGACATGGAAATGGATACATCTCATTTGAATGATCCAATATTACCACATAATGAAATTTTTCGTTCAATAGTACATCTTAAACCTATAACGACACCACTAACAACAACAACAACAACAACGACGACGACAACAACAACAACAACAACAATTGCAACGACCACTAAAGCGACAACACCTTCCACCACAACAAAGACAACAACAATAAAACCGAAAATATCAACGATTATTGCGACACAAACTGAATCAAAGTCAACAACGTCAACACCAACGACGACGACGGCGACTACGGCAACAAGTAGTCATATTTCGACTACGTTAAAAAATATCACTGAATCATCAACACGATTATCGACGACAACCGGATTGAATGCAGCATTACAAGCAAAAGCTATAATCGATATCACTGATATCACTAATGATAAAAAACATTTCGCTGCCCATTGGTCAGTCATAATGATCGTATTCATTGCATTGTTAATCATTATTGGAGCCATTCTATATGTTGCTTATATTAATCTACCAATAAAACCATCATCATCATCAACAGATGGATTAGTAGCAATATTTGTTAATCGTTGTAAATTATTTCAATCATCATCATCATCGTCGTCGTCGTCATCTTCGTCAGCATCATCACATTATGGAAGATTTAATCATCATGATGATTCAGAATTATTAATGGTTAATGATGATGATAATCAACAACAACAACAACAACATCAACATCTAAATCATTCAATGATTGATGATGATCATCATTGTGTTTATTTAGAGCCACATTTGGATCTTTGAATAATTTTTAACATTCGAATTTGTTTGTTTTTTTTTTACAACAAAAAAAAAGAGATTATCTTTTCTCATGATTATTTGTTTCTGATTTAATAATAATAATAATATAAAAATAAATTCATTCAGAATTTCATCGTTGGATTCGTTGGATTTTGAATTTTTTTTTTTTTTTTTTGGTTATTCTGTGTAGCTCAAGCACAAGTGATGCCCACTTTTTTATCTTTAGATGTTTGTGAACCTTCCTGATTGACGCACCAACAAACACCAGTGCCAGTTTCACATTGTTTTTGATAATAAAGACCATCACGTGCACAATTTGGAATGTATGAACCAGATGGGGCTATGAATTGATGACAAAAACAAAAAACGAAAAAAAAATAAATTTTGTTTTGTCTTTGAAAATTTTTTTTTTTAGTTCACTTACGATCAATTGGTCGACCATTAACACTTAAACGTTTTTCGGCATCATGTTTTTGTAAATCACATTTACAGAATTTACGATTACGTGATGGTTGTGTAATCTGGTTACCATCCGGTGTGGCACAATAACAGAATTTACTTTCAGGAAAACATTGTAATGGTGCATAATCACCATTTTCCATACAACGTACATCCAATTTTAATGGTGTGTTTTCTTTTTTATCTTCTTTTTCTTTTTGTAATTGACATTCGGTTTTACCTATGATTACAAATTATTATTATTATTATTGAAAATTTTCACCATCATCACCATTTCGCGCATACACAAAACAATCATTACCTTGTGATCGGACAATGGTGACGGTTATGGCCATCATAATGGCCATAAATAGCATCAATTTTGAATACATTTTGTTATACAAAAAAAAAAAATTTTCTAAATAAATCAAAAAAATCAATATGCAAACTGTAATGATGATGTTTGTTTGTTGTGCGTATCGTTCAACAAATGAATATGATTCAAAATCAAACGAATCATCACATTTTTATCATCCACATCATCATCATCATCATCGTCGTCGTCGTCGTCGTCGAATCCATTCCACTGTGTTGTGTTTGTTGTTGTTGTTTTATTTGGTTGAATTCAAATTAAAATTAGCTTCAACCTTGTTTTGTTTCAACAACTATATAGTTTGCCCTTTTAAAATCAATCATTTAATCAATCAAATCAAATCAAATCAATTAATCTGTCTTTATATTATATTGATGTGTATGAAATGAAAGAAATTATAATCAGCATTGATGAAAACTAGAAAAAAAATGATTCACTTACTCATCATTCATTCATTTTATCACTAATTTTACAATGAATTTGGGGAAATTTCTCTCTCTCTCTCTCTCTGTGCTGTGTGCTGTGTGTGTGTGTTTTTTTTGTGTTTATTCCATTGAAAATGTATATATTGCACATTATCGAAATAAATTCAAACATTCCAGTTATCATTGACAAAAAACGATATCAATATCACAATCAACCCACCGAAAATACATTATCATCCATCATGCTAATCACATGTGTGGTAAGTCCTGTTCATTTTTTTCTCCACTTCTTTTTCTATTCATCATCATTATGTGTGTGTTTTTTTTGGTTGCAAGTTGAGTGCGTGTTTTGTGTGTGTGTGTGTGTGTAATTCAAATTTTTTTTCGCTTGTTGTCAAGCATGATTATTATTATTACGATAAATTGATAGCCATTGAATAGCAAAAAAAATGATTTACAAACATGACAAACATTAATCAATCTGATGATGATGATGATGATGATTGTCAATGAATCGGATTTAGATCATTGATGAAACCATCCAATATCTGTTGTAATCTATTAACTAAATTGGTCATAATATTGAATGGACCGCTAAAATCAATAATTGATGATGTTGATGAATCCAACAATATTTGTTGATTATTATTCATTGTTTGTACAATGGTCAATAAATCTAATTTGGATTGATCAATTTTTGGCTGTGAAACCAATTGTGATTGTGCCATTACAGTGATTAATGGTGTTATATTCTGCATAATGGCCATCAATGCATTTTGTGCTTGTCCTAAATTTTTTTCTGCATTTTTTTGATTTTGTTGTTGTTGTTGTTTCTGTTTGTTATGATTATTATTATTCGGTTTCACCATTGACGATGATGATGATGATGATGATGAGTGCGATGTGCAACAAGTAAATCGATCTGTATGATTAAATGGTTTCTGTAGTTCCTGTAATAATTCATTCAATAATTTTCTTTGCTGTTTAAGCTGTCGTAATGTATCACCACCACGTACAACGGATTCAGATGGCCGTACGGTTGTTGTCGCTTTTTCCAATTTTGAATGGCCAACTTTTATCATTGTTGTTGTTGTTGTGCTTGTTGTCATATGATGATGTGGGTGGTGCGGTTTTTTTGGTTTTTCCGTCGTTGTTGTACATTTAGTAGTAATTGGTTTTTGAGTTGTTGTTGTTGTGGTTGATTTGTGTGTTATTTCAGGCTTTTTTTCATGTTTCGATGATGATAATGATGATGATGATGCCAAAACATGTAGAATCTTATCAATTTGTGTTTGCTGTTTTTGCTGATTTTTCATCAAATTTTCCATCATTGTACGCAAACGATTTTGTTCAATATGATCATGTTGTTTTTGTTCATGTTGTCGTAATGTTCGGATCAATTGTCGTAATTGATTTGGATCAATTTGTTTTGTTGATTGTTTAACAATTTTTGGCTGTGTAAAAATATTTGGCTGTAGATTACCGCTAAATATTTGAACTAGAAATCGTAATTGTGTTAGAATTAAATTATTTATTGGATCAGACCATGTTAGATAGCCAACACTGTCCACTAGGCTAAGTGTTGCTTGATAAGCCAATGGTCGTAAATAATAAGTGTCCATTAATTGATTTGAATATGATGACATTCGATATAGATAGTATGTATGTCGTAATCGACGTAATAATATGGTTAAACGATTTAAACTTTGATGATCATTTGATTCGATTTTTATTTGTTTTCCATCATATTCGTCATCTGTTGGCAAACGTATAGTATCGATCATTTGTAATCGTTCAGTAAGCGCAAGAAGTTGATTGATCGGTGTGAATACAGTGGTTTTATAACCAGGAATTGGTATGCCAAAAAATGATCGACAAAGATAATCAAATTGATCAAGAATATCGGTACCGATTCCATAATTTTGTTTTGCCAATGATTTTGGCTGTTTTGGTAAACGTTGTTCCAATTTTGAATTGATTATTCGAATCACCATTTTCTGTAACGATACAACCTGATCACCGGTAGCAAGGAAATCTTTTTCCAATCGATAAATATCACCATTTTGATCAAAATGATCACAAGATTGTTCGAATTCTGTAGCGATTTCTGTACATTTTTCATGGATCGGTTCATAAATGAAATGATCATGTAATTGTAGTTCATTTTTCAATGCATCAATCTGTGACCAAGTCATTTGTTTATAAACTTTAGCAATCGATTCATCCATTGATGGATATGATTGTATTTTTGTTGCGTCCACATTTTCATTCACCAATTCTGTAACGAATGTCCGATTTGCCGATTGTTTCAACAGATTGATTGCCACCGATTGTAATTGATCATTCAATTCAAATTGGTCATCATCATCTACATTGTTAAAATTTTGTTCATCATCACCATTGATTGAATAAAAAATATCGATCAACAACAGAATGGTGATCGATAACCAGATTAAAGTTGATGATGATGATGATTTCAACATGACAATTATGATGATGATGATGATGATGTGATGATCGTTTGTACATCAATTCAATAATAAAACAACCATATAAATGATGATGTTTGAAAGTTGAAAAATTTTGTAACTTTTTTTTAACATATCATCGTCAAAAAAAAATTGAAAACGGAAATAGAAATGTATTCTAGATCATAGAACATTTCCTTGTTCCTGGTTCAAAGTACTATTTATAGTACATATTGACTATTTTAAATATTTCGACGAATGAATGAAATAAAATAAAAAAATGAGATTTAATTTTAAGCCAAATTCAAATTTTATAATTGCACACAGGAAAATGAATCAGGAAATAGTTAGACCCCTAGCATCGACCTAATATCAAATGAGAAATAGTTTGACTTTTTGCAGCCAGAGAGAGAGAGAGAGAGAGAGAGAGAGATATTCGCCATTATTTTTCACTAAATTGTTCAGACACGTATTCTATGACCGGTCCACGGCACAGGATATAGTGCGCTTTGTTTGGCTTTGACATGCTCGTTTTTTTTTGTTCGACACACAAGCAACATACGCAATTATTCTCGTTCTCTCTCTTACTTTTGAACAACTCGATTAATTTAGTTGCGACATATGTGGTAAAAAAAATTCAAAAGTAAACCAAATTTACGCGATAAGAATCAATTACAAAATCTTGCACCAGTAACATGTCCCATATATGTGATCGAAAATTTCAATATTTAAATATAATCTTAATTCATCAGATGAAAAGATTTCATCGTAACGATAACAAGAATAATTCCAACACAAGAACAACTACAGAATGATTCGGAATCAGTAACATTGTATCGTGTTTGTGATCGTCAATTTCGACAAAAATTGTATCTAAAATGTTACATGGAGCGGAAACATGTTTGTCCACATAATCATTTCTCAATATATGGACCGATTCTTTGTAATAGTACGGAAAATTGTTCCACTCTACATAGTCACCACAGGGAAACAATTGAAACAAGTCCAACAGCAATATTATTAAAATATTGTATACGAATGTATCTACCATTACCATATTATGATATACATTTTGATCAAAAATTTATGGTTACATGTCGTGTGATAATGTCGATTGAATCATCAACAAATAATAATAATAATAATGATCAACAACAACAACAACATCGTAATCCAAAACGTACTATACCGGAACAATATATTGATCATCAATTTACAGCTAAAGGTCATGGTGAAATATTACGTGAAGCTAGAAATATGGCAGCTAAATTGGTTATTAATAAATTGACTGTTGCTGGTCTTTTCCATGATGAATAACATTGGAATTGAACAACACAACACCATTTAAAATCCAATACTCTCTAATCAACTTGATTGACTAATTTTTTTTAAATTTCATTATCGATTATGGATTATTCGGAATCAGTAAAAAAGTTGCGACATATGTGGTAAAAAAAATTCAAAACTAAACCAAATTTACGCGATAAGAATCAATTACAAAATCTTGCACCAGTAACATGTCCCATATATGTGATCGAAAATTTCAATATTTAAATATAATCTTAATTCATCAGATGAAAAGATTTCATCGTAACGATAACAAGAATAATTCCAACACAAGATCAACTACAGAATGATTCGGAATCAGTAACATTGTATCGTGTTTTTGATCGTCAATTTCGACAAAAATTGTATCTAAAATGTTGCATGGAGCGGAAACATAGCAACGTTTACAAGAATAATTCCGACGATATCATCAAAACTGATAATAGGAAATTTGGCCGTCCAAAATGTTCATATATATAAATTTAAAACAAGATATTTGTTTTTTTTTCGTCATATAAAAACTCATCATTGAATTGATTAAAAAAAACAAATTGAAATTGATTACAAATTGATTACTATTATTATTTTTTTTTATCATTTTTTTATTATTTAAAAATTGTCTGAACATTTTATGACTTAATTAAATGGTTTGATGATTGTGGTATATAGTTAATTTATTTCTTGATAAAAATTCAAGCTATTTTTTCGATTTTGAATAGTCATGAAATAGTTAGACCTAGTATCAAATGAGAAATTTTCCTCTGTGTGTGTGTGTGACAATAATAAAAAAAAATTTTTTTTTTCTGTTGACTAGATTTTCCTGTTTGTTAGTTATATGTCTATGTATACGATGATAATTGTCTATTCAATACAGTGTTTGATGTTGCTATCGATGATTGTGAACTGGTTGTCGATTGTGAATGATCTTCTGTTCGTATTGTATTATTATTAGTATTGGGCATCATTGATTTTAATTTCATTTCAATCAATTCAACATCCAATGGATTACGACCAATTGAAAATCCTCTTGATCCTGGTGATGATTCAGCTATGATCGATGATGATGCTATACTATTATGTGATGATATGATTGTCGATAAACTTGATTGTCGTGTATGAATATTACATTCATCTGGTGATTCTGTTTGGAGAGAATAAAAATTTGGTTAAGACGAATGTTTTTTTTCATATAACACTTACTTGAATCATTTTCATTAAGATTGTTGGTTGTAGCACTTGTTCGTTGTTGTTGTTGTTGTTGTTGTTGTTGCAGTTGATCATTGTCGATTGTTTCACGATTTTCATTGTCAAATAATGCCTGTAATGATTGTAATGTAAACATAATAGTACGAAAATTTGCATTTTTTCCAGCACGAAGCGTAACAGAATCGGCACCAACTTCCATTAGATCAAAACCAAGTGATGCATAAAGTTCATGACAACCTTGTATGGACCAAAGTTTGAGATTCAATGTTTCTAGATATGATGCAAGTAATGATAATAATAACGAAGATGATGATGATGATGATGATGATTGATGTACATCATGACATTGACCATATTGAACAATATGATCAAGTTTATCAATTATATGGCTAACAAATTCAGATGAATTTGAGATCAATTTTGAAACGGCAGCTATGGTAGCCGGTGAAAGTGCTAATATTGCTTGCAATGCATTCGAACATCGTTGTAGACGACCATTTGGATCGGATTGTGGAAAAAAAACACAAGCTGGTAGGCCATTTGTTGATGATGGTTCGAAACGAAATCCAACAGCTATAAGTAATTCACGCCATCCTTGTGTATTGATGCCAACTTTATTCTCAATACTTTGAACAGTAGTGTACATTGCATTTTTTTGACCACGTTGAATACGTTGTAACGATTTTTCAACTAAATGTAATACAACACGCATTGCATCACGTGATTTTTCCGGTGTTTTAATCATCGTTGCTAATGATGATGACATCAATGCCACTTGTGATGATAGTCGTACATCAGAACCGATCAATATGAAACCGGCCCAATTTCGTGGATGTGAAAAATGTGTTGTATTCTGTATGGTGCTTACTGCTTCTTTTAATGCTGTTGATACTCTAGTTCCTTGTAATAATGAACAATAGAATATACGAAATAAAACTTGCAATGCACTTAATGATACTGGCCATAATGTAAGAAGAACACAAGCAGCGCCAGCTTGTAGTAATGCCGATGTTATTGTTTTCAATACTTGTGATGAATTATATGTGGTTGCTGCATTCAATGCAGCTGCATGATTAGTCGATCGTGATGATATTGCCGGGCTTTTTTTTGAAAAAAAAAATGAAATTTGATTAATTTTTGAATAATTTCATAGGAAAAAAAAACTCACCAAGAAATAACAACCAATTTGGATGAAAGGCCAATACTAATCAGATCATGTGGTGTCAATAGATATTCATGATCATGTAATTGATGTGCACTATCACCAATAAGTACATCGGATGGTGATATGGCAATACCAAGACCTGTAGCCATTTTAAGTGGATCACCATCAGTATTATCAATAATATATGATGAAAAATGTATACATTGAGCTGTCGATAATTGTGCCAATACAGCCTCTTTATTGGCTTCGGTTCCAATCAATGGCCTAGTTGATAATAATTCACTAACAAATGCAGCCTCTTTACTTGATGCTGGATTTTCAAAATATAATTGTGGCCGATGATTATGAAAATTATTGCCAAATCTTGAAGCTATTCCAGATCCATTAGTAGTAGTGGTGATGGATGATAATTTATTTGGCATTGTTGGATTAGCAACAACCAACGATGTTATTGTTGAATGAGAATCATCAGATTTTTTTCGTAATGTTTTCGTATTTTGATCACCACGTAAAACATGTAATGATGGAATGACAAGTAATGAATAACGTTCACTTAGAAATTCTTCATCTTTATTGCGAAGCATATTCCATGGAACCAAGAATAGGTCACCATCCAATACTAACAATAATTGATTGATAGTTGATTCATTTTGATCCAATTGATTTTGAAATGGACCAATCAGGATGTCATATAAAGCGGTGGCAGCTGAAAATCCTTGCCAATTACGATTCAGATAACGATAACTAGCAGAACGTTTCATTTTGCCGGCCAATTGTGATGATGATAATGATTCCTGTGAATCAATATTCGATGGACATGATCCACTATGATCAAATGATTTTCGCTGTGATAAATTAACATTTGTAGATGTTGATGAACGATGTAATGACCGTAGTCTTGTTGTTGAAGCTGTCGATGTTGTCGTTACTGATGATGCTAATGAAAACAATGAACTTAATGAATAATTGGATGAATTTAAAAAATGATTTCTTCTTAAGTGATGCATCGATGATGAACGTTCAAATGATGTATCTGGATAATCATCATGATCGGCAATTATTGTCGAATCAATCGATCGATTGGCAGTTGTTGTATGAGGAGGATCATGAACATTTGATTCCTGAACAAACAGTGAATTTTGAACATTTTTTATCAATTGTAAAATTTTCTCTCTATCAGATTTTAATAATGACGCAAAATGAACTTGCTCCGGAGTGATGAGCCATGAATTATATCTACCATCAATTGTCATTGAATAATAAAGAATGGCTGCATTCTGACTACGAGCCATATCGACAATTTGTTCGATACTGGTGATGGAAAATGCACGAAAACCTTTTTTCGTTTTTGAAAATGATCGTATACGTGAACGTTCAGCAATCAATAAAGCTTGGGTTGGTCGCTGTAATGCAATTAAAATTTTGATCAATGCTTCATATGATGCACCTTGATAATGAAGATAATGATGATGTGGTTGTGATATTGTTGTTGATGTTGTCGGTATCATCATTAGATTTTGCCAATGAATTCGACCATAATGTGATGATGATGTTGATGATGATGATGCATCGCTAGTACTACTTCCGCAGCAGCCACCGCCGTTTGCTGCTGTCATGGTTGTCGTTGTTGTTGTAGACGTTGCAGTCGTTGTCGTGTTTGTTATTGACGATGAATTACCATAATGATTGGAAATTAAAGAATTGGAAATCATCATCATCGGTGCAATCATCAATTGAGTTATGGATGAATTAAGATTTTGTAAATTTTCAATCAAATCCACTGAACGTCGTAAATGTGTTTCAGCCACTTCTAATTCATTCATTGCCCATAATACCATACCTAGTTCATAACAGATTCGTGCTTCTTCTTCATCACGATAACCAATACGATTCTGATTGTTTTGATTTTCAACTATTGATAATGCTTGTTGAAAATAACGCCGTGCTTGTTGATAATTACTATTGGATGAATTAATTTTACCCAATGCTGATAGTGCAGAAACCTGTGCATTTAGATCACCAATCATCTGTGCAACGGAAAGATATTTTTCCTGATAACGTATTGCCGATTCATGATTACCAAGTGCATTATAGGCACTACCAATGGCACCATATGCACGTGATTCCATTTCTAATGAACCAATTTCCTGTGCAATAGCCAATGCTGATGAATGATATTTAAGACTACGTTCATAATCATGCATTTCTTGTGCAACACAACCAAGTCCATGAAGAGCTTCAGCTTCAATCAATAGACCAATATTAATTGGACCAACAATTTGTTTATCATGGTCATTCTGCTGTTGTTTATGATTCTTTTTACCCAATTCTTGTTCATGTTTAAAACAAGTGATTGCTTGTTCATAATTTCCAAGTAAACGATGTAGATGACCAAGTTCACCATATGCCATTGCTTTGGTTTGATCACAACCAATTTCATGTGCAATTACTAAACGTTTTTCATATGAAACCAATGCTTGTTGTAGATTATTGACCAGCTGATAACATTTACCTAATAAACAATAAACATGTTCTTGATCAATCAATGATTTACTGGTGGAAACAAAATCCGTATAGAATTTGATTGCTTCATCATAACGTCGTTGTGCAAAATGACAATCACCAATTGAACGTAAACAATTGACATTACGAACAATAAGATCATCAATGATTGTTGCTATTATTTCTGTACGGCCATTGGTGTTGTTGTTGTTGTTGTTGTTGGCAGTAGTGTTATTATTATTTGAATCATTCGTTTCATCAGCTGCTGTTTCATCATTCGATACCATCGCAATGATTGTATGATTTTTATTCTTTTCAAATTGTTCAATTGTTTCCTGGATCAATGTTGATTCTTGTTCATAATAAATGGCCGATTCTTCATAATGATTCATATGGAATCTTGTAGTGGCTACATTATGTAATGCTTTGGCCATCATTTGACAGGATTCAATTTGTTCATCATTCATAATCACAGTATCTAATTGTCGCCGCAGTCGTCGACCATAATAACCATTTGAATCATATTCATCATCGATTATTGTTTTCGATTCAGATTCAATACTGTTGTTGTTGTTGTTGTTGTTGTTGCTGCTGCTACTACTACGAAATTGTTCACATTTTTCTAATTGTTCCATAAAATATTTCAATGCCAATTGATAATTATTCAATTTTAGATAACATTCACCTAAATCATTCAAGGAACGAATTTCTTCTTTAATATCAATTGGTAAACATTGTTGTTGTCTTAGAATGGATTCTTGTTTAAAAAAATCCGATGCACGTTCCCAATCACCAACGATACGGTGACAATTTCCCATTGATTGCAATGTCATTGCTTCATTTACTATATCATTAGCTGATCTGGATAAGGAAAGTTTTTTTTCCAAAATTTTAATCGCTTCCATATGTTTACCTTGTTGTGCAAGTAAATCACCAATATAACCCATTGCTTTTAATCGGCCATCATGGTCATCCTGTACTAGACATAGATAATATTTATGACATTCTAATGCATCATCTAGATTGCCCATTGCTTGATGTACTAAACCAAGATGACAATATGCACGACAAATATAATCACGATCTTGTAATTGTTTAGATTGATTCAAATCAAATTGAAAATATTCCAATGCTAATTGATAACGTTTCAATGATAAATTAGCTACACCTAAATAATGGCTTGCATTAGTTTGACCATCTTTATCATCGATAGTTTGCGTTGTACGAAGATAATGTTCATAATAATAGATTGCTTTTTCATAACAACGATTTGATTGATGAAAATTTCCAAGATTACAAAGTGCTTGTGCTTCACATTGTATATCATTGATTTCACGTGCAATATTTAAATGTAGATTTAAATGTATCGATGATTGATCCAGCAATGACAATGATTGATAACATAATGCAATGCTTCCATGTGTAGCTGCTTCGGCTACACGATCATGTATTTGTTTGGAAATCTGTAATTCCATTTTATGATATTTTAATGCTTCTTCTGGTTTTTTCATTACCAAATTTGTATTACCAATATTACCATATGCTCGTCCGATTCCAGCATGATCATTCAGCTGTTTACAAATATTTAAATGTGACCAATGAAGTTTTAATGCACCATCTAGATCACCCAATAATTGATAAACAATTCCTAGATTTGAACAAGCTTTAGCTTCAGCAGTACGATCTTTTGTATTCAATGCAGCATCCAATTGTCGTTCATACCAACGTTTTGCCTGTATATAATCTTTCATACAACGAGATGCATGTCCTAGACCGGCATATGCTTTCGATTCAATGGTTCGATCACCAATTTCTTGTGATATTCGTAATACTTGTTCATGAAATTGAATAGCCTGTTCATATTGACGTCGATAATGATAAGCGGAACCAAGATTAGAATATGCTCTTGCTTCTTCTGTTTTGTTTCCCAATAATTTGGCTAATTTTACATGTTCCAGATGACATTCTATTGCTTTTTCAAATGCACCAGCAGCCAAATGAACCGATCCAACATTACCGATTTCTCTGGCTTCGGCCAATGGATCACCACCAAGTTGTCTGATAATCTGTAAACATTGTTGATGACTGGATAGTGCATTTTTTAGATCACCAATTGCTGAATAAACATGACCAAGTGATGTAAGTGCTAGAGCAGCTTGTTCACTATGTTTATGTTTCATAGCCAATACTAATTGATAACGATGTGATGCTAATGCTTCTTTATAGCTACATTTAGCAAAATAAGCTGAACCCAGATTAGCGTGTGCACGACATTCACCAAGAATATCACCCAATGCTCTTGTAACCTGTAGATCTTGTTGCATATAATCTATTGCATGATCTAGATCATTCAATGTCCAATATGCTGTACTTAATGCCGAGAATACAGATCCACGTAGTTTCAATGAACAAGAACCAATTTGTAATGCTGATTCCAATACAACAACAGCAGCAGCATAATGTGATGCAGCTAATAATTCTTGTCCAACAACCGATGTTATTACAAATGGTGATTTATCAAAATTCATCACTTGTAGCTGACGATATATTGGTTCCAATGTAGCACGTAATGGTGATTTCATTGCCGTCTCAACAAATGCAGATAAAAGTTGTGTAGATTTTGATTCCTGTGCCAGACCGGATGCAAATGCTGCCAATGCATCGGGATATCGACGTAGAAACTACAAATATCATTGATTTTCATTATTAAACATGAAAGGCACACGCACACACACACATACCTGTAATGCAATACCTTGACGATAATAAGCTTTACTCCAATTTGGACACAATTCTCTTGCTTTGATTGCATCATTCAATGCTTTTTCATAACGTCCTAATCGACAATAAACAGCTGAACGATTACCATAAACAATATGATTTGAATGATCCAATTTTAATGCTTCACTATATAAACGTATGGCACCATTATAATCACCTGTTTGTATACGTTTTGCAGCCAAACGTATACGATCAGCAAATATTTGTTGAATATTTTGATTAATTATCAATGTTGCACTGCTGTTGTTGCTGATGGAATTTTGTTGATCATTTCCGATTGTATTGTTGTTGTTGTTGTTGTTTGATGAATCTATTTGTGAATCCAATTCATTCGATACAATCTATTTGTGGAGAAAGAAAGAAAAAAAATTATTAATTTTTGTACATTATCAATCAATCAATCAAAATATGCATTGTCATCAGAATAATTAAATTCAAAACATTAACCTCTTCAAGATCCAATGAATTTCTTGATTCCATTTTTTTTTTGTTTTGACAGGTGGTTTTTCAATCAATCAGGTTTCATTAATCAATCATGACGTGGATTAATTAATTTGAACACATATGAATCAATTTTGTACACATCACAAGAATTTCAATTTAAATCAATAATAAAAAATCAATCCATTTGTTGGTGATAATATCATCAATGTTGATTGTCGTCGTTGTCGTTATCGTTTGTTGAACTATTCAAGCTAATGGCAAACAAACAAATGCCACCACCTCTAACCAATCAAGCCAAAAAAAAAACTATGAACAGTCATTCGAATCGATTTACGACAACCTCTCGAACGACGATGATGACCAAACGCGCGCCAATAACATGACCAACCAACCAACCAACCAACGACAACCACTCATCTTGTGTTTGAAGGCAAAACAACATTCCGTGGCCAGTAAAAAAAAAAAAAAAAAATAGTTGACTTAGACGACGACGACGACGACGACAGCAACAATGAACCACTACCATGCAATTATCATCATTAGTAGTTAATTCTTGACTATCTATCTATCTATCTATCTACCTACCTGTTGTTGTTGTTATTGCCTACCTGGACTTTGAATGGTTCTTTTGGTGGTGGTGGTGGTGATGTTGAAGAGGGGAAAATATTTTCATTCTTGATAGGGTCATGCTGTATTGATTTTATAATATTTATTTGATAAATTAGCCGCCGGCTGCTGCAATTGTAGCCAGTCGATTGATTGGTCGGTTGGTCAAAGTCGAACCTGTTGATTTTCGTTTTTTTTTTAGTTGCTACTGCCGAAACAGAAAATGATAATCATATAGTAGTAATCAACTATCATCATCATGTCATGTCATCATCATTGATTCTTGTTTTATACAAGAAAAAATTCTGAAAAAAAAACACAACATTGCATTGATCAATCATCAACCATTTGATTGAATGGTTTGATTTTTATTTTCGTTTGATATATTTAACTGATGAAATTAGTCAAATTGTTGTCGTTGTATTTAGATAAGAAATTTGATATATCGAATTAAAAATTAAAATCATGATGAATGCAATGATGATGATGATGATGATGATGACAATTCAATTTTGATGATGAATCTAAAGACTAGATTTAGATTTTGATTTGAATCATTCATTCATTGGTTGTGTAATTGAATTAAGATTTTTTTCTTCGGTTGGTTGTTGTTGTTGTTGTTGTTGTTCACCATTAAAAATTCAACTTATGCTTTCAAGTTTTCATTTCAACGTTCGATATAGATAGAGGGGGAGAAATGACAATTTTCTGTTGAACATGATGTCATATCGTTTTGGGTCTTCAAGTCAATAAAAATTTTTTTAGAAATCAAGTGTTTGATAATTGACTAGAGCGCGGCGGCACTTGTGTGTTGATTTAAAATAAAATTAAAAAAAAAAAAGAAAAAGAATGTCGGCATTTTGACTAAGCAAAAAAATTCGAACACTTCGGAAACCTAGTGATGAACGAATTACTATTGATCAACAGACTATCGATACTTTTGAATTTTTTTTTATTTTTACCATTAAAAGAATAGATATGAAACAAAATAAACCTAAAATAAAAATAGATTTTAACAGAAGAATATGTTTATCATCATTTAAAATAAGGCAACAATTTTTTTTAAAGGAATGAAACAAAAATGCTTTTCAGATGGCTGAATGATGATGATGATGATGATGATCATTGATTATGAATTGAATAGCAGAATATCATTTAAAAGTTTTTATTTGTTTTCTATGATCTAGTATCATTATTATCCTTCGTAATCGGTTATATCATCATTATACTGTTGTTGATTTATATAATAATGGTGATTTTAATTGTAATGATGATGGTAATGGTAATGGTGATGGCAATGGTGATGGCAATGGCGATGATGATGATGATGATGATGATGGAAAAACGTCCAATATTTTATACAATGATGTTTGAATGATGAGATTATTGTAATCCAAAATGGAATAATCATTTTTTCCATTTTTCAATTGTTGTTGTTGATGTTGTCGTCTATCATTGGATGATAATCTACGATTGACAATCATTTCCAAATGACTTAGATTGGCGGCAAAATAATTTTTAAAATAACGTTCAATGATTGTTGAAAATAAATGATTAGTGAAAGACGGAAAATGACAAGACAATGATGATGATGATGGTAATGATGAACATGAAGAAGATTTGTTGATTGATGATTGTCCAGATGATGATGATGATGAGCTATGATGTTGATGGTGAAGATGATGGCCATATTCCTGAGAGATGGGCGATAAACGTTCGAATCGTATTGTTTGTTCACTAGTATCGATTATTAATTCAACATATAAACGACATTTAGTTAGATCCATTTCATAATGTTTATTACGTAATGATAATCTTTTCTTTTGCCATCGATGACCCAGTTTCAATTGACAATCAAGTTGAATTTTAAGATCATTAATCAATATAATAAAATCAATGATGAATCGATGATTGCCAAGGAATTTAATGAAACCATCTTCAGCTGTTTTCGTTACATTTCCAAGACCATATATCCTGTATTGACGTGTTCGAATTGTCACTATGTATATAAAAATTGAATGAAATCAATAGATGAAAAAAAACCAAAGAATCAACTTACCGAAAGGATTGAGCCTATGATCACGAATATCATTAATTTTTAATGGATTACAATGATCGGGTAAATATCTACGATATGCATCGATCATTGTCTGTATAAATTGATTTGATCGTAATGATGGTGATGGTTGTTTTGAGCAAAATTTTGACCATATCAAATTCAATGTTTGATTATTTTGTTGTTGTTGTTGTGTTGTATTGTTCGTTGGGTTCGTTCTTCTTGTTTCGAATCACATTGTTGTTGCTGTTGCTGCTGCTGTTGTTGTTGATTATCACAGTGGTTATGATTAGAATGTATGACTATATTTGTTGGTGATGGTGGTGGTGATGGCATTGTTACAATTGAATGATATGATTCTATTGATTGATTGGAATGAATTTCATCGATATAATAATGATTTTTATTTTGTCGTTGTTCATTATTTTTTCCATTATTATTATTCATATCGATCATATCCGTTTGTTGTTGTTGTTGCTGCTGCTGTTGCTTTTGATCAATTTCTTTTTCATCATTATCAATAATGAACAATGATGATAAATCGTTTGCCGTTGTCGTCGTTGTAGGCGTCGGTGTTGTTTGCGTTGTTGTGAATGGTAAAAATTTCATACTATCCTTACCAATAAGAATATCATATGCAGATTTGAGCCATAAAATTACGTTTTGTTCCATTTCGTTTTCTTCTTCTTTTCTTCTTCTTTTTGGGTCATTCAATTTGAGAAATTTTTTCTCTTTGTTTGCTTGTATCGGAAGATGAAAATCTCTCATATACACACACACACACACAGAATATTTTATATTCAAAATTTATGCTATCGTCATGATTGAAACCAAAAAAAAACCAACCAACAAACACACACACATTAATAAAAATTTGGTTCATTCGGACCAATTTTTAATGTACATGCATTTTTACATCTACTACTACTACCACCAATATTGTTGTACACACACACACAAATAACTTGTTGCTAAAATTATTTCATAACAACAACAACAACAACAACAACAAAAAGAAATTTTTTGATTTGATTTTTGATGATAATAACCATTGGTGATTTACAGAAAAAAAAAATAAATATTGATGATGATGATGATTGGAAAAAACAAACAGACAAACAAGATTCGATTGTCGATTCATCGATTGTGTATACGTCGTTGTTATGTGTACAATGAACGATTCAAACGATTGAATTCGAATTCGAAAACAGCTGTGTTTCGTCATCAACAATTTTTGATTCGATGTCGATGTCGATGTTGATGATGAGTTTTCAATTTTTTTGTTCTTTGAATTTCATTTTCTATTTTTTTTTTATAATTCGTTTATGATTATGATTATGATGATGATGATGATGATGACTTGTTGAAAGCCAAATTATTTCTATTGGTGCAATTGGTGGATGATGATGATGATGATGATATTCGCGAATAAAAAGAGAACGGAACTAAATTGAATCATCATCATCATCAAAAAAAACGATCAAGTCATTGATGACTAGATGATAATGAGGTTGGTAAAGGATGAATTCGATATTCTTCAAAAAAAAAGAAAAAAAAATTTTTGTTGGATAAATGTCAAGATTTTTATAAAAAAGAAAACTGAACAACGACAACGACGGCGACGATGACGACGACGACAAATCACACACCCAACAACCTTTTTATGTCAAAACAGAAAAAAAACCTTGGCAATGAATTGGATTATCGTGTGTGTGTGTGTGTGTGTGGATTTTCTTCTTTGCTCTGGCAACACAAAAGAATTTTTCATTTACGCCATTAATCACAATCTATTGAGATCTTAGATTCATATATAAAAAAAAACTTGGCAGAATGAAAAAAAAAATTTTCTGGTTGCTAGAATATTGCTATAAATGTAGATTGTTGTCACCAACAATTGAAAACAAATGTGCATCACCTTTATCATCATCATCATCATCATCAATGGATACGATATGGTAATGATACATATTCAAAAGATTTACATTTGATTCGAAATTTGATTCACACCGAACACACACACACACATGATGATGATGATGATGATGTTTTTTACTTGTTGATTATTGTTGTTGATAATGATGGCCCATTATCATCATTAAATTTGATGATGATGATGATGATGATGTTACTCAATGTGTGTGTGTGTGTGTGTGATGTTTGAATGTGACGTACTTTATGTACATATTACTCTGTTGCCAAACGGTATATCATCATCATCATCAAATTATCGTTTGTGTGTCGATATGGACAACAACAACAACAACAACGAATAACAATGTTGTCTTTTTTCGTTTGTTTGTCTGTTATCATTGTCGTTGTCGTTGAGAGCATTTTCTCTTTCATTTGTAGTGAAAATGAAATGATTTGGAGAAAAAAAAGAGAGGTGTGTATACGTGCCGTTAGATGATGATTTTGAATTGATGAATGAATTTTTCAACTCTTTTTTACCATTTTCAAGGTTTTATTTTCAGTTCATAAATGACCTCAGATGAAATTTAGAACATGTGAAAACTCTGATTAAATTCAATGTTTACCATACAAACACAGACACACACACACACAGAGAGAGAGAGATAGAGAAAAAAATTTGATCATTTCATTTCAACAATCAAATCAATAACAAAGTCTATTTTTGATTTTTGATTTCGATCAATTTTCAATCATGGGTTTTTTTTTTCATTTCATTTCATTTTCATTTTCATTTCTTCTTCGGCAATATTACCAATCAATTGATTGATTGATTGATTGATTGATTTTCCATGGTTTCTTTGGTTACACACAACAACAACAACAACAAAATATACAGTGAAAATGATTCGATTTGATTTAATTTTTATTATTCAAGTGTGTATGTGCCATCTATTGATAGCCATTGAAAACAGTTTTAAATGGCGCGTGATTTAAAATGAAATTTATTTTTTACACGATACACACACGATGGCAGCACTTATATTGTTTGAATGAGTGAAAAATTAAATTTTTTTTTCGTTTTTTTTAAATGAAATTAAAATTCAAAAAATTATAAAAAGTTGACCAAAGTTGTTATTATCGTGCAGTGAGAAAATTATGAATACCGAATCGATACAAATATTTTTACGATTACGGCCAATAATGGCGAATGGTGGCGGTGTTGGTGGTGGTGCTGGTAGCAATGGTGACCACCAAAAACGTCGACAAATTATTGCCAATGATGATAAAATTGTATCAATAATGATGAATAATAGTAATGATAATCAAATGGAACAATTTGAATTTGATCATGTTTTCAATACAAATGCCAATCAATTGAATGTATTCAATAGGATTTGTAGACCAATGATTGAATCAATGATCAATGATGAAAAAGATGGTCTTTTATTTGCTTATGGTGCAACATCATCAGGTAAATCATATACAATAAATGGAATGCCCAAAACACCGGGTTTAATACCACGTACATTGGCCTATTTATTCGATAAAATTTCTGTGGACAAATTAAATTGTAAAAATTCTGTTCGATCAAATAGACAGAATGGATTTTTTATCGTCAACAACAATAATAATCATGATAATAACGAGAATGATGGTGATGATGATTGGTGGCCATTCGATAAAGCAATTGCATCGATGAATCCATCAAATGAACGACGATATTCACAAACATTGAAACAATGGTCAAATATTCGTATTGAAATATTCGATGATGATGATGATGATGACAAAACGGCTGTGGCGACACCGAAAACAACGATAAATGGGAAAAAATATTCAATATTTCTATCATTCATAGAGATCTATAATAATTATATTTATGATTTATTGGAAATTCCGGATCCAAAACAAATGAAATTGGAACGCACAAAACGAACATTGATTAATGATACAAATCAAATGGTGTATGTACATGGTGCCGAAGAAATTGAAGCAAGAAATTTGAATCAAGCATTTCGTTGTTATCTTTTCGGTCTACAAAATCGTCAAATAGCACAAACAATGATGAATGAACAATCTAGTCGTTCACATAGTGTATTTACAATCAAATTGATCCATAATAAAGTTGATGATAATGGTGGTGATAATAAACCACAATTGAAAGTGAATCAATTTTCAATCATTGATTTGGCTGGATTAGAACGTGCAAATCGTACAAAAAATACTGGCCGAAAACTTTGTGAAGCTGGACAGATTAATAGTTCATTGATGACGTTACGTGCTTGTTTTGATGCCATACAAAAAATGAATAATAACAATCATACAGCAGCGACAACCAGCAGTGATGATGATGGTGGTGGTGGTGGTGGTGGCCAGAATCAGAATCAGAATCAGAACCAGAACCAGAATGGTAAAATAATCATTCCATATCGTCAAAGTCGTTTAACATATTTATTGAAAAGATTTTTTGAATCACGTTCCACCACCATTGTACGAATGATTCTATGTGTTTGTTTGAATGACGAGGATTTGAATGAAAATTTACGTATACTAAATTTTGGTAAAAAAGTACAACGAATACGATTATTGGATACCGGTGTTCATATTCGACAACAACAAAAACAAGAACTATCTGGTGATTCTGTACAATCGATCACTGCTGGTGACAATGATGATGACGATGATCAAGAAGATGACAGTGATCCGATTAAGATTGTTTCAATGAAAAATATTGAAAAATTTCGACAAAAAATTCAACAATTAGAAGTTCAATTGAATCATTCATCAGTGAAAATGGAATCTATTTGTAAGTGTGTGTGTGGGTGTGTGTGGTGTGTAGGTAGTAGCAGCAGCGACAAATGTAAATTTTTTTTTGTTTTTTTTCCAGTGGAAAAATTGGATCAACATTCAAAACATTCACCACCAAGACGATTAGATCGAAAACCGCCAATATTTTTACCACCACCACCACCACCACCATCGCAAATGTCAACGAACCGAATGAATTTTCAAACCATTCTATTGGGATTACAGAAAAACAATTTAACAACAATCACCAATGATGATGATAATAATCATCAATCATTGAAAATTGAATTACGTGAATTTCGTCATCAACTACAACGCTGGGAACAGTATAATCGTGAATTGGAAACAAAATTTGTTGCATTACGTGAGTGATTTTTTCAGTTTAAAAAAGAAAAAAATTTTAAAACGAAAATTCAATTTTTTCTTCCACTTTAAACAAACAAAAAATGAAATGAAATTCCATTAATCATCGAATCGGCTTATATATAATAGTGGCCGATTATCGACGACGTTATCGTATCGTCAATCCATCATCATCATCATCATCGTCATTATTATCAACAAGTAAAAAAGTTTCCAATCTTCAATCATATTTTAATCATAAACAAACAATGAATGAAAAATTGAATGTTTATGATCGTCTTTATTATCAATCACCTGCACGATATAAACAAAATCAATTATTGAATCGATCCATAATCAATAATCGATTGAATACAACAACAACAACAACAACAACAACAGCAACAAAAACAGCAACAGCGACAGCGAAAATAACAAGAGAAATGGTACCATTTAGTAGTTATAGCAGCCGCAATCATAATTATGTTGGTGGTGGTGGTGGTGGTGGTGGTAATAAATTTGTTCATCGTTCCGTAAACAAACAAACAACAACAACAACAGCCACTAATACTACTTCCACTACCGGTAATGGTTATCGTCGTGGTATTGTTTATGGTGCTGATGGTGGTGGTGGTTATTCCACCACTACCACTAATATCCGGCCTAATTCATCATCAACAACAACAACACCAACAATAATGACACCAAATCGTTTAAAGATAATGATGACGATGATGATGATGATGGGCAAAAAAAATAATTCATGTAATAATAATACACCATTAATGATGGAAACAATTAGAAAAAAAAGACAAATGTCAGATAAAATCCGTAAACTATGTCGAACATTTGAACCGGAAAAAATTATTGTAAAACGTAAATTATTTCAATGAAAATATGAAACAACCGAAAAAACAAATAAACGACAAATATTTAATTGATTACAACTGATTTGTGTGTGTGTGGTAGTAATCACATAGTCATTGAACGACCGATATATTAGGTCAATCCCTGATCATCATCAATGGATATATTAGGTCAATCCCTGATCATCATCAATGGATATAAATTCCGAATTCAAGATTGTTAAGCCTTGGCGGTGATGGTGGTGGTGGTGGTGGTGGTGGTCAGCGATCGGGTCAATCTTATGATCAAATTTAATAATTGCTTGAAGCAAGAAACAAAAAAAAATAGATTTTCAAATCAATGATTTTTTTTTTTTTTTGATCACAATCATAGACGGCAGAAAATGTCCTAATTTTTTTTTTTTGTTTTGTTTTGTTTTAATCTTCAGTATACGATACGATGATAATGATAATGATAACTTTTGTTTGCAAACAAAACAAAACATTTTTTGTTTACACATTTACATTGTTTATGAATGGCTAATATCCGTGATTACACACACACACACACACAACAAATCGAATCAAATTGTGTATCGTTGTAATCTTTTTTCATCATCCAATTTAAGAAGAACATGTTCATTGATGGTGGTGGTGGTGGTGGTGGTGGTGGCCCACATATTCATTGTGGACTTTGTTTTTTTTTAATTTATTAAATTTTTCATTCATTTATATTTTTAGCATGAACGATAACTCATCATCATCATCATCATCATCATCGATATTTTTATAATTATTAACTTTAACTTTTTTTTTTTAGCTACAATAATCATCATCATCATCATCAAGACAGGTTTTCATTTTTTTTTTTCATTCGAAAACATCGCGAAAATTTCCAGTTTTAATTTGATTCATCATCATCAATGAATGAATGAATGATGATGATGATCATCATCATCATCATTATTGCAATTTTTACCCATTTAAATCGTTTGCACCAGCAAAAAAAAAAAAACACTACTAAAACATTTTATGTATATCAAGATCCAATGATGATGATGATGATGATGGTGATTATTTTGCAATGTGATTAAAAACAAAAAAAAAAAAGACGAAAAATCAAGATATAACTGGACCTTTTTGAAACAAGTCCGAATCACGGTGGTTATATATATTAATGTGCGATCACAACGGACAAAGAAAAAAAAATCCTGAACAGAAAAAAAAATGCTACACACATCTACATCTAGTCTAATTTAAGCTTGAAACTGGAAATAATAAAAAAAAAGGAAAAAAAAATCTTTTCCTTCTGTCCAAAACACACACAGGTAAAAAATGATCAACTGGTTTTTTTTGTGTGTGCTAAGATTTCGAATCATCATTTAAATATTATGAATGTCTGTGTGTGCATGTGTGAATGTATCCCGAATAAGATCTAGTCTAGATTTAAATGGATAGATAGCATGTCTTTGAATATTTTAAAAAAGAAAAAAAAAATTTTCAAACTTTTTTTTTCTTTCTAATGAAATCAAATTTTTCATTTTCATTTAATCTTTCTTGATGGTATTTTTATGAAAATGTCCCCTCAAGGCCAAAAGTTTTTTTTTCAATTTTTTTTTTTTTCGTCATTTGGTTGACAGGTGAACACGGTTATTTTTTTTTTTTTCGTTTCAAGTTCGTTACAAGTGTAAAAACATGGCCAAAAATAATGGAAAAAAACTCGTTTCAAAGTGGAAAAAAAAAATTCTTGGAATCCACTATAAAATCCAAAATGATAATATTCTCAATGATGATAATTTTCAATGAATTGAAAATTGATAAAATGGCGCCGTGATTTTTTTTTTTTTTTTTTCTGTTTTCACAATAATGATCCTGATGATGATGATGATGATGATCTTTCATGTATGTATGCATGTTGAGGACGACGGGTTTATTTTGAATTTATCAATTTTTTTTTTTTCAATCATCAATAACCGGTCATTACAAGTATATATAGAAATGAATTTTTTTTTTTTTTTTGTTTGCCCCCCCTCTCTCTCTCTGTATATATACCGGAATATTTGCCGGGGTCAACCGATATAAATGTCTCATCATCACCGGTGGTTGAGATTGGATGGATGTGCAAAGAGGATCGTCCAATGACACCGGTCATATGCAGAGAGAGAGAGAGAGAGAGAGAGAGAGAGAGAGAGACGAAAAATGACCACACAGCCAAAAGAAAAAATCCAAGTCTGACCAAATATCTGCAGTACAACAATTTTTCATTTTTCATTTTTTTTTTTGTTTGACATTTATGATAAACAGACTGAAAAATTTATTGAAAAATTATCGATTTTTTCAAGTAAAAAAAAATCAATGATGTTCAACTGAATAATTATTGTTGATCAATTGAAAAAATGATCAATCATTTTGTTTTGTTGATTTTCATTCCAACAATTTAACCCGGATCCAGGATGTTGTTTGTCAAACATCCAAAAAAAACAACATTTAACCAGATGACTCTTGATCACAATTGATTCATCTAATTATTAATTGCAAAAATCAAATTGTAAACAAACAAACAAACAGAAAACAGAAAACAATCAATCAATCAATCAATCGATCAATATTGATCAATTATCATCATCATCATCATCATTAGTATTTGAATTTCTGTTGACAATACCGGATATGTATGCAAACATAACACCATGACAATCATCATGGTAATTATTAATTATATTATAATTATCAGCTGATTAGATGATCATTTTGTGTCAAAAAAAAAAAAAAATTATGTCATGTCATGTCATGTCATCATTGTGTAATGCAATTTTGAAAAAAAAATTGATTCCCATAGTCATCATCATCATCGTCATTATTTCCGTTATTTTTTTCGTGAAACAAAACAAATGATAATTGAATTTTTAAATTTTAAATTTTAAACTTTATTCATTTGAAATTTCAAAAATTATCAATAAAAACAATGTGACCATATTCCATGTCCGATGTCCGATCATTCATTCATGATGGCATTTAACAGCACCGGTTGTATATGACATTGTTTTATGGTCAGATGATTCATGTTCAAATAATTCCACCGTACACATTAAAGTCTGTAGAATGTAAACAAGCAAAATAAAGGTTAAAGGTTAAATGAATAATGAACAACAACAACAATAAACAACAACAACTTACCTGTTTTGTTTGATCATCAATGACAATCAATTCAACTGAATATTTTGGTGATTCACCAAATGTATATACTAAACGTTTTAATTTATAATCATGATTATTATCACTATGTTTATGTTGATAATCATTAATGGTGTCCATCAACAAATGAATGATACGTTGTCCACTAGGATCATTTTCATCGATAATCAATTGACCATTGGCCATAAAATGATTACCAATCAATAATGATGATGACAAGGTCAATAATAATAAAATTGGTGGAAAATTTTTCATTTTTTTTTTTTTTTTGACAAAAAAAACTTGCAACAGATTGAAATTGAAAAACAAAACAAAAAAAATTTATTGTGGTATCAATCAGTGTCTATTTGGTTTTATTGTATTTATTTCGGGGCAAAAAAAAAAAAAACAATTTTAGCAACAAAACAAAACAGAAAGTAAAATACAATAGAAACAATCAATCAATCAATCAATCAGTCAATCAATCGATGATGATGATGATGATTGCATCAAATGATTGATTTGAAAGAAACAAAAAAATTAATATATCACACAGACAATGCAATACACAATACACACAGTGATGAAAAGGCACAACAAAGGCATGTATAATCAATCAATCAATTCAATTCAATTCAATCGATTAAGTTTGATCATTTGATCGATTTGGCTGTTGCTACTATTTATTGTTATCAATGATCCGGGATTTGTATATGGGGATTATCGATTAATCCATTGTGTTTTTTTTTCTTATCGATGACGTTTTTTTTCGATCATTTTTTTGATCATCCATGATTATTAAATCATCATCATCATCATCTGGTTTCAAGTGATGAAAATCTTTTACAAAATCATTGCTTATCCTCAGAAATGTGGCCAAATCATCACCATTACCATGTTTGGATTCGGTTGTCTTTTCAAAATTAAATGAATGATTATATTCATGTAGAAATTGTTTGGTATCTGGATTCCTGGATCCAGTAGTAGTGGATTTTTTTTTCGCCAATTCATCATCACCATAGTCATCGTCGTTGCTTTTCTGTTGTTCTTCATGTACTTGGATCATTTTGGTTATTTTTTTATAATTTTTATTTTTCTATCATCATCAATTTGACCATCGTTTTTGTTGAACATTGTTGTTTTCGGTATGATTCTATCACCAAACACAAATTTTGGTATCATTTCAATTGGATCTGATTCTGGTTTTTCCATTTTCACATGATGGTCATTTTTCTTTTTTATTTCATCATTAATTTTGGAACTAAGTAAAAATGAATAAATAGTTTCTGGTGGTTTGATTTCATGTGGTTGATGTTGATGTTGATGTTGACCATAATATGGATATGGTTCAGTAGTAGTAGTAGTTTGTTTTGGAGAATTTTTCTTGTTTTCCGGTTGAATTTCATAATTAATACCATCTTCAGGACGGAAATTGAAAACTTTTAAAAAATGATCAAAATTATCATTGCCATCATCTTTTTTCGGGTTTTTAATTTTTTTCTTTTTCACCAATTTCTTTTTTCGGATTCTTTTTATTGATTTTTTTGGTGATTCCGTGCTACTGTCACTGCTTTTTTTCGTTTTCGATGATTTACCATCATCATCATCGACAATTATCGAACGTTCCATTTTTATTTTTGGCTTTTTTTCCTTGATTTCCGTTGAAAATGATTTGGATTTATGTGCTGCAGCATAAACCGGTACATTTATAATGAAAATTTGTTGACGAATTTTTAATTTTGATTTTTTCTCATCATCATTTGCATCATGACCATCATGACCATGATTTGATGGATCATCATTTGCCACATTGAATTCTTGTTCAATTTCAACATTGAAATTCTTATGATGATGATGATGATGATTATGATTACCATTATCATCCATCTTGATTTTTTTGTTATTTGTCATCATGGTTTTAATTTTGTTACCACTGCCACCACCACCACCACCACCACCACCATCGTCATTATTATCATGATGATAATGGCTACTTTTTGACAACTTTTGACCATTTTCCCATGGTTGAATTTTTTTTCCATCATAATTATAATTATCATTATCATCGTCATCATTATAAACGTCACCGTTATTATTATTATTATTATAATTTAGTAGTAAACTATCCATTATACTGTCTAATTTTATATTACTACTATCCACCTGTTGATCAATAAAAACACTTGATGATGATGATGATGATGATTGTGTGAATAATGGTGATATCGTTGTCGTTGTCGTTGTTGCCGTTGTTGTGGATGATGACAAAATAGGATTCATAATGGATGAAAATGATGACGATGAGGATGGAGATTTGGGCCCCATTCCTGTCCTAATCTTTAGCAGTGGTGGTGATGGTGGTGGTGGTGATAATTTTTTCGCCACAATTTTTTCTTCATTTTTCGATTCATTCATTATCATTGAATTTGAATTTGTTATCAATGATTGTTTTTTTCCATCTTTGTTGTTGTTGCTATTTGGAACTCGTAACCAAATTTCATCTGTAACATCATCATGATGTTGTCCATTTTCTTTCATCATTGATTTTTGTTCATCAATAAATTTTGTCTCCCCTTTTATTGATGATGATTTTTTTGGTCTTCGTTTTGTTGTTGTTGTTGTTGTTGGTGGTGGTGGTCGTCGTCGTCGTCGAATACGTCTTATCAGTATATATTGTTCCATTTCACCATCGCCATCACCATCATCGCCATCATCATCATCATCATGATGGTCGTCATTTATGAATGGCTCATTATTATCTTTATCATTTTTTTCATTCATTACTAAACTATGTTCTTGTTTTTTTTTCATTTTCAATTTTTTATTATTCATCATTTCATCATTTTGGCTGTTGTTTTTATTAATTATTTTCACATCATTTTTCTTTTTCATTTTTTTATCATTTTGGTCATCTTTTTCTTCCACTTCTTCATCATGTCCACCACTATGATCATGATGATGATGATGACCAGATTTATTTCTCTTCTCATCATTTTCTTTTTTTTCTTCGTTCATTGTCATATCATTATTATCATCATCATCATCATCATTTTTCTTGATGATTAGCACGACGTTCTTGACGTTCAGCATGATGATGATGTTGTTGTTTACGGTCATCATCATCTTTATCATCTTCATCGTGATTATTATCATTATTAATTAAATTTTTCTTGTCAAAATTGTCTTTGAATTGACCATTCTCTTGTTGTTGCTGATGTTGCTGTTGTTTTTGTCCAATATTTGATGGTGTTATACGTAACATCAATGATTGAAATGATGATGAATCACCATCACCATCATCATCATCATCATCATTAATAGTTTTTTGATGATGATGATTGTAGTGGCAAACAAATAATTGTTATACCATCTGGTCGACGAAATGTTGTAGCTGTCGTTGATGAATTATTTGTTGATTGAAATTTGTTTGATGATTTCATTGTTGTTGTTGTTGTTGTTGTACCACATGCATTCTGTTTGTTGGCCACTTCAGTGATAATACCATATATTAATAAACGTAATACAAGCACCATTATTATTATCACTATTATTAAATCTGATTCATATAGAAAAAAAAATGCGAGAAACTTTTTCGGCAATCTGAGAAATTTTCCAAAAAAGGAAGGTTAAAATTTTTTTTTTTTTTACATTGAATTTAACCTCGAAAATATTATGGAGAGAGAGAGAGAGAAAAAACAGATAAGTTTATCTTATATGTGATGATGATGATGATGATGAATCGAAAAGCCGGTCATCATGATTCATGATGGTGATGGTGATGGTGATCCGTTCATTTTTTTTTTTTTTATTAAAAAACTAAAAATTCATTGACCGTTGTAAAGATGAAAACATCATCGATAGATGTTGATGTTCATCATATAAATGTATTTTGATATGGGATGGCCGTAGCTGAACCTGAATCTAAAAAAAAAAAAAAATGAAAAGAAAAATGCCCGGAGGTTCACATCCAGACTGGCCAATTTTTTTTCTTTTGCTTAGCTATATCGATATAGCTTTTGATGTCAATGTTGTTGTTGTTGTTGATGATGGTCATAAAAACAACTGGAAAAAAACCGGGATTACCGAATACTGATGCTGATGATGATGACCGATGGCCGAGATGTTGTGTCTTGGAATTTGATTGGTTAAATTAATTTATTTTTAGCAGTTATAATGCCACATAAACACCATTTTGCCTGTTGATGTTTGGCTTGAAGGATTTTTTTTTTTTTTTTTGGGTATGTTGATCACATTTACATTTGATCAGATTTTTGATCATCACAGATCCGATCAAACGAATTGATCGGATCATAGTTTTTGAATGGATGAATGGATGGATTGTGTTTGTTTATGATGATGATGATGATGATGATAGTTTCGTTTTGTTTTCAGCTGATTTTTTCGTTTTTTGTTTAATGTTCGTCTGATCGTTTGTTTGTTTGTTTGTTTGGTGTAAATGTAAATAAAAAAAAATCAAAGGTATTCGCTGTTGATCATAAACAATTTATGATGATCATCATCACATTACATCACATCACATCAATCAATCGATCGGTAAAAAAAAAAAAAAAAAAAAAGAAGATCCGATGGGTCATCACTGGTGGTGGTGGTGGTGGTGGTGATGGGTGTGTGTAAACAACAACAACAACAACAACAAACAGAATACAAACACAATCCTATAGTGTGGAAAATCTGAAAGATTTGAATCACAAAAAAAAATTTTATTGGTCGTTTATGCAAAAAAAACAAAACCAAAATGAAAAACGTTTTGTCCTCTTTTTCATTCTCATTACAGAAGAATTTTTTTTTCGTTTTACATAAATTTTTTTCTGGTAGATTGGACAAATGACAGACAGACACACAAGCAAAAATTTTTTGTCAATTCAAGTGAAACGTAAAAAAAAGAAGAAAATTGTCAATTTGCCGCTGGTGTGTGTGTGTGTAGGTGTAGGTGTGTCTCATGGCAAAATAAATAAATAAAAAAAAAATCGGAACTAATTATAAGCTAAGTTAAATGGTCTTGATTTTTGTTGAAAAACAAAAAATCAATCAACAACGACCACCATTATCATCAAGCAATAGACAAATTATTATTGTCGAGGACATCATTGTTGTCGTTGTTGACGATATTGAAAAACTTTACTACCTGTGTGACAATGTAGTAGTGATTTTTTTTTTTAAATCGCAAAAAAAATGAAAAAATGAAAAAAAAATTTGAAACAATTTCTCTTGTGCTGGTCCATTATTGGTAATTTACTCCAGTTTTTTTCTGTTTGTTTGTTTGTTTGTTCTCTACATCCAATCGATTTGTTCACACTTATGGTTATAAATAATAAATATAGTTGGAACGAACTAACACCACCGCCACCACATCCATATTTCACAATTGTTTTTGTGTTCACCCCAGTTCTATCGAACAAATCGACATGATCAATCAATCAATCAATCTATGAAATCAATATGTTGATAGAATGAAAATGAAAATGAAAATGAAAACATCCAATTGTGGTGAAATATATTATGATGATGGAGAAATGAGCGAAAATTTTTTTTTTCAATTTTCGCAAAAATCCAATGTCATTTTCCAGTTGATGCTGAAATCATTTGACATTTTTTTTTCGATTTTTTGATTTTATCATCAATCGACTCTGATCAATGGTCATCTGATCTGATGTCGAGATAGTGACAAAATTAATTTTCATAGAAATTAAAATATACCCCACCAAAATGATGGTAATGGTGGTGGTGGTAGTTGATAATTTATCAAAACAAGTTTCATAACCGAACAAATCCGAGAAATGATGATGTTGTATAAATATCAACAACAAGTGGCATCATTTTTGTTGTTTTTTTTTCTTCTTCTTCAAAGATCTAAATATCCGATAATATATAAATATCTGAAGAAAATTTTTTTTTAGCAAAAAAAAAAGAAGACCGAACCAGTTATTTTAGCACCGAAATTTTGTTTTTTTTTCTCATCGTCAACATTTTTTTTTTTTTTTAGAAACTGGTGATGTTGATCATGATGATGATGATGATCAAAAGCAAAAAGCCAAAAATCCATCAATCAATCAATCGATCGATCGATCGATCGATATGATGGGATTAATAATAAATGATTGTAGATGTTAACAACAACAACAACCATAACAACAACTTTTAATCGATTGTTTGGAATGAAATTATCAATTTTTTTTTCTATTGAAATCAATTAATGATGATACTGAGTGTGTGTGGGGGGAGGGAAGCGAAAAAAAAGCAATAATAATCGATAATTGAAAAACAACAACAACAAATGATTAATCCACCACCACCACCATTATAATCATCATCATCATCATTATGATTAATAATTTGTCACCATTACAATGTAGAAATGATTATGGAAAAAAAAAATTTACTCGATGGATTCGAAAATTTTTGTTTCTCTTGAAAAAAAAATGGAAAAAAATAGCCAGTGGTCGAACTCGTTCGTCGTCGTCGTCGTCGTCGTCGCTGTTTATTATTATCATCACCATCATTAATTTTATTTTTCGACGATAATTTTCTCTGTCTGAGTGTGTGTGTGTGTGTGTGTATCCAAAATTAGACTAATTTCCATTTTTTTTTTGTTTTCGTAGTTTTTATTTTTGAGAAAAAAAAATCCGTTCACATACACCATGATACTTGATATCCGGATTTTTTTTTACACAAGAGACAGAGATTTAAATTTAGCCACATTATTTTCGAACATAAGTTACGAGGTTTTATTTATTTTTCGTGACAGAAGAAAAAAAAATTACCACATTTATTACTTGCGTGCACACGCGTGTGTGTGTGTGAGTGTGATTATGGATCGTGATGAAACTGATGATAATAAGTCCGAAAACATGGATTATTCGGGTCGATTGTTTGGACAAACAAAAAAAGAGATAGAGTGAGAGTGAGTGGATGAGTAAAATTTTATCCGATAATTTTTTTTTTCAATTAATTTCAAACAATTTGATCATGTTGTTCGTGTGTTTTTTGTTTTTTTTTTTTTTTTTTGGTTTTTGATTCTGTATTTAGTGGGTAGTGTGGTAGTGGTTTTTTTTTTTTTTTTTTTATTCAAATTCTAATTCATTAAATGATCGTACACGTGCCATACGTCTACCATCATCATCTAAACGTTCAATATTACGACGATGTGTAAGCACTAATACAACTGTAAGGCCAATAGATTCAGCAGCACGTCCTTCTTCTGGTGATTTTGTTAAAAACATAACATTTTCCGGTTTTTCATTAATACGTTGTAACATTTTTCTAAATGTATCCGGATCATTTAGCTGTCCAAGACTAGTATCAAAATAGCCATCAATTAATAGATTTAGATCACCATGATTTGTTTTCATCATAAAACGACGTGTTGCTTCTGACCAACCATTACTGAATACATATAATTTTATATCTTGATCACAACGCCATTTTTGTATCTGTATGGCTACATCAGAATATACTGGTGTTTCTAAACGATTTTTAGCATAACCATCAAACCACATGTGGAATCTAAAAAAAATGAATGAATGAATGAAAACATGACCAAAAAAAAAAAAAAACCATTACCTCAACAATGTCATTGCTTTATTTTCTTTACGATTATCCAAACAATAACGAACATAATCGAATGCCGTATCAATATCATTATCATTGTTATTGTTATTGTTGTTATTATTATTACTATTATCATCATCTATTAATGGTAACATTTTTGGTGCATTTGGATCCAATTCTGATTCTAAACGTAATTGTTCCAAATCCATACGTACCTGTTTTGTATTCCAATTTTCATGCATATAACGATGAAAATTTGCCGGTATATATGGTACTAATAATTTATCAATAAATTTTGTTTTGCCACCGTACCAGTTATATCGAATAGTATGGCATTTGGTTTTTTTAATCGTAACTGTACCATTTATCTATCTTTATCTATCTATATCTATCTAATGAGTGATTATCAACACAAAAAAAAAAAAAATCAAAATATAAAAAAAAGGCAAAAATCTGTCGAGAACAAAAAAAAAAAAATAAAGCAAGCAAGCAACAAGTTTTAATTAATTTTTTAAAATTCCAATGAAAAAAACCACCAAAAATATTATTTATAGCCATTGAACGGATTATTACGGCCAATGGTTGTAATAATTAAATTTTACTTGTTGCTCACTTGTTGCTTGTTTTTCCATAATTTAATATTTTTTTTTTAATTCTGGAATTTCAGCCAATTTTTATTGACAAACATTGTTTCATGTTATGAAAAGAAAAAAAAAAAAAACCAACCAATGGCCAGAAAAATTATCATGATATCATGTGAAAATGAAAATGGAAAAAAAATTTCACCACCATGGTCCATGGATAACTGACCATGATGTTTTTTGTTGTTGTTGTTGTTGTTGTTGTCCGCTAATAATAATGATGACGCGTCAATTGTCATATTTTTTAATGATATGGATCAATCTTTCATCGTGAATCGATAATCATTGATGGTGATGATGATGTCATGTCATTCTTTTTTGATCTTGATAATAACAGGTTAAATAACCAATTTATATATAGGAAAATTATCACTTAGCCATCCATTTTTTGAATGTATAGAATATCATTGTATATTTGAATGGTTCATTCGTTTGACAATCTACAATTAGAATTTCATCTCTGTGTGTTTCGGTATCAATTTCTTGTTTTTTTTTTTTTTTGATCAAAATGTTGATGATGATGATAATCATTTTGATCAATCAGCCAACAATTGATTATTAATGTCGAAATTTTTTTTTTCTTTCTTATCTTCATTATCATAATCATGGCCAATTATATAATGTGTGCGTGTATGTGCACTTTTCAATGATTTTGATGACACGACATATTTGAATTTCCCATTTTTTTTTCTATGATTCGAATATTAAACTAGAGAGAGACCATGACATCGATCATTGATTTTTACATTGATCTTTTTTCATGTTTTTGTGTGTGTATTTCAAACATTTCTCCATGATTTTGGATCGATCCAAAATGAAACAACAGCAAAAAAAAACACGATTTATCCAGTTTGAACATCATCATCATCATCATCATTGTGCTTGCACTAGAAGAAAAAAAATCAAAATTATCAAAATCAGATCGTCAATTGCACAAAAGATCGACACCATCTCATTGATCTTTGAATGAAATAAAACAACAACAACAGAAAAAGAAAAAAAAATATCGCCATGACCAGCAGCATATGCGGATGGCCACCGGCCACCATTTATTCAATGAAACAAAAAAAAACTTTCAATTCTCATTCGAACTTTTAATAATGATGATGATAATTTGAAACAACACACACACACACACACACACACACACAAAGATTGCAATGAAATAATGAAACATTCATTTCAGGGCACTGATGTTTTTTTTTTTTTGCTTGCTTTTCGCTTTGCTTGTCCGAACCAAATTTCAAAAAAAACACGAGAAAAATGTCAAGGAGCTTCACAAATTATCAACATAATCATCATCATCATCATCATTCACATTCCTTATCATCATCTTGACCATCTTTGTTGTTGCATCGTGTTTTTGTGTGTGTGTGTTGCATGCGTTTATTTAAATTTTTTTTTCTTTTATGTAACCTCCAATCATCAATCAATGATAATGATAATATGCAATCGAGCACACAATCAATTTATATAGTGTAATGTATATTATATATTGATGACGATGATGACTGAAAATTTGTAACCAAAATATCAGTTGTTGTTGTTGTTGTTGTTGTTGTTGTTTTCGTTTGAATATTGAATGATGTAAGAGAATTTTTTTTTTTTAATTTTTTGTTAATGAAATCCAAAAATTTTCAAGTTATGTACCATCTTCATGTGTGTTTTTTGTTTTTTTTTGATTTTGAATGACGTAATTGATTAATTAATTAATTTTTTTTTCTTATAAAAATTAATTAATTCATTGATTAGTATCCAATATTGCACCTAGTATCTGGTATTTTTTGTTTATTGCATCCATTTATTATCATTGATCATTGATTATTGATCGATCGATAATGATGGCAAACAAAACAAACATTCCAACAAATGTTTATGAATAAAACAACAACAACAACAAGAACGAATCAGGAACAAAAATCGCAAAAAAAAAAAAAAAAAAAAAACAGCAAACGAAAATAACTTGCAATCTTTTTTTTTTTTTGCGAAAAATTCAAAAATTTTTTTTTGGAACGAATACTATCGATACTATCGAGTGTATTGTTGTTCCTGAAATTTTTTTTTTTTTGTATCACCATTCCTTTGAAATGAAACAGTAGCTTAATTCGTTTTCGTTTGTTTTTTTTAAACTAATTTACAAACAAAATGAAAATGAAAAAACGAAACAATCCTGTTTGTAAGATGTGAACTTTTTTTTGGCGCGTGCGCTAATTATTTGATGAATGATCAGATTTTCCCTCTCGTCGATGATGATGATGATCATGACAAATCTATCGGTTTTTCGTTGTTGTTGTTGTTGTTGTTGTTGTTATCCAGGTGATATCTGATCCACATATATAAATATGAATGACCCATTAATTTCTGTCATTTGTAGCATCTTTTTGTTTTGTTTTGTTTTGAATTGCGAAATTTTGCTGTTTTTTTTATATATAATTAATCTTTTTTTTCCATTCACTTAAATGACCATGATATGATCATCATCATTATCAAGTGAAAAAAAATCTTTAGCATAATCGTTTTTTTTTCTTTTACTTTTTAGCATCGACGATCGATCGATCGATCGTAGTACACACACACAATAACAATGGTGTGGTCATCATCATCATCACTACATTATGACCGAAGAGCCCTCATCATCATCATCATCATCATCATCGAAGTAAAATGAAAAAATTTTTATTCAATACATGTGATCACACTAATTCTTGTAAATCTAATGAAATTGAAACAAACAAACAAACAAATCAATACATTACGCAACAACAACAACAACAACAATATTCAACAATCATCTGATTTGATCATATAGATAGTAAATTGCAAATATTTTTTTTTTTACTTATATAAATTGTCGAATATATTACACACACACACACACACACATTCACACTTGTGGTTCCATTTGGAACATATTTATTCATATATATATATATATATTGCTTGAGGAGAACACTTGTTGCTGGTGGTTGTGGTGGTGATGATGATGATGTTTTTTTTTGTTTCAAATCACGATCTCACGTGTCTTGAAAAGCGCAACAAGTATATGGTGTGTGTAGATTTATAATTGAAATTTTTTTTTGTTTTGTTTTCAAATTTTCTAAAAAAAAAAAAAAATGTTGGCCATTCTAATAAAACACAAAACACAATGAAAAAATGTAAAAAAATCCAATTTCCGTTTCATGTAATTTAAGAAATTTAGTTATAAAAAATGAAAACAAAACACGCGTTGCAATCATAGCCTCAGCCACCACGACAACCATCCATCGGTAATTGACCAACCGAAACAGATGAAATAATAACAGAGATCAACAGGTGATCAACAGCTATATAAACGACAATCATACAATATGGATTTTGGAATTTTTTTTTTTCTGGATTTAGAAGACAACAACAATTATTATTATCATTATTATATTAACATGTTGCGTCTATTTTTATTCATATCGATTGTATCATTCATGTTGGCCATGGTCATTGTTGCCACCGTTGTCGATAGTACTGGTTGTCCACCATCATCATCTGCAGTGAAAATTGTTTATAAAAAAATTCCATATACAATCATCAAAAAGGTACCAATCATAAAAGAAGTAATCAAAGAGGTTAAAGTTCCTGTTTATATTCAACATCATGATCATCATCATGGTCATCATGGTCATCATGGTGATGGTAAACATCATCATCATCATACGATTGTAGCGAAAAAGATTAAATTCCATAATAATGGCCATAATGGCCATAATGGCCATCAACATCATCATCATGATGATGATGATATTAAATCCTATGATTCATTTGGACATTTTTAGCTGATTTTTTTTTCTTTTGATTGATTAATTTTAAACTTGAAATTGAAATAAAAAAAAAACAACATTTCTTTCTCTCTCTCTCTCTGTGTATCTGTTTTTTTTGTTTTTGTTTTTGAAATGATTAAATTAGACAACCAAAACAATAATGATGATGACGATGACCAAATCGTGGTCAAACGTGGTACGTTAAGATTATTATGTCCGTATTATCATTAATCATGGATCATCGATTATCTTTGGCCGATGATTATCAAATTGATTTAAAAAATCAATCGAACGATTGATTTTTTTTTTGTTATTTGTAAATTTGATTTGGTCAGTTGTTGTTGTTGTTGTTGTTGAAAGTGAATGGACACAAAACAAAATCACTGTACTAGTCACGACGACAAGTATGTTTTGTTTTTTTTTTGTTAAAAAAAACTACGAAAAACTCGAGATAACTAGCCATTATCCAGGAAGCGATAAGCGATCCATCAAGTAATCAAATGTTCTCGTTTATTATTATAATATAGCATGATAATCGATATGATGATGAATCATAATTGATTATCATATCGATTGATTATTTTCTTGTTTTGTTTTGTTTTGTTCCATTTTATCATCATCATCATTTGTATTATTGTTGATGAATTTGATGATTCATTTTTTATTTTATTTTTTACCACAAACTGCGCAAGCTAGGTCCATGGAATAAATTATATCAAGTTTTAAACTACCACGCACACACGCACACATTGGTCATATGTGATAATGACCAAATTGTAAGGAGAAAAAAAAAAAATTTTTTTTTGTTTGTCAAATTCAAAATATAAAAATCGATCAATCGGACCAAATACCAAACTATTCGATCATTCATCATCGATACTAAGCAGAAGCAGTATTTTTTCGTTTCGTTTTGTTTCATTTTGTTTCATTTCAACTTGACCAAACTTTTGACTTAAATCCACTACGACGACGACGACGACGACGATTTTCAATCATCATCATCATAATCATTTTACATCGTTTGATAATTAAAGGCTTGAAGGCTGATCATTTTTTTTTTCTTCTTCACATTCATTTCCGATTTGATTTTTCGTGTCTGTGTGTGTGTGTGTTTTTTTTGTATTAGTGCTAGTTTTGTCTGTGTGTCTGTGTGTTTTTGGCGATTGAACTTCTGTCCAGCAAAAAAAAAATAATTAAAAAAAACAAGTATCAAATAACAGGTTACAAGACACGATAACAAAAAAATTTGGCCTGTAATGTGAAATTTTTTTTCCGTATTTTTTTTTTTCTCCAATAATAATCGATCAGTGTGTGTTTAGTTATTGGTGGAAATAGATTTCCATCCATAAATGACATATAAAATAATAATTTAATACATTTTTTTCCAACTGTTTTACGATCCAACCGGAAGTCCGATCATCATCGTTGCATTTTTTTTTTGAATAAAAATCAACTGGACAAACAACATATCGTGTTCGACAAGATTGACCAATAACAAGTTTTTTTTTTTTCATTTATTTATTTATTTCACGATTACCATCCATCCAATACATTTGGCCATTATTTACCACTGATTCAATCAAACAACAATCTTGATTAACCAATCCAATCCAATCCAATCCAACCAACCAAGTATCCATTCTATTTCGGTATGTATACTAAGTAGAGATCTGAAAAATTTTTCCTGTTGATTTTGAACCAAAAAAAAAAAAAAAAAATGAATGAATGAATGAATGTATCAGCTACAGGTATATATATATATTAGGTTATAGGTCAATAAGCTTTTTTTTATACATCATCAAGCATCATCTTCAATCCATTTTCGAGGTTATTTTTGTTGTTGTTGTTGTTGTTCATTGTCGATTCGATTATTATTATTATTATTATTCAATTAGCTATGAAATTAAATAGAAACTAGAAACTAGAAACGAAAAAAATTCTTCATCAGAAACCAAACTGGCTTAATTCCAGTTCCATACACCACCGCCACCACCACCACCAACGGTTTTATTACACGGTAGCTGGCTGATATTTTATTTTTTCTTTCGGTATGTTTTATTATGGTTTTTTATTTTCGTTTTTTAAATTCTAAATTCCAAACAAACAAACAAAACAAAAAAAAAAAAGAAAAAAACAGCAATGACACACACACACAAAAATTCTCTTGACAACAACATTGACAAACATCAAAATACTCAATCGATCAATAATGGAAATTCAATGAAAAAAAAAAAACAAACAAAAAAAAAATTCATTCATCGATCGATCCATCGAATCGGTTTGTTCTTCTCTCTCTCTTCTATCTCTTATTTTCTCTCTATTAATCAGATAAAAAATTACTAGTTATCTTGGTTGTTTGTTTGTTTGTTTGTTTTGTTTTTTTTTTTTTGTTTCAGATGTTCATCATGATGATGATGACGATGATTTGATTAGAAGCAGCATAAATGAATGAATGAATGATGATGATCATGTGTTTCTCATTTTTTGTTTTCTCTGAAAAAAAAATTTTAGGTACCACTTGATTGCTGTATTGTCACAATAATTAATTTTTTTTTCTTTATTTTTTTTTTTTTTTTTTTTTTTTTTTAAACTTGGAAAATTGGAAATTCTCATCCAGTTTGCGTAATGGTCTTAGTCCAGAAATTAAAGAGAATTTGTTTGCAAGAGATAAAGAGAGAGAAACTAATCTGTGATAGATTTCCATCATTTATTGGTAACTAATAATTTGTTGCCCATCACACATTCATCGTTGTTGTTGTTGTTGTTGTTGTTGTTGTTGCTAAACAGAAAAACAACAACAACAACAACAACAACAAAATACAGATGGATAAAGAGGAAAAAAAAGGGGCAAATGTACATCACATCCTCTTTTTTCTTCTTCTTCTTCTTTTGCCCTTTTTCGTATTTTCATTTAAAATGAATTAATGGGATATATATATTTATATATATTATAAGATGTAATCGGATAATTGTGGCCATTGCCTCTATCTATCTATCCATCTAATTTATCTATCCATCTATCTATCTATCTGTTTTGCTTTCTCAAAAATTTTCTTCTTCTCCAAAAAAAAAAAAAAAAAAAAAAACAACAACAACAACAACAACAACAACATTAAACATATACAGGATACAGGATTTTCGGGACTGGCTCCAAGTTGTTTGTTGTGTGTGTGTGTGTGTGTGTATCACTTGTTTTTGTTACTTACACACTTGTTGATATACGATGATACGATGATGATGATGATGATGATGTTCTCTAGGTATCAGAGTACACAAACACACACACATAATCTAGGAATAAAGAGCGGCTAGCTAATTTTTGAAATTTTCTTCTTCTTCTTCTTCTTCGTCTTCTAGTTCTCTAGTTCTCCATTCTCAATTCATTTCATTTCAATTTGATTTTTTTTTTTTTTTTTTTTATTTTTTTTCCCCGATACAAAAAGTTCATCTCACCATTGATGAACATTTCATTTGGCTAGTAAACTTGATCGCGATCGTTTTTTTTTTCGTTTCGTTTCGTTTCGTTTTGTCAGTTTAAAAAAAAATTTTTTTTTTTCATTTCATTCTTGGGCATCATACCCAGCAGAAGCAGCAGCAGCAGCAGTAGCAGATTTGTTTCGTTTCATTTGGTCCACAAATTGCAATTTTTTTTTTCTTCAACATTTCGTTTTGTTTCGTTTTTCATTTTTCATTTTTTATTTTTCGTTTCGTTTCATTTTTTTCTGGTTCAAATTCTTTGTTTTATTTTCCCGAAATTCTTTTTCGCTCAATTTGATTCTAATTCTGAAAACAAAAATTTTTTTTTCACACTTTTTTTCATCAGATTAAAAAAAAATCATCGTGTGTTTTTACAGTATTCGTGTCCGTGTTTTTTTTTCTTGTCCATTCGTTTTTGTGCAATACAAGTGTTCCTCCTATTTTTTTTTTTTAATTCTTCATTTGGAATTTATTTAAATAAAAAAAAAAAAAATTCGTGCAATTTTTTTTCTCACATTTTTTTTTACTTCTAATCAAAGAAAAAAACTTCGATAAATTTATCAATTTATCAATCAACATCATCATAATCACCAAATTTTGGAAGTTTAAAAAAAAGTTTAATAATAAAAAAACCACCATCCTGATTATTAATTAAACCATCAATATATCAAAAAAATCAATCATGGAACCACTTTCAAAAATAGCCAACGAATGTCCAATCAAAGAGGATATCGTTATTTCTGGCATTTCAGGTCGTTTTCCTGAAGCCGATAATATGGATGAATTTGCACAGAAATTATTTAGCGGTGAAGATATGGTCACCCGTGATGATCGTCGTTGGCCAGTTGGTATGTATTGATTTTTTTTCAAAATTTAAATAATTTATTACTGGTAAAAAATGATTCAAATTTTTCTTTTTAAATTCCAAAACAAAAAAAATCAAGAAATCAACGATAGTCTTGGATCACGTACAGGCAAACTTAAAAGTTTGGACAAATTCGATTCATCATTCTTTTCCATGTTGACGTATTTGTCACATTCTATGGATCCTGTATCACGTATCGTATTGGAAACAACTTATGAAGCATTCCATGATGCCGGCGTTTGTCCACATCAAATTCGTGGTTCCAATACTGGCGTCTATTTTGGCATCAACACTATCGGTAAGTGGAAATAGTGTCATTGTATTTTTATCATTCGATTTTTTTTTCTTTTGGTTATTCAATAATCCTCAAATTTACCATTGTTGATCATCATTATTATTATTAGCTCAAGCTGATGGTTTGCCACAGGATGATTTCAATGACATCTTCACTAAAGAGGCTGCTTTTTGGGTCTATGGCAATTCAAAAGTATTGTACGCCAATCGTATTTCTTTCTTGTTCGATTTTCAAGGACCTAGTTTGGTTATCGATACGGCTTGTTCAGCATCATTGGTCGCTTTGGCTACAGCCATGAATGATATCCGTATGGGTGTCTGTGATACGGCTGTTGTTGCAACGGGTAATTTGGTTCCGGCACCATTCGGTAATTCAATCTATTCCTGTGTCGGTCTTTTGGCTTCCGATGGTAAATGTAAAGTATGGGATAAACGTGCTGATGGTTTTGTACGTTCAGAAACAATTGGTGCAGTTATTCTACAACGTCGTTCGCAAGCAAAACGTGTCTATGCAACTGTATTGCATTCAAAAGTTAATTCCGATGGTTTCAAATCGGTCGGTCTTTTTGCTCCTTATTGGCTTCGACAGAAAGATTTAATGGTATCTACATATGAAGAGGCTGGTGTTGATCCAAATGATTTGGTCTATTTTGAAGCTCACGGTACTGGCACCAATGTCGGTGATCCACAAGAAGCTAAAGCTATTGCTGAAGCTTATTGTAAACATCGTGAAGTAAGTTTTAAATTCAATTATTATTGATCCAGAAGGATTTCTAATCAGATTTTTTTTCATCTTTCAAATAATAATAATAATATAGCAACCATTATTGGTCGGTGCTGTAAAATCAAATCTTGGCCATTCAGAAGGTTCATCTGGTTTGAATTCGGTGGCCAAAATTGTTGTTGCATTTGAAAATAAATGCATTCCAGCCAATTTGCATTTCAATGAACCAAAACAAGAAATCTATGCTATTGTTAACAAACAGATTGAACCTGTCATTAAGAATACTAAATTCCCGAACGGTATCGTTGGTGTCAACTCTTTCGGTGTCGGTGGTGTAAATGCTCACATTTTATTGAAAAGTAATGACAAAGAATTGACACCTGAATCGTATGAAATTTGTAAACCAATTCCACGTTTGGTTACCATTGCTGGCCGTACTGAAGAAGGTGTAAACATGATGTTCGATTTCATTAAAAATAATCCGGAAAAAGTTCATCGTGATTTCCTTGCATTGTTGAATGAATCAATGAAAACTGGCTGGGTTGAATCATCATCCAATTTCCCACAACGTGGCTACATGATTATCAAAGAAAAACCAAACAACACTGAATTTACAACCATCAATATTGAATGTGGTGAAGTAAAAGTGCCTAAATATGAATATGATTGTAAAATTACCAGTACTGGTATGGAATATCCTGTATGGCTTGTATTCTCTGGTATGGGTTCACAATGGTTGACCATGGCTACCAGTATGATGTCTTTGGAACCATTTGCTCGTTCAATTCATCAATCGGCTGCCGTACTTAAACCAATGGGCATCGATTTGATTGAATTGTTGACCAAAAATGATCCAGAATTATGGAAAAGTACTGTCAATCCATTCGTTGCCATTACATCTATGCAAGTCGCCTTGTATGATGTTATCAAATTGCTTAACCTTAAAATCGAAGGTATTATTGGCCATTCATTTGGTGAAGTTGCCTGTGCTTATGCTGATGGCTGTTTAACATTGGAACAAGCTGTATTGACATCATTTTGGCGTGGTAAAATTGTTGAACAATCCAAATTACCTCGTGGTGTATTGGCCGCCATTGGTTTATCATGGGAAGAAGCTAAAAAACGTTGCCCACCTGGCATTGTACCGGCATGTCACAATGGTTCGGATTCCGTAACCATTTCTGGTCTTTATGAAGAGACGAAAAAATTTGTCGAAAAATTACAAGCTGAAAATGTATTTGCTCGTTTGGTTGCTGGTGGTGAATATCCATACCATAGTCCACATATGAATGCTGTTGCACCAGATTTGATGGCCGCATTGAACAAAATCATTCCGGAACCGAAAAAACGTAGTTCAAAATGGATTTCCACCTCGTTCGATAAAAGCAATTGGTACATTGAAGATGCTTGCTATGCATCGGCCAAATATTTCACCAACAATTTGGTATCACCTGTATTGTTCAATGAAGGCATGAATGAAATTAGCAAAGACTCGATCGCTATTGAAGTTGCTCCACATTCATTGTTTGATTCAATCTTCAAACGTTGCTATCAACGACATCATTATATTGGCCTCATGAAACGTAATGAACCGGATAATTTGAACTTTTTCCTTACGGCATTGGGTAAAATCTATACATTCGGTATGAATTTGGATATTGAAAACTTGTATCCACGTGTTGAATGGCCTGTTGCACGATCAACACAATCCTTGAGTTCATTGGTACATTGGGATCATTCAAAGAGTTTCTATGTGAAAAAATATCCCGAATTCCATAACTTTTCAACAGCATCCGATTTTTATGTTAAAATTTCTGTTCATGAAACTGATTGGCATTTCTTGCGTGACCACGCAGTCGAAGGTAAAGCATTGTTTCCAGCTACTGGTTATTTGTATCTGGTATGGCGTCGTGTTGCCAATCATATTGGTCAACCTTGGAGTAAAACACCTGTTCATTTTGAAAACGTTCGGTAAGTGACCGGAATCTGCTCAACACTTGTAAATCTTATTAATACAATTTTATCTACTACCATTAATCATTATAGATTCCATCGTCCAACATTGGTGTCCGAAACAAGTGACATCAAATTCACCATTCGTCTTTTGCAAGGTAGTGGTGAATTTTTAGTGTTTGAAGCAAACAATCTTGTCTGTACTGGTAAAGCCACCGTTATGGACAATGATAATGGTTTGGAAGTTCAAGATACAATTGAACCAGCCATTGAAGAAGATTATAAACAACGTCATTCAAGTGAATTTGATTATTTGTCCACAAGAGAAATCTATAAAGAATTACGTATTCGTGGCTATGATTATGGTACTAAATTCCAAGGTCTTACTGAAGCTCGTTCAGATGGTGCTATCGGTTAGTATTTTGATTGTTTCAATGTTTTTTTCTTGTATAATTGATGTCGATTTTTTTTCGTTTTCTAATCTTTAGGCAAAGTCAAATGGGACGGCCATTTCATTAGTTTCATGGATTCAATGCTTCATATTTCACTTATTGCTCTACCTCTTCGTGCTTTGTTTGTACCGGTCGGATTTGAATCGGTCCGTATCGATCCAAAAGTTTTGTTTGGTGAAATTGAACGTGTCAAACAGGAAAAGAAAAAGACCGAAGAAGAAGAATTCCATTTGAAACGTGAATTTTTGTATTTCTCTGATAAAACTAAAGAAAATGAAACATTGGAAAAAGATTTCTCCAATCGTGTTGAAGGTGCCATCAACAAAGAAGAAGTTGATCAAGATAACCAAGAAAGCCGTGCCGATCTTCCAATTCAATTTTATGAAACTGCTTTCATGAAAAATGAAGATAACAAAATCTCATTGATTCCAATAATTTTCGATGGAAATAATCGTTCAATTGCCACTAAAGGTTTAGAAGTAAAAGGCATGATTCCATTCCCAGTTCCTCGTAAAATCGATCAAAAAGGTTTAATATTGGAAAAATATTCACATATGCCATATTTGGATAAAGAACAATCACGATTGAACGAAGATAAACATAAAGAATTGATGGATTATATTGAAATGTGTAACTATCTAGCTACATTGCTCGTGTTGGACAAAAAGGTTGCTAAACCAGAAATGAAAGAATTGGTCGTTCAAGGCAAACTTAATGATTTGATTCGACATTACACGAAATTTGTTGAAATGCAAGAAGTCAATAAATATCGTGTGTTCATGTTGTTGAAAGATTTATTGGAATTGAAAGTGGAAAAAATGGAAGATGGTGACGAAAAATTGATGATGTCCTGTTGTGTTGCTGAAGATAAATTGAATGGTGAAGGTGGCCTCAACAATGAATTGTTGACCAAACATGATCTTTCAGCAGATTTGGCTGTCTTATTGCAAACAAATGAACATCTTGTACGACCATTGATCGATACCGTATTGGAGAATTCATCTGATCGTAATAATTTGAAAATGATTGAAGTGAATCCAGCTCAATATCTTTATGCATGGCGTATTGTTCAATTGATTAAAACATCCTATGTTGGTAATCTGAATATTGATTATACCTACGCCAATACTGGTTCACAGATTCTTAACAAAGAATTGGAAAGTTTGAATATGAAATCGATTGAATGGAATCAATCAACAAATTCATTCATAAACGATATAAATACTATGGATTTGATCCTGTATCGATTGACAGATGGTGTTGTTGAAAATTGGAGTATCGATCGACAATTGGAAGCATTCTATGATGCTCTTAAAGAAAATGGTTTCCTCATGGTTATCGCTCGTAATGATTTGAACAAAGTGGAAAGCACTTTGTATAAATGTTTCAATATTGACCCAAAACGTGAAATCATTCGATCTGGTGTTGTGGATGAATTCATCAAAGCAGCTAAAGCTGCTTCGTTTGGTTTGGTCGGTACAAAAACTAGCATTTATGGTTGTACCGCTTTGTTGTTCCGTAAACTTAAAATGGTCTATGATCCGGCTGAATTCAATGTATTGAAAATTGTCAACTTTGAATATGATACCTGGGTGGATAAACTTAAAGCATTGATGGCACAAAGTAAAGATGATAACAAACCATTGTGGCTGGTTGCCAATGAGAAATACACTGGCGTTGTGGGTATGGTCAATTGTTTGCGTTTGGAACCGGGTGGCGTAAATGTTCGCTGTATTTTGGATCTGGACAATTCATTACCCGATCAAATTGATTTTGAAAAAAGTCCATTCAACGAAATTGGCTATATGGATTTGGTATTCAATGTTTACAAACAAGGACAATGGGGTTCATTCCGTTTCATCACTTTGCCAGATGAATGTGAAAAAGTTGAAACTGAATATGCTTATTTGGATATTGCCACCCGTGGTGATCTATCCACATTCAATTGGTATGAATCAGATCACAAACATTTCAATCAAATTGCCAAAGCCGACCAAGAAAAAGATATGGTCATGTGCGATGTTTATTGTTCATCATTGAACTTTAAGGTTTGTCAATTTTTTAATATGTCGTATTCTCTAATATATTATTTATTTTTAAAATTCAATTCAATAGGATGTTATGTTGGCCACTGGTCGTATTCAACCTGGTCCAGAATCGGCCATTTTCAATTGTGTCATTGGTTTAGAATTCTCTGGTCGACGTCGTGACAATGGAAAACGTGTCATGGGCATGGTTCCATTCAAAGGCTTCGCTACAACAATCACATCTTTTGAAGATTTCTTGTGGGATGTTCCGGATGATTGGTCATTGGAAGAAGCTGCCAGTATTCCGGTCGTTTACAGTACAGCTTTATACGCTTTGATTGTTCGTGGTCAATTGCGTGAAGGCGATAAAGTTTTGATTCATTCGGCTGCAGGTGGTGTTGGCCAGGCTGCCATTCGTATCTGTCAAGATTATAAATGTGAAATATTCGTTACTGTTGGTAATCAACGAAAACGTACATTCCTCAAGGAAGAATTTGGCATTCCAGATGATCACATTTTCAATTCACGTGACATTTCATTCGAACGTTTGATCAAAGATCGAACCAAAGGTTTGGGCGTTGACATTGTTTTGAATTCGTTGGCTGAAGATAAACTTCAGGTAAAATATCCGATTTCGATTTATTTAGAAAGTTTATTGACTTTTTTCTCTATTCATTTAGGCATCACTTCGTTGTTTGGGCTTGAATGGTCGATTCTTGGAAATCGGCAAATATGATATGCAAATGAACAAACCGATTGGCATGTTTGCTTTCTTGCAAAACATTTCTTTCCATGGTGTCTGTTTGGATGCCTATTTCCGTGAAGGTTTTGATTCACCAAACTTGAAACGTTTCATGAAACGTATGACTGATTTATTGTATGATGGTATTAAACGTGGTGTTGTCAAACCAATTCAACGAACATCTTACCGATGGAACGAAGTTGAACAGGCTTTCCGATACATGTCTACTGGTAAACATATTGGTAAAGTGATCATCAAAATGCGTGAAGAAGAAAAGGAAAAACAAATCCTTGCTAAACCATTGAAAGTCATTGCTAATCGACGAACATCATTCAATCCATCGAAATCATATGTTATTGCCGGTGGTCTTGGTGGTTTCGGTTTGGAATTACTTTATTGGATGGTTATGCGTGGTGCCAAAAAATTCGTCCTTTCATCCAGAGGTGGCTTGAAAAATTCATATCAAAAATTGTACTTCAAACGACTCAAGGAATTGAGCAAATTCATTTCAATCTTCGATATCGATGTTACGATCGCTACAGATAATGTTATCACTGAAGATGGCGCTCGTGCTTTGATTGATGAAGCCATGACTAAAGGTCCAGTTGGTGGTCTCTTCAATTTGACATTGGTATTGCACGATGCTTTTGTTGAAAATCAAACAGCCGAAACATTCATCGAAGTCTGTTCACCGAAATTGACTGGTTTGGCTAATTTGGATAAAATATCTCGTGCTAAATGTCCGGAAATTGATTACTTTGTCTGTTTCTCATCATTGACCGCTGGTCGTGGTAATGCCGGTCAAATTAATTATGGTTATGCTAATTCGGCTATGGAACGTATTTGTGAATGTCGTCGTGCTGAAGGTAAGAATTAATAATTGATTTAGTTAATTTGATCTAAATTCTATCTTTCTATTCTCTCATATATAGGTTTGCCTGGTACAGCTATTCAATGGGGTCCAATCGGTGATGTCGGTGTTGTTGCCGAACATTTGTTGGTCGATGCCGATGACAAGAAACAGGAAGATATGCTTAAATTGTTTGGCGGTATTTCATTGCAACGTATCGCATCCTGTTTGGAAGTATTGGATCGTTTATTGCAAGTCGGTGCACCAGTATTATCTTCTTTGATCAAATCAAACTTGGAAGATAACAGTAATCAGAGTGAAGATGACATTCTCGATCAATTGTGTGCTCACTTGAACGTTGACAAACGATCTCGTGAAGAAACTATTGGTGATGCCGGTTTGGATAGTATGACTGTGGTTGAAATTCAACAACGTTTGGAACGTGATTATGAAGTATCGTTGTCGGTTGCTGATGTCAAACGTATTACTATTGGTGAAATTAAAGATTTTCGTGATGGCAAACGTGAAGGTCTTAAATCATTTGCCGAAGATATTAAAAAGACCCGTATGCATTTGGCTAACATTAGATTCGAAATTGCAAGCGAACCATATACGATTGTTTGTCCACATCAAGAAGTATCGAAAATGAAACCGATTTTCTTCTTGCCACCAATTGAAGGTATCTATGAATCATTGAAAGAAATCATTATGGATATGGCCAAACATCGACCAGTCATTACATTGAATTGGATGCGAAAAATGAATGAATTGAACAATATCAAAAAAGTAGCCGAATACTTTAAAGGTGTTTTGGCTAAATTGGAACCAAAAGGTGAACATGAAATTGTTGGCCATTCATTTGGTGCCATTGTAGGTATTCACATGTGTCGTAAAGCCGTACCAATCAAAACAATGATCGTACTCGATCCTATGGATGTATCTAACTTTAAAGAAGAATTTGATCGTAATGAAAAGGTTGAAATGATCTTATCATATCTACGTAATTTCATGTCCGAACGTTTGGTCGACAAAGTCCGTAAAGAAGCCCTTTCGGTGAAGAATGAACAAGAATGTATCCAAAGAATAGCCGATGTATTGAAATCACATGGTGGTAAAGCAATTAATAGCAAAGATATTGATGATATTATCAAAGATTCATTCGTCCGTTCTGAAATGATTCTCAAATATCAACAGAAAAATATTCGTAAACTTCGAATGTTTGGTCGTGATTTTACACAGAAAACCGTACAAAAAATGATGAAGAAAATTACCGTCAATGTATCTGTCATCAAACGTATGACACAAGAATCTGAAATCGATAAATTGAACCATATCCTACTTACTAGTTATGGTATCGCTCGAAAGGTACGTTTTCTAATAGTTTTTAATAGTGTTATCTAACAATTGTTTTTTGTGAATTTTCATAATAATAAATATAGGATTTCATCGGCCGTTTTGATGTCTATCAAGTCATCGGTAATGAAGAAGAATATCTCACCACACATCTTCATTACATAACCAAATTGATCAAACTTAAACTGACATTGATCACGGAAGAGGAGGCACAAAATTTGGCATGAGAATCAACAATGATTTAATTCTCATTCATTCATTTATTGATTATTGATTTTTATCATTATTATAAATTTAATCGCACAACAACAATACTATCAAAATGGACTATTTTTTTCATTTCAGCGATTCTTTAATTTTTTTCCAATTTTTTGAACAAAACTGCTCAAAATTCAACAATTCTACTGCTGCTGCTACATAAAACTTCTTAAAATAACGAAACGTAACATGTACATCAGGAATCCGAAACGCGAACAAATTTAATGGCCAAACAAACAAATCGAAAAAAAAATAAACTGAAAATTGAAACTGACCAAATCCCAGATACACAGACCAAATGAAACGAAACGAAACGAAACGAAACAAAACAAAAAAATTTTCTTCTGCTTAGTTTTTTTTACAATTTCTTTCAATAAAACCTTATTTTATTTATATAAAAAAAATATGACCTGAATTCCTTTATTTGAGATTTTTTTCTTCAATAGTTGAAACACTACTACACATGATGAAACTCGTTGTTTCAGAAAAAACTTGAACAAAAAGAGGTTTTTGGAATGTGTTTATTATAAATTTAAAAAAATGAAAAAAATGACAAGATAAAAATGCACATATTAAAAATATTTCAAATCTTCCACCGTTTCCGAACGTAATAAAACGAAACCCGATCGTTTTGTATGGCCTTTTTTATCCATCAGTTGAAGACAGATAATATCATCATCATTATCACCATAGACATCATTTTCATTGACATTTTGTTGCTGTTGTTGTTCACATGTTAAGTCTTGATTTTCGATCAAAGATGGTGCCGATTTTGCCGATGTTCGATCATTATGAACATCGTCATCGTTTATCGTTTCGATATTCATTTGATAATTGAAATCACTATGATCTTTATTCGTAATATCAGCCATCGATATCTCTTCTGATTGATTGACCATATCATTGGATTGTCTGTTTTGTTGTTGTTGTTCGAGAACAGGTTCCTCTTTATAGTTATGATTGTGGTGATTATCATTCTCGATAATCATTGTTAATTTTGGTATAAATTTAATTGCACCCAAAAAATAATCAACAAGTATGCCACGATTCCAGATCTAGAATAAATAGCAATAAATATCAAAAAGGTTTCATCAAAAATTATTTACCTCGATCCAAATCGGTTCCATTTTATCAATATCACGATGATAGAATATTGCAGAAAAATTATTCCATACAGGCATTAGTGTTTCATATTCTATTGATGATTTTACATATTTACGGCCACAACGTATTATACAGTAAGGATTGGCTGCTATGTAACAGTAAAAGAAAAACAATAGTTAAAAATTTTTTGAAAAAATATTTTACATTTGAATCTTACTTCCAAATCTATCTTGCCGTTCAAGACCTTCACAACCCAATACATGTATACGTGTCATTGCACTTGGATAGACTGGTTGCATAAATGATAATAATTGATGACGTGGCATATCCATTGTTAATTGACGTAGATCATTGATTTGTGGTGAATAAATTGATACCAATAATGTTGATATTTCCGGACAGATTGGTTTTAGTAGATAACGTGCATTGGCTGGTAACGATATCGTTACTATTAGATTTCTTGATTGAACAGGATCAATTGTTGTTATCAATGGTAATGATGAAAATTGATGAACCTTGAATTTACGATTCAATTCAATTGAATAGATACGAAATCCGATCGGTATGATTGGTGAATTTTTTTGTATCAAATTAAAATGTACATCGACACATTGTGAATGATGATGATGATGATGATGATGTGGTTTATGTTGGCCGTTTGTATCACCATCACCAATACCGTTAGACGAATCGGTAGTGACCATAGCTGATGAACTATTAGACATTGGACGAACATCGAATCGAAATTGTAGACTTGATGATGATGAATTATCGCAGCCAATTGATTTGTTAACAATCAATCGATGAATAGAATCTTTATGATATTGAAATGGACGACATATAGTTAGTGTATCAAAAAGATTCGTAATATTATTTGACAGTATCCAAAATTCTTGTAAACCTTTTTTTGGATTCATTGATAAACTTGATTTACAATTTTTTACACCATCAGCAATTGTATTCGTAATTAATAATGGAAGATTATCTTGATTACTATGATGAGTTGATGATGATGATGATGATGAATTTGATGATAAAAGTCTTTTTAATGTTCCCATTGGTTTTTTAATATTACGTATCAAGTAATAACGATTTGATACCAAACCAAATGGTGCTGATCCGATTGGTTTAAATTCCTAAATTCCGAAATTGTTTAATAGATTATTGATTACAAATGTTTATTTATCGATTACTTACTTTGGTTTTAAGAATCAATAATGATTTTGATTGAAATTCTCGGCTAATTATATGCCATAATTGTTCGGATGAATAACCAAAACGTAAAAGATCAATACTTTCCACGGATCCACCACCACTAAAATCAATCAATGCACTATGTAATGAACCATTTGTAACCATTGCTTCATATGATCCGTATAGTTTTGCATAAGCCTTTTCCAACATTGGTATCCACCATGATGAATATGTCCAAATTGGTCTAGTGAATATTGGTTCAGAATCAATGGATGGTAAACGATCATCGACAACAACTTTATGCCATACACCCATTTGCCATATTGTAAAACGGGCAATACCTTGATCACGAAAATGTTGTTCATCAATATTGACTAATTGTTCGAATAATGATCGATGTTGGCCAATGGCTAATGCTGCTGCCACTAACCATGAATTCGGTGAATGGCCAACAAAAAGATGATTATGATCAGTCTTGAAAATGGGCAATAATGTTGAATCAAAATTGAAATCATTTTCTTTCAACAATTGTTTTGGACGTTTCCATACAACTTTGCCTATATTGAAACGAGATCTAAATGCTGATGTTTGATATACATGACGATCATTCTGTTTAAATTGATCATCGGTAAATGTTAAGCCAACATCAGCCGAACGTTTTGCTAATCGACGAAATGATTGATTACCGAATCGATGAAATCGACGACTACTCGATCGTAATAGATTTGGTTCAATTTTCGGTGTATTGGCCATTATTATTATTATTATTTTGGCATAGAAGAAAATAGAAATTCTTTATTTGTGAATTATTTTCAGTATATAAAACAACAATAAACCGTGATGAAATATATTGTTGTTGTTTACAGTTTATTCATAATTGATGGCGTTGATTGTTATGATGATGATGATGATGATGATGATGAAAAATCTTGGTAAAAAACAAACACACACCCAACGATCAAACGATATGAAAAAATCGATGTTCGATCGAATTGTGGAAATATAATCCTACACACACACAAATGAAATGAAAAACAAGATTCAATAGATAAGTGAGAGTGATTTATTATATAAAGCAACCATAACAACAACAACAACAACAACAAATGAAGTAAACAAATCCAAAAATAGAATCCAAGAACAAAAAAAAAATCTTTTTTTTCTAAAATCCAGATCTTTTACTTAGATACTGAACCGGATTACATATCACAACCTACCTATGATGATGATGACGATGATGGTGGTGGTGAGAATTATATGACCAAAAAAAAAAACAACAACAACGAAGAAATTTACGAAAAAAAGAGCGCCAAATAAGCAACAATTCAGCAGCTGCAGCTGTTGAGCACAAATATATCAACAAACCCAAAAACAGGTATGATGATGATGATGATGATGGAACCATTTACAAACACACACACACACAAATATACTGAGCACAGAAATATAACTGGCTTGTTATTTCCATAAAAAAAAGTAATAAGGACGGGCAGCATATATTTATTTTTTATTATGGTGAATGATGATCAACATTAACAATCGAGAGAAAAAAAAATCGAGGTCAAACCTAACAGCTGCACCAAAATTTATGAATGATGGTCATCGTCTGTCTCTCTAATGTTTGATTGTATGGTATCATAACCAAACCATATATATACTGCATATAATAATTTCCATTTAAATTACAACAACAACAACAACAACAACAACAAAAGAGTGACATATTTATATTCATTCGTTTCATTTTTAATTTTAATTTTCACATACACAAAAAAAAAATATAATATAATTTAGCACATTACAATCTCTCATCATTAATGCAACAAAAATTTGGACAAAAATAAAATTTAAAAAAAATTTGAAAGACTTTTGAAGAAAAATAAATTTTAAGTAAAAAATAAAATGATGATGATGATGATTAATTGCAAATCGAATCGAATCGAATCAGAATCAATATCCTTTTAGGCCTTTCATACGTGCTTTTTTCTGCAATGCTTTCAATCGTTTTTCCTGTTCTTCACGGCGAATATCTTCCAAATCTTCACGGATACCTTCACGTAATGAACGCATCTCTTCTTTCATACATTGTCCATAACTAGCCTCTTCAATATCATCTTCAATTATATTACGATATTTTCGTTTATCATAGCCAAATATTTCACGTATATGGCGTGAATATTCTTCTTCCGGTTCTGGTTCTTCGATTGGACCATCATCAATAAAATCGGCCATTTCATCATCCTCTTCATCCATTTCATCATCTTCATAATCATCATTATTATAATAATCATCATCAACATCATTTTTATATTGATCATCTTGTTGATAATCATAATAAATACCACGACGATATGTAGCACCGATTGGCGGTAATTTTGGCCTTGGTTGTTGTGGCGGTGGCATTCGTTGCTGTTGATGTATTGGCTGTCGTTGTTGTTGTGGTTGATATTGTTGTAATCGATTACGATTGTCCATCATTGATGATGATGATGATAATGAAGTAGTTTTTGATATCACAGATTTTTGTGGCAAAGATTTTGATAGAGATGTCGTTTGTTTTGATGACATCGATGATTTGGTATCGAACATGTTTGCCGGTGATAACGTTCGAATTGGTTGTTGTTGTTGTTGTCGTTGCTGCTGCTGTTGCAACAGTCTAGGTTTGTTTGGTTTAGATTGGTTATCACGATTCTTCATAGATGAAGATGCTGTTAATGATGATGACGATGATGCCATTCTTTTTTTACCATCATTTTCCGATCGTATTGATTGTAATCGATTTCCATTCATATTTGTCATTGCTCCAACCGATGGCGAATGTTTTGTCGAATTTTGTGATAATTTTGATTGTGGCTGCTGCTGCTGTTGCTGTCTAAATTGTTGTTGTTGTTGGTGGTGGTGATGGTGATTCGAATTCCGATTATGATCCAATAATTTTTTTGGATTTTCTTGATCGATCTTTTTTGATCGCTGGTCAATGGTTGTTTTCATTTGTTTCGAAGCTGGTGTTCGATTAACCACATGATGATATTTATCGTTTGTCGATTGTTTGTAATTTGAATTCTGTATTTTGACCTCTTGTGTGTGTGGTGGTGGTTTTGGTTTTTGCCATCGGTCGTCGTTCAGCAGCATCATTTCGATAATAATCAATTTGTCGTTGTTTTTCTTTAGCACACAATGCTTGACGTTTTTTTTCTGAATTTTTTTCTTGAAATTCTAATTCACTTTTAATTTCATCTTCTAATGATATTTTTTGTGCTGATTTTTCTGCCGCCATATTGAGCAATTGATCATACGATAATGGTGGTGGTTGTTGTTTTGATGTTTTCAGTTTTGTTTGATTATTTGTCACATTTGGGCCATTTGTTTTCTGTTTTGATGATTGCCTAATTATATCGGAAATTTTCATTGTTTTCGGCTGAACTTTTACCGGTTCTTCTTGTTCTAATCGTTTCATTACTTTATCACGATCTTTACGACTTAGGCCATTTAATTTTTGATCCAAATCGATTCGTGCTTTCATACGTTTTTTCGTATCATCAATGGATTTTTGACGAATTTTTTCTTCAATCAATCGATCATCATCGGTGGTAACTATACGGCCAAAATTATTATCTTTTGTACGAGATTTCATCATCTGTGCTTTTCGCATCGATTTAGAATTCTGTGCACGTAATGAAAGCAAACGTTGTTTTTCTTCCTGTGCACGCAATAAACGATGACGTTCTTCACGTTCTTTACGTGCCTTAAATCTAGCTATTGCCATTGGATCCGGTCCACGATTCAATCCATTCATTTGTCTACGTCGAAGTAATGATGATTGTTGTTCAGTATTTCGTTGTGCGGCTTCAAGTAAATCTTGATAATCCATTTTTTTGATTGAGATGTAAAAATGGATCAACCAGATTGATGATCAGAAGAAAAAAAAATTCAAATCTACTATCACATTTGTAAAAATATCAGAAAAAAAAACGAAAATTTCGTTTCGAGAAAAATCTACAAAATAAAATATCAACGACACACATGAACAGAAGAAATTAAAAAAAAAAAATAAACATCACACACAGATGAGTTTTGGCCAGCGTGATGTTTTCATATGTTGAATGTTCACCATTTGTTGTGTATAAAATTCAATTATTTGATCATTATTACGAATTACCACCGCTAGTCTGCGCCACTTTCAACAATGTGGTAAAACAATTTCGAATTTTTGTTTTGTTTTTTTTCATTTGCTTTGGTCCAAAATTAAGTGTGTATATAAATCCGATAAGTATGTTGATCACAATTTACATTACCATTTTTTTTGTTGTTGTTAATTTAATCTTTTTTTTTCTCTACTAAATTTCAGTTTCAGTTTATTTTGAATCTTTAAACACACACACACACATATGTTGATGATGATGATGTTTAAACAACGAACATTGATACCGATTCTCTATCTTTTTACTGTTTTAATCTATACAACAATATTCGCTGCTGCTGCTGATTGATGATAATAATAATCAAACGACGACAACGATAACAACAACATCATTCAACGTCACTGATGATTTAAGTAATCAAACGACGACGACGATAACAACACCATCATTTAACGTCACTCATAATGGTAATGAAACAACAATGATTACCGCAGCAACAACAAATGTCACTGTGGATACAAATCATACAACGAATATTACCGTATTGCCACCTGTAATATCAACAACAATATTGACCACGACAATGAAGATTATGACAACAACAACGGAAAAATCTGATCCATTAATACCATGGATTGTATTCATTGCATTCATATTCATACCAATGATTTTAATTGCATCAATTCTATTGTTGCTATTATTCATCACATTGTTTGAGGATAAAAATCGTAAAAAAAGATCACGATCACATGGATCAACAATTGTCACGAATCTTGATTATCCAATCAAATTATTGCCATCATTATCGGATGAACATCGTTTTCCAGAACCACATGAATCACCATTATCAACAATGATTCATAGTGAACCGAAACCAGGGCATTATTTTCTTGATGTAAAAACTACTGTTAAATTTTTGCAAACAAATCAATTATATCATCCACATTCAGGTCTATTGTTTAATCTTATACCAAATGTTCTTTATGATCCATTAAAACATTGTAATATTCGTACGAATATCAATGATGGTACGATGGAAACACCAACATCAAATCAGGTGTATAGTTCATTTACTAATGAAATATATGAACGTTATCAATTCATGACATTTGATCCAGAACATGAACGTTTCTCATTAACCGAATATGATGATAATATTCAACGATTACCAATCGAATTGACACCAGATGATTATGTACAAATCTATCAACATTTATTGAATAAATCAACTTCAAAGAAGAAAAAAGAAAAATCCACATCTGCATCATCATCAAAACGAAAAAATCCATTATTATTGGATCGTCGTGATTTTACTAAACCACAAACAGCCGATTTTCATCAAACACCACGATCATTTTCACCAGCCATGCCAACACCAAAATCATCAGCTAATAATGATGGTAAAAATCCGAATATAGCTGATGATGAACAAAGTCAATATGAAAGTGTTATGTTTAAAATGTGAAATCTTTTTTTTTTTGGTTTTATTTTGTTTGTTTTTATTTTTATTATTATTATTATTATTACAAAGAACCATACAGACAGACAGACAAAAGTAGAAAAAAATAAAATTCTTTTCACGGCTTATTTGATTTGTGATTTTATCAATGTTTTTTTTTCAAAAAATTCAACATCACCATTCGATTTTTGTTCACCAATCAAATTGATACGTACACCTTTATCGGTGATGAACACACCAATACCATTGTTATTACCAGTAACACGTAACATTGATGGACGAATTCTTGGCAATTGTGCCCAAAGATGACCCTTGAATGCGGTTATGGCACGCATTAATATTTTTTTAGCCATCTGTTGTACAATATTAGTTTCAATTGTTACTTTTGATTCATTATTATTACCACCATTAACAACTTTAGCAGTGGCCACACCATTTGATGATGATTCATTTGATGATTTTTTGGATTCCAATTCAAAATCCTGTATTTCAATAATACGCTGTTCAATTGATTCAGGTAAATCAATAGCATGTAATATAATTGGCAATGTAAATTGATTCAATACACCAAATGAATGTTTATCGTTATTTTGTTGTTGTTTTGGACCATTTGGACGCCAATATTTTGTAATAGCCGTAACTGGTGACCAAACTGTTGTCATTACATTGTTCATTTGATTACGAAATGTATCGATAAATAATTTCCAATATAAACGATAATAACCATTGTTTGTTGCCATTGGCTCATCAGCTAATTGTACATAATACATTCGATATTGTTCATAAATATCGTTATTATTATTTTTATTAATCGATGCTTCATTTTTAACAATCAATGCCATTGTTGATGTATTTGTTGATGTTTGATTTAAATGTACCAAAATACTATCAGCCGAACCACCACCATTACCACCAGCAACACCATTACCATTGATTTCTTTCAACAATCCCGATACATTTTGATAGATTTTAGCCATTGTTTCATTATTCAAACGAAGATGATCCGATGTTGTTGATGATGATGAACGTGCCATCATTGTAATGGCATCATGTAATGGACAACATTCGGCCATCATTAAAGTTGCCATAAAAATCATCAATAATAATCGATACATCATCATCAATGTTTTTTCAATGTTATTTTTTCGACAAAAAAAAAACGACAACGATACAATGTGTGTGTGTGTGTTGGAAACGATGACCAGATTGCTAGTTCGAAACGAAAAATATTTTTCTTCTTTTTTTTGTCCAGTTCGAATCAATCACCAACCACACACACACACACAACTAGTGGGTTTTAACTTTGATCGATCGATCAATTGATATTGATAACCGTTTACCATACGTATGCACTACTAGGTCCAAGGTCCAAGGTCAAAGGTTTAAATTTTAGTATAATTTTCAAGTGTACAAAGAGCTAATAATAATACTACTAAGTTGGTCTTTGTGTATACACAAATGAATGTTAACAAACTAAAGAGAAAGAGAAAAAAAACATGGCCGAGCTTACCGAAAAATAGCAAAAAAAAAACCAAATATTGACCATGGTCCTTGGGGCATTTCAATCTGAGCAAAAAAAAAAAAAAAAAAAACGTTTTTCAAGGCCAAAAACAATTTTGTTTCTGCTCTAATTTTTTTCTTCTCATTTTCTATTCGATATATCGAACGAAAAATTTTTGAAAACTTTAATGGTAAATCACATGTATTAGTAGGCAAATTTTCAGATCGATAAATCATTGATTATCATTGAATAATGATATGATGATATGATGATATGATTTTGATTGATATTCAATCGAATAATAATAAAAAATCAATCAGCTGATTTGGTTTGGACAGAGAAAGAGAGAAAACAAAACTAAAAAAAAAATTCACAAATTAAGAGTCTCATCATCATCATCATTTTTTTCAATCAAATCAAATCAATCGATTTTAAGCATTAAAAATTTTCAGACCAGTTTTTCAATTGTGTTTGACAGTGAAAAATTTTTTCAATTTTGTCAAGTTCAATTTGAATATAATTTAAAAAAAACCATGAACCATACAAATAATGATGATGATGATCATGACGATGATCGTTGTTGGTGTTGTTGTTGGTTGTTATTAACATTTTCATCAAAGCATTCATCATCATCAATGATATTATCATCATTTCATTCGAAGGCATGTATTGAAGTGAAGAAGGCAAATTTTAAGCTAACGAATCAGAAGACAGATCGATGAAATCATTGATTATCATTGAATAATGATACTGAAGTAGCATGATAGTGATGATATGATTTTGATTGAATTTGATATTCAATCGAATAATAATCGACATCTGAAAATCACTGGCGCGATGACCAGGGCGATAAACAGCTGATTTGGTTTGGACAGAGAAAGAGAAAACAAAACTGACGAACGTGATGGTCTGGCCTGATTCTCGTCGAAAAATTCACAAATTAAGAGTCTCATCATCATCATCATTTTTTTCAATCAAATCAAATCAATCGATTTTAAGCATTAAGAGAAGACCAGATTGAAAAACTAGATTAGCTAGGACAACAATAAGTTTTTCAATTGTGTTTGACAGTGATAAAAACCGCCGGTTTTTTCAATTTTGTCAAGTTCAATTTGAATATAATTCGATCTGCTGTTTATACAAATCGTCCTTCGCTTTTGTTCAAAACCATGAACCATACATAATCTCTTTGTAAATTGATGATGATGATCGCAGATTTTGCGAATCATGACGATGATCGTTGTTGGTGTTGTTGTTGGTTGTTATTAACATTTTCATCAAAGCATTCATCATCATCAATGATATTATCATCATTTCATTCGAAGGCAAACACAAAGAATCGAATTAAACAACAACGACAACAAACGAAAGGAAAACATCGAGAAATAATTGAAATGAAACAAATGATGATGATGAATCCAAATGAATTGATGAAATGTGATTATAAAATCCTATTGATCGGTTCAAAAGGTTCCGGTAAATCCAGTTTGGTTGGCAGATTTCTTGGCCGTCCATTCAATCAACGTATGAAACCAACAGTTGGTTTTAATTTGATGACATTAGATTTGTAAGTAATGGTCATTTCATTTTTTTTTTCATCATGACAAATTTTCTATTCATTTCATGTAGAAATTATGAAAATGACCATCTGATCAATGTTGAATTATGGGATACGGCTGGCGGCAAAAATACTGGCCTTTCGAATGGACAATTTTATTATCGTGATGTTAATCTTGTGATTGCTGTATTCGATCTAACCAATATGGAACAATCATTTTTTCATGATTGTTTACAATGGATCAATGATTTTCATCATCATCACCATTATTATCGATCTGATAATGTGGATGATGATGATGATGATGATGATGATGTTAAAATAATGATTGTTGGCAATAAATTGGATTCAAATATCGATGATATTAATAATTTGAAAAGTATTGAAAAATATTCAAAAACCATACAACCAAATATTCGTTTGTATTGTACATCGGCATTAACAATGGAAGGTACTGAACAGCTATTTGAAGATATAACCAAACAAATTATCGATTCATATTGTCGTAAACAGCAACGTGAACAAATGAAAAATAATAACAACATTTCCAATCATCATCGATCTGACTATATCTCGTATGATCATGATGATTCAATAATTATGGAATCAAAACAGCAACAAACAACATCATGGCTTATTGTTTCAAATGATTTATCCATTTCATCGACAAAATTATATGATGACGCTGATTATGATCCATTCAATGGACAATTGATGAACAAAATGGTGATGACGATGACGGTGGTGGTGGTGTGCAGTGGTGGTGGTGTACAGAAATCGAATCTGAAACAAAAACAAAATCATCATTAACATTGGCATTATTTTTACGAAAATTATTCTGTCTAATTTAATCGAAAAATTCTCACAAATCTCTTGATCATTTTATTCATCGACTAATTATTAATTGAAATTAATCATTTTATTCATCATCATCATATAATAAATTTTTATAACTAATTTTTGAAAAACGAAAATTATTCCGGTCACTAAATAGCGAGAGAAAAAAATAATAACCGGTGAAAACTTGTTATGTCAAGTTTGTTTTTGTTTTTGGTTTTGTTTTCATTTCGATTCTCTTTTGTTGTTGATGATGTGTTTCTAGGTTGTCCTTTTTTTTTTTTGATGTTCACCGTTGTTGGATTAGATTTTCTAGATTATCATCATCATCTGTATGGATATATATGTGATATATGATCGAATGTTGCTGCAGCATTTGTGTGTCTGCTTGTATTAAAAAAGCCTTGAATGAATCGGCGTTTTGAAAAAAAAAATTTCGGACAAAAAAAACATTTCTGTTATCCGAAATGATGGATCATTTGTTGATTATGATGATGATCAACGATGATAGCGAGAGCCAGACATTTGTCCTCAATTTTTTCCTTGATAATTCTATGAATTTGAAACGTTTTTTTTTCTACATTGAGATCATCAGTCCATCAAAAAAAAAACACCGAAATCAATATCAAAAGAAAACAAAAAACGTTCGATTTCGAACACACACACACACACACACATTCTGCACCTGATCATCATCAATGATTCGAATTCAATGAACAACAAAAAAAAAACAAAATGAATTTTGAAGGAAAAATTTTTTCAATTGTCCCTTTTAAAAGCTAACTTTGATCGATCAAAACAATTCATTTATTCACATCCACATTGAATTCATTGTTTTCATGTATTATTTGTGTTTTGTGTTTTCTTTTTTTTTTCTTCTACTCATTTGAAAAACTTTTAAAAAATGAAATTTTTTATCGTGATTTTTCTGTGTATTGCAACCAGAATCGTTGATCGACAACAACAACAACAACGATTCGTTTATGGATTACCTACAGGTAAATTGACAACATCGACAACAGTGACAAGAAACAATGATAATGATTATGATGATATGGGACTAGAAGAAGAAGAAGATCCAGAAAATTATCTTTGGAATATGTCCACCAACACAGGTGATGGTATACAACCATCATTTACTGATGATGAATTACAAGAAATTCTTAATAGTATGCACTTACCGACAACAATGACGACGAATGTATCGACATTTGATTATAGTGGTGGTGGTGGTGGTGATGGTGGTGGTGGTATCCCATCGGATATGATTTCCAATCCGATGAATCATTCACAACAAGGATTCGTAATTGTTTGGCGTAATCCATATCCATTTTCGAATGATTCAAATGATTCTGAATTACTTGGTCGTAATGGCGATGATGATCGTGATGATGAAGATGATGATCATCCACCACCACATCCAAAACCGCATCCAAAACCACATCCACCAAAATATGATTTCGATGAAATGGAACAACGTGATTTTCTACGTACAGTAATTTTTTTAGCCAATCAACAGATTCGTATAAAATTTCATCTTTGTGAAATAAGACGATTTCGTAGCCATTATGTACGTCGTTGGAATCTTTATAGATGTTCATCAAGATTTACTGTTGCACGTTTGGGTAAACCATGTGATCCGGATAAAACATATGATGGTTATGTTAATTTTATTGTACAAAATCCTGAATTACCACCATTATTAGCGATACGTTATTATGTATTTCAATTTCTATATGAATCATCGATGGCATTAGTGAATAAAATGAATGATAATCATTTATCATTATCATCATCTTCAATACCATGGAATCAATTACAACAATCAAACGATCAGATCATGATACATCATCAGAATCAACAACTATCATCATCAGATATACATCCTTTGTGAATAACACCGAATATTCAAAAAAAACCCTGTTAATCAAACGATGAATTTTTCAAATGAAATATTTTTATTTATCATTATCAATCAATCAATTGTAATATTAATGTTTTTCTGTATGTGGATATGTTTTTCTCAATCTAATCAATGATTTATCAATCAATTAATAAGGATAAAAATGATCAAATTTTGTGTTTTTTTTTTGTTGTTGTCATTGTTGTTGTTGTTGTTGATGTTTTATAAATGTAGGTAATAAATGAGATAAGGAAATTGTGAATAGGAAATGATAATAATGATGATGATTATCGAGATTTTTCATCGCAAGCACACACACACACAAGCCATGCACAATTCGAAACAACAAAAAAGAAAGATTGTGTTAGGATGGGATGTAATGGTGGTGGTAAAAAGATGAAGAAAGAATTTCGATATTTTGTTCGTCCATATTGATTGACATTGAATTCTTCAGAATATTCAGATTGTTTGATCTTTGTTGTTGTCGTTTTTTTTTCAATTTTGATTATCGAAAATTTGATTACAATATTACACCGAATTTCTTATTGCCAATCCATTCCATAATCGTTGTTGTTGTTGATGTTGTCGTTGTTGTTGTGCACGTAATCGTTCCAATATTGATGAACCAATCAATAATGATGATAATTGTTCATTTGTTTGCTGTTGATCAAATTCATTATTATTATTATTATTGTTGTTGTTGTCCATATTCAACAAATGTTCCAGAAAAGCTAATCGTGCTAATGATGCTGTTTGAGATCGGCCATCACCATCATCATTACCGTTATTTGTCATAGATTTTGTTGTTGTTGTTGCTGGTGGTGATTCTTGTTGTTGTTGTTGATGATTAAAATTATTACGATAAATATATAAAGGTATCGATAATGGTTTCAAATGGTTTTGTTGCTGTAATTGTTGTATCAATGGAAAATTATTTTCTGATGATGATAATAATGACGATGGTTGTTGTGAAAATAATTGTGATGATGATGATGATGATGATGATACAGCGCTCCGTTTACCATGACCACCTAGACAAGAATGTCCATATTGGGTACATTTTTTCCCTAATTTTTTTTTTTTTTAGAAAAGAAAAATCAAAATTAATGAATGATCAAATTAAATAAATTGAAATTGAAATTAAAAAATAAATTTACTTTGATTCAATTGATTGTGTAAATCTTGACCATTGACAACGGTTACCATTAACATTGGCAATGTTAATAATGCCAAAATGATCATTACATTTGACAGATGTAATCGTACCATACAAATACGTTGAATGGTTGTTGAAATTCTTTTGGAACGTTGATTCATTATCATCATCATAATAATTTTCAGTTTATCATTTATATGGTCAGTTTTTCAAATTCAAAGATCTTTTTTTTGTTGTTGTTGAAAAGATCTTGATCCATTTTAACTTTCAAGTTTTTATACTCGAAAATTTTAGCGGATTCGACGACAATGACAAAAAAAAAAAAAAAATGCACGCAGCTTCCATCGAACCATTTGGTTGTCATGTCATAATTTTTTTATTCTCGTTGATAAATGATCACCTTTTCTTCTTATCCATCATTCATATATCATATTGACGCTATATAATGGACATTTACGTATTATATTAATATACATGAATTCTTGATAAACATACCTGCTGGTTTTAACATTTGGATTTGGACAGTTTGTTTCAACAAACAAACAACAACAAATAACAAACCGGATATCGAGTTTGTTTTTCTGTTCTTATTTGTTTTTTTTTTTCTTCGTTTGTTTGTGTCTGTCGGTTTGCCATTTGATAATGATGATGATGATATGTTGATATAAATATATGCATAAATGCAAATTTGTTGCCCACTTGAAAGTAATCACTTAAAATTCATTATTATAAATATGGTCCCATAATCATCATCGTCATCATCATCATTGAATATTATAATGGACAATTCTTGATAAGAATCGATCATCAATCATTGACCATTATCAATTGAAATGATGAATATATAACATTTTATTTTATTTCCATATATCGATAAATTATCTTGGCTATTTATTCTCCAATATTTTTTTTGATGAATTAATGAATGAATGAATATTTTGCAAGTAGAAAGAGAAGCCATTTAAATAATCAATATATCCAAGTACATTTTCAGCTCAAAATATGATTTGGATTCGAATTCAAATTTTTTTTCTGTTTCCCTTGTTGATCCATGAACTAATTTCAATAATCGATTATTGATGATCACAATATATGGAAACGGATGGAATGAAAGAAATCAATTCTATAGAACAAAACAATAATCATAATTTTACATTATTATATAATGATGATGATGATGACGATAATGATCGTAATTTTTTTTTTTTTTTTTACTCGATAAATAAACAAAAAAAAAAAATGAATAAATGAAAACATTAAAAAGAATTAGAGCATGTCCATATATGACGAATCGATCATCATCATATTTTTTTTTTTTTTTTGAATAATAAAGAAAAAGTACAAATAAACTTGTTGAGTAAACATTGAATGAATGAAAATTATGATGAACAAAAAAAAATCAATTGATCCAAATAAAGAAAAAAATACAATTCGAAAATCACCGAATTATAAATCATGATCATCATCATTACAGAGATATTATTTCGAAAGAAAGATGTGTTTCAAATTCCGAGAAAAATTATGTTGCCATTCTTCAGTAGAGAATTTAATTCCGTGTAGGAATTCTCGAAGAAAAATTTTTTTTATTTATTTTTGATGTCACATTTCTATACAAATAACTGATCAATACATCAAAATAAGTGTTCGGTTTGGTTTTTATTTTATTTTATTTTATTTTATTGATGAATAATAATCGATCTATTCAAAAAGCCATTAATTTTGAAAAAAACATGTATTCTGTTGTTGTTGTTGTTGTTGATGGTGTTCATTCGGAAACAAAAATTTCAAAAAATGATGTGTTATTATGAGCTGTTGTTTTGATGAATAACCGCGCGATAATGGATTCAATGAGAAAAAAAATTTACATGTTTCCGATTCAATGATGATGATTCATATTCAAATTATGATGACGTTTACTTGGAAATTTTTTTTTCAAATGATGTTTGTATGTGTTTTTTTCTGTTGTTGTTGTTGTTGTTGTTGTTGTTGTTGATGAATAAATGGATTACACATATTAATTGTTGTCTTTGAGAGTGTATTGATTGTAGGTGGTGGTTGTTTCTTTTTTCTTCCAAAAATCAAAGACGACGAACCATATCCTGGCTGAAAATTATTTTCGAAGTCGGTGAATTATATGATGATGAAGTTGATGGTACGCCACCACCACGACGACTACTTGATGAAAGATTTGATAACGATGATTGTTGCTGCATAGATTCTAATGTTACAAAATTTAATGGTAATTTCTTTATAATCATTATGGTCATATTATCTTTACCGGCAATACCTTGTTTAGGCATTGAATTTACCGGTAATATCCGCTGTATAACTGATTCACAAATACGAGTTAATGGCATTTCTTCATTCATACATTTATCAATATATTCAATTAAATCTTGATTGCTAATAGCATTCCATATTCCATCACATATTAATACAATAAAACGATCATCAGCATTGATTTTTTCAACAGCCGTATGTGGCCATGCAATAATCATCTGTTGTTTTCTATTCAATCGTTTATTTAGTTTATAATTATGATCACCAAATGCTCTGGATATATCGATACCACCATTAATTCGACCATTGATAATAGTACCACCAGCATGTTCTACACGTGTTCGTTCTTCCTGTACTGTTGGTTTATGATCAAATGATAGTTGATGAGCTGTTAGACGACCACCGTTTGGTCTTCCAACCAAACATCTTGAATCACCAATATTAGCACAATAATAGATGTCATTTTTAACCAACAATACGACGGCAGTACAACCAACAAAATAACCCAATGGTTCATCCATACCAAGATGTGGTATCATTGGTCGTCGATCACGATATTGTCCTACTAATAATTCATTCGCCTCTTTAGTGATCAATAGTTCGTCTAATGCCATGAATGATTCCTGTATACCACGTTCAATATTACCATGGCGATAATTTCGATTCCTTAACAAATGTTTTGGCAGATATTCTGCAACAAATTTAGCAATTTCAGGTCCATTATGTCCATCAAAAACGGCAAATATGGATGTATTTCGTTCAAGATCAGCAATAGCTAGATGAGCATCTTCTTGTGTTCGTCGCCAACCTTGACAATTGGCAACAGCATATTCAAATCGTGAACAGCGACCATTATCTGTTTGAATTTTTGCCAAACACGTTGATCGAAATGGTGAAAACATTTTCGAATTTCAAAACAAAAACGTAAACAACTATGCCATCTATTGCGTTAGCTTTGTTTTAACATTGTATATGGTGATTGTTGTTTTAAAAATTCAATTTATCGAATTGAAAATTTCGATACATTAACAATTGTTTCTGTAATTGATGATGATTATTCGATGTTGATGTTGTTCTATCTATGAAAAGTAAACATAATAATTCATTTCAATTACAAATAATTCACATAATATGAATTTCATTGAAAACTTACTTTTATGAACTAATGTATTACGAAGATGAAAATTTTCTCTTCGTAATTGATCAATGATTGTATCACGTTTGGTCAATTGTTGTCGTAAACGACCAATTTCCGAACGTAATCGTCCTACACATGACCATTGTGTACGATAAGAAGCAAGTAGATTACGGCGCCAAACCATCTGTGCCTGATCGATCATATCGTCAACAAAATGACCATCCATTCGTTCTAATGTTCGATGATTAGTTATGGATTCAGATAATGTACCCACACTGAATGGTGGTAAATAACACATCGATATCATTATTGTTTCATTGTTGCTGTTGTTTGAATTTTTTTCACGTTTACGTTTTTTTCCACTACAATAATGATTCATCTGGTCATAATATGAAATTGAATGTTGAAGACTTGACTTTGTTGTTTTCGTTGTTCGTATCGAATTACAATCATCATCATCATCTTGTATTTGTTTATCGAGCTCATTATCATCATCATCATCGTGGTCATCATCACTTTCATCTGGTCGTATAATCAATTGATCAAAACCAGCATTTAAAATGATATCATCAGTGAATTCATTTTTAAGAAAAAATTGCCGTAATCGATGATTATTGCCGGCAATCTTTACATGCATTGAATCATATGGTCCAATCTGGCAATTGTCTTTCAGACACTGAAGAAAAAAAACAAAGAAATCATCAATTAAATAATGATCATTCCATTTTGGTATTACCTTGATCAATTGTGTTCCAATACCAGAACGTTCATGGCCACATTTTACGGCAATCAAAGCAATTTCAAGAATTTTCAAACTTTCCAAACGATATGATTTATAGAATGTAATGGCACCATAAATCTGTTGTTCAATGCCAATCAATGATTTATAATAATCATCACCATTATCATCATTATCATTCATTATTGTTCCATGTCGAGTATAATCAAAAATTTTTTCTACATTCAAAACAATGATTAAGATAATGTTCGAAATTTGTTAAAAAATTATTTGATTTTCTTTTCGATTGGCGACATCTGGCGGTAGTTTTGTTTGACATTATTACACTATTCGATGATTGTGTTGATGATGAATTGTTGTAATCATCATCATCATTATCATTATTATCATTATTTCCTATGTTGATGATTGAATGTTGTTGATGATTATTATTGTAGCTAAAAATAGAATTAATTTTCATCAAACGATTCATCATTGGTATTGTCATTGATGTTGATAATGATGATGATGATGATGGTGATTGTGATGGTGATTGTGATGATGAACTTTTCAATTCATTAAATGTATCAACAGCAGTAACAGTAGCAATGGTCAAATCATCAAACATTTCTTGATCATCAGAAATATCTTCTCCTTTGTTACCATTATCACCATCATCAAAAGAATTGTCATTACAATGTTGTTGTTGTTGTCGATGATGATGATGATGATGATCATCAAGCACGTCTTGTTTATTGGCCATCAATAATAATGTACGTGTGCCTGGCATACATAATATTCGATTTAATCGACATAAATCAGTTTCAGAATTTCGTTTCATCTCATTGTCATCAACATTTTCGTTGTCATTGTCATTGTTTTTGGCAAACATTGTGGTAGTCATATAATGTATAATGGTTGAATAAAGTAAACCATTTACATCATTGCACTGAAATTCAAAGCACACACCACACAAACAAAACAGAAAAACAGAGTAAGTCATTTGGAATTTAAAAAACAGTCATCATATGTGAATAATTTTTTTTTGTACCAAAAAAAATAGATGGACAATTCCAATTTTCAAGCCCATCAATAATAGATCTATATATATTGGCCATTCTAGAAACGTATAATAAACTCCCACTATGTGTGGATTGTGTCTTGTTTATTGTCATTGGTAATCGACCATCATTATTTGAATCGGACTGAATCATCGACGACTATACTGAATACTGTGGGGAGGGGAGGCGGTTATCATTACCATCGACATCATTATCGTATCATTAAAGAAAATTACTAGACACAGTCAATCCATCACCACCATAACAACAACATGATCAAATTGCAAAAAAAGAGAGAGACATAATGAAACTTTGGAATGAGAATGATGATCAAAAAAAAAAGTTTTTTTTTATTCTCATTTTCATCCAACCCACACTTTGGCATTTGGTAAGCTTAACACTGATTAATACTAAACTAGCCTGGTGATTTGTTACACACACCATGAAACATGATCTAATCTCTTTATTATCATACCATATTCCGGAAAAAAATTAATGAATTTTTTTTTTTTTGGTTTCATTCTAGTCTGCTTGGTGGTTTCATGGTTGAATTGATAATGATAAGCAGCAGCAGCAACAACAACAACAACAACAAAAGGACAAGGTCAAAAAAAGACTCAAGATTAAAATGGAATCCAATTGTCCTTCGTTTTTTTTATGTGCTTCTATAAATGGCGATGAAAATTCTTTTCATTTGACCATTTGATATTCGTGTGAATACACAATTTTTTTTCTCACACGAATCATTTATTTCATCTATCTCTCTCTCTCTCTCTTTCAATTGGCTGCCACTGCTGTAATTCGATTAATTGAAGTTGAACAGTTTGAAGAATAAATCTTCACTTCATAGTAGAAGACTATTAAGTTTTGTATTTCAAAAGAATGTGAAATTCTTACAAGAATCGAGGCACGAACACACACACACACACACATATCAAATATCGATTGGAATGATTTTGACAGTGTAAAGAACATTTTTTTTTTTCTTCTTTCATAAAATATGTTGGAAATGAAATTGAAAAAATCCGTACAGAATCGTACACAGAACTAAAAAAGAAGATGGGAAAAAAATTCTTTCATTCGGAATAAATCCTATAGAGTAAAGATTTTTTTTCCGCCAAATCTGTCGCTATTCAGAATTTATTAGGCAGATGTTGTTTTTTTTCGGCGATTATTTTTTTACACTAGCAAACAAACAAACAATCTGAACAATCAAATAAATGAAAAGGCAAATCAATTTTATTTTGGATTCTTGATACGACAATGATGATGATGAAGACATCGAATGAAGGTCAAAATAGTCGTCTTATTATATGTAATGTAACATAATGGCCTCAACATAATACACAACAACAACAACGATTTATGTGATACCTTGGTTGTTGTTCCAAATGGAAAACAAATGGCGATATAATTTATTTAAATTATATCTAAACACCACATCATTTGGTTTTTTGTTTCAGGTATATATTAGCATTGCCAACAAAAAAAAACAAGATGAAATATTGCTACATTTCCTATGTGTATGCTGGTTTTTGGTTCTGGATTTTGTTGTTGTTGTTGTTGTTGTTATTCACCATATTGTGTGAGAAACAAAACAAAAAAAGATTTATTCCAATTCATGGAATGTTGTAATAACCATCATCATCATCATCATCATTTGCATATTCCATGTTCTAATTCTGAATAGCGAGAGAGAGAGAGAGAGAGAGAGAGAGAGAGAAAACCAGAAAATCTGAAAATTCCAAATTCCATTACCGACTGCAACAACAACAACAACGACGATACAGATTTTCAAATGTAAACCAGAATGTGGTACAAATGAACATTGTCAAATATATTTGAAATATGATATGATACGTGTGATTTATGGCCACTTCACATATTTTTAGAATTTAAGAATGGAAAAAAACTGGAAAATGGTGGCTGACATAAAAAAACGGATTTTTTTGTCCTTTTGCCATTCTCAGGAAAAAAAAGAAAAATTCAAATTTCCGAAATAAACTTACATCCTGCAGTATGTCGCTAGTGGTGGATGCATCCAATTGATTATCTACCCATAGGCTATTCGAATTCGGCGGTCGAACATTTGTTTTACATTCGAATGTTGATGTTGTAGACATCATCATCATTTCATTTTCATTTTTCAAAATTTGTTTTTGTCGACGAAATAAACGGTTGAATTCCACTGAAAAAAAAAAAATGAACCACAATAAATCGTTATTAATAACACTGGAACATCCATTACCTGTAATTGGATATAATGTCAATGTTTTTGATTGATTATCATTGGCCACCGTTTTCGATGATGATGATGACGATGAACATTGATGACAATTTCGAAGATTAATTTGAATAGGTTCAAATGTCATTATAGGCAACATTTTTTTTTATTTGTTCGGTTAGTTTTTTTTTTTGTTCCAATTTTCACCAGTTAATTAAACAATCTATATTCATGAAAATTTCAGAAACATGCCAATCGAATACATACAGAATAAAAAAAAAAACACACAGCATTACAAAAACAAGGAAACCACAAGGAATTGTGGCCACAGATGTAAAATGTCTCAAGAATTTATTGCTGAATATATTAAATCTTTATAGAGATGTAAAAGAGAAACAAAAAATCATTTGATCCATACACCAGTAAGTCTTGGAAACGAATGGAATCTGTTTTTTTTCCATCACTGCAGAGAATTGCCAATATTGGAATCATTCGTTGAATATGTGCATGTATGTATTGTATGCGCAAATCGATAAAAAAAATTCCATGCGCTGTAATTGCACAGGAAAAAAATGATCGAAAAAATTCTTTCACCGGAAATTTTTATTATTATAAAAAAAAATTGCAAAACGTCTTTTTAATAATATAATCCAATTCAATGGAAAAAAATTTTTTTGAAATTATCATGCAGTGGAAAATATTTTTCCAATTTCCATGCCCATTTTTGAAATTTCATTAGCTTCCTGTAGATTGGCAATTATGGCAACAACAATTTCATTATCTGGTTCAATAACAAGAATTGATGATGCACCGATAGCACCACCACTATGCATAGCAACATTATCGAATAATGGTTCAGATGCAAATGCATGACGATTTTGATTTTGACCATTTTGTATGACAGAAAATCCAATACCATAACCTTTAGATTTATCTACTGACCATTTTGTTGATGAATTATCCATTGGTTTCCACATTTCTTCGACAGTAGATTTATGTAGATAACCAATACGTCCATTATGATCAATACCATGATAACTATAAAGCATTAGATTTCCATATTGTAATAGATCCGGTATATTGGACAAAAGACCACCACCAGCCCATTTATAACTATTATCTACATATGGTACATTAAGAATTTTACCACTATTTTTATCACGATAATAATAACGTGAACGATCATAAATGATAACATCATTTTGATCCAATCTTGTATGACGTAACCCAAGTTCATTGTGTATGAATTTCATTAAATCTTTAGCAAAATTTTTGGATTCCATTTTTGTTTCCATAATGGCTGCAATCAATGTATAACCAAATGTTGAATAATGAAATTTTGTTCCCGGTTTGGCCACTGGCAAACAAAACAAAAAAGTTAAGAAAATTATCCAAAATCTCAAACAAAAACAAAAATTTTACCTAATGGATCATCTTTGAATAATGAAAGACTTTCGGTTACATTTGGAAAATGTTCTTTTAAATAATATTCTTTACATTCGAATTCGTTTGATTTTCGTTTCTCTCCATTCTTGTTTTCTTTTTCTTCTTCTTCTTTATAATGACGTATACCACCAAGATGTGATGCCAATTGCCGTAATGTTATATCGACTGGTTGATTTTCCCATGTTTTCTTTGGAAATTGGCCATCCACCAAATAATCATAAATCGAATGATCAAGATTAATTTTATTATCTTCAACCATTTTTGCCAACATTGTGGCTGTTATTGATTTCGATATCGATGCTATACGCATAACGGTATTCGAATGACATGGAATATTGTTTTCAATATCGGCTAAACCTTGACCTTCGATCCAAACATTTTTCCCCCGTACACTAACACCAATTACAAAACCCGGTATGGTTTGTTCGATTTTCCATTGTAATAATCGTTGTCGACTTTTATTGATTGCCTGTTCATATGATCGTGTTTCGACTATCTGATTATTTTCCGTGGTAATTAGAACTTTTTTTGATCGTTCATCAGTACCGGTAAATTTGTCATCATCAACATTAACATTTTTATGTTTCAAAATTGTAAGATAATCAGGATATTGATTCAGAAATCCATACGTGGAAAGGCTGCCCAATGTAAACCAACCTAATGTTTTCCATGATCGTCCAGAATTCATTGGATACAAATTACAATGATAATGATGATGATGATGATGATGGTGGTGGTGGTGAAATTCTATTCTAATGGTTAAAATATCATCACAGAAAAAAAACATCGAAAAATAACCATCATCCACCACCACCACCACTACTCCATCGTATATTATAGCTATTTATTTCATAAACGAATGCTACTACTTTTCAATATTAGAAACAAAAACAATGAAAAAAAAAATCTAATATAACATCATTTATGAATGGAATACACATTGTAAAAAAAAAAAAAAAAAAATAAAATAAAAAAATTTCTATATTTTTGTGAACAAAATCTCAAATATTGAGAGAAGAGAGAGAGAGAATTTGGATTCACTTTCTCCTTTTTTTTTAGAATGCGTGTTTGACCAAATGTATATCGATTGATCGACCAACGAGAGTTTCTTTTTCAGAGTCCATTATACTTGATGTATGATTGAGAGAGAGAGAGAGAGAATTTGGATTCACTTTCTCCTTTTTTTTTAGAATGCGTGTTTGACCAAATGTATATCGATTGATCGACCAACAACAACAACAATCATAACAACGACAGCAGCCAATTGAATAGATTGGAATTTTATTGATGAATTTTTTTTTGTCCAAAAAATAATTCTAAACAATTCTTTACGGTACGTATTGATAATGGATACCCACCACCACCACCACCAAAAAAAAAAAAAAAAATGATTATTATCGGTCGGCGTTGTCCATGTCTTATTTTTTTTTTATATTTATGTTTAGTGTGATGTCGCCACTTGTGTGTGTGTTTAGTGATGAGTTTATATAGCGCTTTTACATTGAAAAAAAAACAGGGGGCTTTTCGATTTCGAATGTGTGTTATTTGTTTGGTCGATAGAATAATTGAAAATTTGTTTGAAACTTTTTTGGTATTTTTGATCAATTATCGAGAATATAAATTCTGTTGCTGTTTTGAATTTCGTTATCGATTGTTTCGATCCATGTGCATCCTATATATATGTTTTATGTCGCAAAAACAACAATTATCCAATGTAAGCAAAGTCATGAGTTAATAGCGTAATAATCAATGCACAATATGGATATTTTTTTTTTGGTCATATAAAACACAAATTAAATCATGATGATGATCATTATTACGCAGTTTTTATTTTTAAAGCTTTGACGATTATTTCTAATCATCATTCTTTCTTTTTGTTTTGTTTGTTTGTTTGTTAATTTATAGCCTGTTTTTTTTCTTCTATCGAAATTGTGCAAACCAAATTTTGACCCGAAATAATGACCGAAATAAAAACAAATGTCAATCATTTAACGATTGTATCGCCATCAACTACAGTATCAACGGCAGTTGCCGATATGGTTGGTGCCGTTATCAATAATGTTGCCGAATCATCCATGAACGATATTAATAATGATGATGATGATGGTGATGGTGTTATTGGCCAATTGGAACTGGATCATCAATCACAATTATTACAAAATTATTCATTCAATTCTAAGAAACAAACGAATGAAATGGAATCGGATGATGATGATGATGATGAAATGATGGTGGATGATTTCGAATATCCATCCGATTTTGATCCAAATGACTATGAACCGATTGAATTTAGTAAAGAACATAAACGTAAATTATTATCATTATTAAACATGATTATACCGGATTTGAATCCATTGAATTCATTTAACTTATCCACGAACCATCATAAAAAATCATCAAAATCAAAATTATCATCATCATCATCATCATCATCATTGTTGAATGATTCAGCTCAAAATGTTCTAGCACGTCTTACATGTTTGATACAATTATTCAATGATTATTTTCGTCCACAAGAAATATGGCCATTGTTAGGACGATTACCACTCAGTTTACGTATGGATAAATCATCTAAAAGATTAAAATTTATCGAAGAATTGGATTCAAAGAAAATTCGTCAATTGAATAATTATTTTCGTTGTTGGCTTTATCTATTCTACACTTGTGATGAAATCATTGGTAATGTTTTTTTTCTATTATTTATATAACCACTAATAATAACTTTTCCTTTTTGATGATCAGAATCAATCGATATAATGGAACAATCATCATCAACGCCATTGGAAATGTTTACAATGATGATATTGAATGTATTCAATCATTTACGTGATTCATTACCACAAATTAGACAAATATTCATCGATCATTGGTTTCCATTAGAATCATTTGAAAAACGTTTAGAATGTTTTTTTCGTTATGATAAAATCCATCAGATAATCATACATCGATTAGCACATGAACGTTTAATACATACATTGATGAATGAAAAATATTTATTGGTAAAAAAACAACTTGAATTGAAGACAAAAGAAAATGATCAATTACAATTGCAATTATCTCGTTTACAATCGACCAATAGTAAAAATACATTGATACAAAATAATAAATCACAGATAAATGAAATGCAAACTGCCATTCAACCAACAACAGCACCTCAAACAAAAATCAAACCTCTGTCGTTTTCTTTTTCATCGATGTATAATAATAATAATAATCAATCGGGTAAATCATTACTGCCTCAACAACAATCATCATCATTACAACCGAAAAGTCAATTAAAATCAATTTTATTGGCACAGCCCAGATCACCTGTTCCATCTATAATAACATCGGATAGTTGTTCCAATAGTGCATACAGTAGTAGTGGTTCCACATCACCAACACAATCAATTTTGAATTCTACAAATTCCGATATATCGAATCGAATCAAGGATTCAAAACCGACATCATTGGATTTGGCTAAAGCGGTTGCCAATAAAATTCATCAAACAAGATGTACTACTAAAGCAAAAGCTGAATCTGCTTCTGCCGCTGCTGCTGCTGCTGCATTATCTAATAATAATAATAAAACAAATGCTCCAGATCCAGAATACTCGGTGAGTATTTTTTTCCAAGTTTTTCCATTTTTGTTTGCTAAGAAACAAAAAAACTTTTCTCATTTGAAATATTCAGATTTTTGGACGACGAGGAAGACCACGTAAATTTTCTTCACTTAACGATTCGACTGATGAATGTAAAAATCAAAATAAAAAAGCTCGAATATCTGCACAGACAAAAGTTGACCATCAACAGCCAAATGATCAATTAATGCAATCGATACGATCTAGATCAAGATTTAAAATGAAAAATTCATTACTCAAAATAGATTCTGCAGAAACGGTTAATAATAAAAATTCACCAAAATTGCCTCTATCGTTGAATGCCATATCACAGCAACAAACCGGACCATTGAAACCGATTGTCAAAATGAATTCAACAATTGGATCAAAATCATTACTCGATACTACTAGTAGTAATAATAATAGTAAAAATAACAACAATGATAATAGTATCAAATTATATGAAAAATCATCAAAAAGTTTAATCATCAAACCATTGCAGGTAAAAACCGAATCACCTACAATGTCATCATTGACAACATTTGAGGAAAAATTTAATATCAAAATACACGGGTCTAATCAACCATCATCATCATCATCATCATCATCATTGCCAGAAATTAATCTTGCTTTATTTTATTTTGTTGATTCATCCACAAATCGTTTGATATGTCGAATATGTAGTGAAAATCTTAATGATATGGATAAATTCTTAAAACATCTTGATGAACATGTTACAAATAATGATGTTTTTCAATGTGAAATATGTGCGAAAATATTTACAACCAAATATAAATTAACACGTCATTTACCTATCCATTCTGGTGAGAAACCATTTATATGTCAAAAATGTAATCGTTGTTATTCACGTCGTGATAAATTAAGTGAACATATCAAAGCAGTACATTCGGAGAAACCATTTGTGAAGAATCGAATTATTCCTACTGTTTCATCTAATGAACAAGATACAAAACCACAATCATTGAAAACATATGGAACAACAACAAATGGTACAACAACAACAACAACAACAAATCATATTGATGATGATGATAAATCATCTAACAATGGAAATGATGTTTTATCATCTAACTGTACAACGACACTAAGTAATGGTAATGGCAATGGCAATACTACTTGTAATTTGAATAATTCATCTAATGATAAATGTATGGCCACAAATAATGATAGTAGTAAACAATCATCATCAGCATTAAAAATTGAAGAAATTTTAATCAACGATGATAGTAGTAATTTGGATAATTCTGAATTTGAACCAATTGGTGATAATTGTAATAATGCTAATGATTATGGTGATGTTGATGTTGATGACGATGCTGATGATGATGATGATGACCAGAAACAAGATCAAGATTTAGATATAAAATCTAAAATTGAAATTGCAGAACTAGATTGATTGATATCATCATCATCATCATCTTATAATATATAAATATAAACAGATTATAATTTTGTAATTTCTATGCATATTCACTTGATATTCATATGAATTTGATTGTAGTTAAAATTGAAATTTTTTCATTAAATTAACCAAAAAAAAAACAATAATTTTATTCCTTTTGATTATTCTGGTTTCTGATGTTGTTGAATGATATTTTCAGATTGATTATTGTTGTTGTTGTTGTTGTTATTGTTGATACTGATTGCCGTTGAATAATAGCTTTTACAATAGAAATTATAAAACATGATCCAAAATAATATGGCATGTGCAATCATTGCATAAGCAAAAAATGGTTGAAAACCACAATCCATAATTAATGGTATACATGAATGTATAATGGCAATGGCAAATTGTATCATCTGTAATTGTGTTAGATATCGTTTCCACCAAAGATATCGTCGTAAACGGGGACCAAAAGCAGCCAAACAATAATAACTATACATGATCATATGTACAAATAGATTGATTAACGGTACAAAAGCATTATGGCCACCGGCACCAAATTTCAATCCAATCCAAATGCCCCATGGTACTAATGAATGATGTGTAACATGTAATGCTGATATTTGTTGACTTTTTTTACGTAAAACAAAAAATATTGTATCAAGAAATTCAATCATTTTCAATATCATTAGCCACCATGAAAGATGTAATAGACGCATATTTTTATCGGTAACCGTATAATCAACACGTTCGCATATGATACTGAAATTACCGCCCGGTGGTATATAAGTCAGTTGGCCACCATAATGAAAAAATCCAGCCGATGCTATGACCATAAGTATATTATAGACAATAATGATCGATTCGATACGCATTGGTGGTCGATTTTTCATCAATCGTGGTCCTAAACTTTTCACCACATAAATATAACATAATATTATCGACCATATTGGAAATGGTGATCCAATCAATGGCCAATCTGATGTTCGAGGATCTATATATTGGAAAAAATAAAAACAAACAAAATCACGAGGATACGAGAAACAAATTCCAACAAACAACATACCACTTTTGGACATTAGCCATTCATATGGCCATATTAACGATTCCAACATTCGGATTGTTCAGGTAAATTATTGTATCAGGTTTTTAGATGTGGAAAAAAAAGGAAGAATAGTTGTCTGTGTGTGTGTCTAGGGATTTTTTATGATGATGATGATGATGATGATGACAAGAATGGAAAAAACGAGAAAAAAACTTTTGTCGTATCATTTTTTTCTCGTTCTCTTTTTTTTGCGGGGGATAACGTAAAAAAAAAAATTTACGAACGCATGGCATTCGTTTCTTTCATGCTTGATTGAATCATCGTTCATTGGAAACCAGAAAAAAAGAAGAAAAAAAAAAAAAAACAACGAAATGATATTGCCCAATAGATAACTGTCATGTGGGAGAAAACGATAAGAAATGAATTGTGACAAACAAACAAAACAAAAAAAAATTTATGCCCATTGAGCCATAACTCTTTTTTTTGAAATTCGACTCTGTCTCATGTTCGAAAATGATGAATTCAATAGATTGGCCATTTGAAATTGTGGTGATGATGATTGAAAACGTGTATTCGATTTTTTTTTTTGGATCAATCCAGTGAATGCGACAATTTTTTGATGATCTAAACCACTATAAATATATTGATGATTGAATCTCGATGAATCTTTACAGGATTGAAGTGATTTTTTTTCTCTTTTTGTTTTGCAGGTTGTTTACAATCATCAGTGATATTTGTCCTCGTTCCAATCAAATATGATGAATGACAAGCAACAACAGCAGCAGCAGCAGAAGGCATTGGAATTGGTGTTTGTCATTTGTTTCTATTTTACAATTGACACATTGAACAGTGATGATTATGTCGTTGATAATTGAACAACATCGGCTTCAAAAAAACTTCGACCATATAATAAATTATTTTCCACCGGAAAAAAAATTGTTTTCCAACACCAAAACGAGAAAAAAAAACGTTAATCGATTTCATAATTGGCAGCAATGATTATAAACGAAATGAACAACAACGACAATGATAACGACAACAATCATCGATCGGGCGTAAAATTAAGAAAACAACAACAACAAAAAAAAAGATACGCCTGATCACTTGTTGATTATCATGCAAATCTTAATTTTTTCACATTATTATTAGAAATAATGGAAAACAAAACGATATAACATCCAAACAAACGTCGTATATGAACGGAACAAGAAAAATTTTCGAACATTGACAGCAAAAAAAAATAAAATGTTTGTATTTGTAATTATCGAGAAATAATATTTTTTTTTTGTTTTCATTTTCAGGTATTTCAAAATTTTAAAATCAAAAAACAGAATCGAAAACATATATAGTAATACATGTGGCAAGATTAGAAATGTGTGTGTGTGTGATTAGATCATTTTCAAAAAAAAAAAATTAAAAATTCATCGGGTCAAAAAAATAAAAAAAAAAAAAACAAGGTAAGATGACAATGGCAATAGATGTGTAAATAATTTTTTCCTTTTTTCTGATGACTAGTTTTTCGTTATGGTGACAAAATATGTGGAGAATAAAATTGAAAAAAAAAAAAAAAAACGAAGAAGAGAAATCCAAGCTGTCTTGTTAATTAATTCATTGGTTCAAGACGGCAAAGAATTGCTTTCATATAGGCAGCCGCCGATAATGCTGCATATGGTTGCCATTCTTTTTTTCTTGAACCATCCTTATAATCGGCAATACCACGAATGATTATATAACGATCTTTACGATTACCAAATATTGATTCAATAACCGTATCGAATTCAATATCGAATGCTTTTATACCGAATTTCAATGCAATATCCTGTCGTAATTGTTCATTACCAACAGCCAATCGGCCAGAACCGACAGCACCAAAATGAATTTTTGGCATTCCACGTTTTCGTGGATCATCTTCACCGGTATCTTCATGATGATGATCCGGTTCAGGATGTGCCATTTCAATTACATCATTAGTACCGATCGACATGTATAATTTATCAGTGTTTTCTGCTGGCCGTACAAATTCAAGATCATCGCTTTCTTGTAATCGATGTCGTGCCTCTTCAATATAACGTTCCCATGATGGTTGACCACCGCCAACAATATCATTCTGTGCTTCCAAATAGATATGACGAGCTATATCCTGTAATTCTAATGATAATGGACACCAAAAACGATAATTAAATGAATCAACTGTCTGTAATTCTTTCCATGTTGAATTCGATGCATTCATCGGTTCATCCGGTGATGAACGAAGTTTTTCACAATGTACATAAATAAAATCTGAACGTGTTGGCAATTGTTGTGGACGATTATTTCCATGACCATTATGACCATCATCATCACCACCGATATCCGAATTACTAGTTTTCTGGTTGATTGGTGAATATGAGGAATTTTTTCTTGGAGATGCCGACACAACTATATCACCAAGTCGTACATGTTGATGATAATCAGTATAATGTGGTACACCGCCACCAATACCAACAAGAAATACATATTCAACATGTTGAAATGTACCTTTTGTGTGTTTCAGAAAAAGAAACAAAACAAAAAAAATTAAATATCGATTGAATTGAAAATTTTCTTACCTAAAAGCCTTGTAGTTGTATTACCGGCGGCAATCATAGCCGAACGGCTATTACCAACAGCCGGTAATTTTGTGGCAACAACACGATGTTGTCCAATATTGCCCAATGTATAAACATTTGATTCACCTTCACCTTTATAACGGACATATGTATCTTTATTATCGATCATTGAATCAACGGCTAATTTTTCACAAAATTGTGCCGTTATTATAGCTACAGTTGGTTGCTGTGATCGAATCACTTTAGGCATCTGACTAACACGTTTCACCTGTTGTTCATCGCTTGTAACACGAATAATTTGACCAAGATCGGTTAAACGTGCAACACCTTTTGTACATAATTCATTAACTAAACGTTCAACATCTTCTTGATTCGAACAGGTTGTACTTATATAGAAAAAAAAATTAATTTCAACATCGAAAATAGCAGAAAACAGCAAAAAAACTTACGCAGCAATATCGGGTAATGAAAGCGGATTCGGATATGCCGATTCAATCATTTCACGAACTTTTTCTTCAGTCAACAATTGATAATGATGATGATGGTGATTATTGTTTGAATTCAAACTAAGATCCATTGCTATTAATAAAAATAAAAATGAAAAAAAACAAATGAAAAATTTTTATTTTTGATTATTTGAGCGCATGCGCACGATGCGTGCAAAAAGCTAGCAAAATTCAAAAAAAAGTTGTAATCATCATCATCATCATCATTGATTTGTGATTTTTTTACGGTAAAACTTTTTAACCTATAATTAATGATCAATGATGGATCATTTCTATTTCTATTTTTTTTTAAACAAAAAAATCCCTTGAATCTATCAATCAAGTGTGTACATATATGTGATATAATTGATTGTGTGTGTGTATGAAATATATCGATACAACACAACACATCTATCTATCATTCAAGTGAAAGGAGATGATGATAATAATAATGGCTATTTATTACACAGCCACTCTCTCTCATTCACACACACACATATGCGTCAACAAGTTATTCGGACAAAATTCGTGATCAATTTGACCGAAAAAAAAAAAAATACAAAACGGGAAAATAAAACACAAACACCATCATCGGGTGTTATTGACACACACACAAACACATCTATAAATTTTGCCAATTATAGCAGCTGCCTTTTCTTTTTCTTCTTCTTCTTCAAGAAAATCTAAGTTTTTTTTTACCGATTTTTAAAATTAATTTTTAAGAAAGAAAGAGAAAAGCAAATCACAACATTATAAGCTGATTATGATTAAGGCTTGTTGGTTAATCTTTTTGTTGCAAGGCATATGCCATTCACTCAGCTGAGAGGTCCAAATAGAAAAAAAAAAAAAAAACGTTTACTTGATTTTTATCATCATCATCATCATTCATTTTAATGATGATCGAAATTTTTCGTTTTGGTTTTACCGGTGGTGGTGGTCTTGGTTTCAACATTCGTAACCTTGCAGCCATATCTTGAATCTTATCAATACGATCAATAAGATCATGAACATGTAAATTTGATTCTTTAGATAATGATTCTATTGGTTTATAATTATCATCATCATTATCTACTATGGTAGTAATTAATTGATAAAGATCATCATCAAACCACATATATAAAATGTCACAAATCAACAGGTTTGAGTACTGAAAACAAAAAAACAAAAATAGTGGAAAACAATAAACTTACATGAACGTTGTGATGATGACGTTGATGATGATGATGGTCTTACGAATGGTTCATCAATCTGTTTTACTTCCAATTCTATTTGTAATAATGGCCTATACAATGGTTGTTGCATTGTTTTCATCAATTTCATTATGAAACCGACATAATTTTTTGGAAAATCTTGTGGATTAACAAGTGCACGAAAAAATGATTGTGCACATTGAAGAAGATTTTGATCATTATTACCACCACCATTTAATGATGATGAATTATGATGATGATGATCATCATCATCATCATCATGATGGTGAAACCAGAATCGAAGTTCACGTGATTCTTGTTGATGAACATTTGTAATGGCATTGACAAGAAATACTTTGAATGCAAGACGTAAATCAAATTTCGTTCGATTATGATGTTGATGGTCTTGTTGTTGAGCAATTTGTTTATTAATAATAATTCCTTGATGTTGGCCACCAGCAACATGACGAATATTCTGTTGTTGTTGATCCAATTGTTTACCATCAACAATACGTTCTACACGTAGTATTGTATGATCCAATTCTTTTTTCAACGGTGTCATCATGATTAAATCTAAAAAATTCGTATAGAATAATTTAAATCAAATCCAAATCCAAACACACACATACACAATCAAAAATCTTACCTGGTTGTTGAACAACAACAACATCATCATTACCATTATGATGATGATTATTATGACCATTAACACCATTGGTTTTTTTCGATGGTGATCCACCATTTGTCGATAATTTCGATGATGATGATGGTGATGATGATTTTTGTTGCATTTGAATATTTTGCTGTGTTGTACCGTTTGTAGCCATCATCATTAATTTAAAATTTCCAATTCGAATGGACACAGCTGCAATTGAAAGTTAAGTGAAATTTCGTAGTTAAACCAATTTAGACCAATGTGAATTTGTCATTCCAAAAACTTGAACATAGAGAGAGAGAGAGATAGATTCAATTGTGTTGGATTCGAGCTGTTTTGGAACAAAATGAAAAGAAAAAGGAAAAAGATTGATCAATCAATTAACGACAAATGAAAATGGTGAAAAAAACAAACCGGTAAACACACACACACACACACACACACACACACGGTAAAATGATAATCCATTTAACCTACTCTTTCCCTCTCGCTTGTTATCGTTTTTTTTTACATATCGATGATGATGTTTCGTCGTCGTTGTTGTTATTATAACCATATTAGGGTTTTGAAATTTTTTTTTCATTTCATTTTGGCGTTTGTTTGTTTCATTATTTGAATCCGGATCTTTCTCTATCCATGTTTTTGCCCGAAAATGGTTAAAATCCTCTCTCTCTCTCTCTCTCTCTCTCATCTTCTCTGTGTAATGATGATAATATAGCACACACACACACACAGACAAACAAATAAAGATAAAAACATGATTTACGGATGATGATGATTATTATTATGGTGATGGCACAACAACAACAACAACAACAACAACAACAACAAGGATTGACACGACCCAGAAAACAAAAAGATTTCATCATCAGAGTAAGTTTGGGTCAAAAATATATAAATTCGTAGAGCAAGAGAGAAAAGGCACATGTGTGTGTGTGTGTACAATATAATAATTCAATTAGTTGGCAAAACAAAACAGAGAAAAAAAAATCGAATCCGATTTCGACAAAATTTTTTTTTTATTTTTAAATCTGGATTAAACGTGACCAGATTTTTCAAAACAAATGGCCACAAAAAAAAAACACAACCATAACCATGGAATAAAAATCATCATCAGAATAAAAAAAAAATTCGGCACGACATTTATGAACGATAACAATGATTATACCTCTTAATCATCATCATCATCATTTTTTTTCGGTCAACAGACAATTAAAATTTTTTTTTTTTTTTTTGGACAACAGCAACGAAAATTCATTGTTTTTATAAACAAACAAAAATCATAATGACCACCACCATTATAATGATGATGATGATGATGGTCAATACCAATCATCATCATCATAGTAAATGTGAAAAGAGAAAAAAAATTTTTACCTGTGTTTTTAGCCATCCAAGTTGAGTTTGGATCAATTAAATCAAATCAAATCAATACGAGCAAACGAACAAAAATGAAATGAAATAAAATGACTTTTGGCAAATGGAAAAAAGCTTTTTCTTTTGATTCAAATTTTTTTCAATGTTCCAAAATTAAATTTGTTTTTCATTCATTCGAATTATGAATTTGAATAAACAAAAAAAAATTCCAAATTTGAAAATTTCTACAAAGAAAGAGAGAGAGAGAGAGAAAATGAATTATTTAAATTCAACAACAGTCAACAGTCCTGTTGACCATCATCATTATCATTATCATTATCTCATTGCCATGGTCACCTAAATTTTTTTTTTCGTTTCATTCCGTTTGTCTGTTTGTTTTGAATATGTATGTATTTCAAATTCATTTATTCATCATCATCAGTGTCATTGGCCTCTCATTACATTACATAACGATTCAGTTCATTTACATAACACACACACACACACTCCTGTATTTACATACATTGTTTCAATCCATAAAAACTCATTTCATTTTATTTCATTTCGTTCGAAAAAATTTTTTTTTGTTTTATTTTGTTTTGGGCAACAATTCAAGAAATATTTTTCTATGTAAGATCCGGAAATTTTTTTTCTTTATTTTGATAACAACAACAACAACAACAATCATCATTGTGTGTATGTGTGTGTGTGTGTTTGATGGCCATGGTCATCATTATCATCATCATCATCATCATCATCATCATCATCGATGATTGATCAATCGATCAATGAGATTTATAAAAACAATGAACAAACAAACAGAACAGACAACCACATTCATTGATCAAGCCAATTGACTATTGTTAAAACGGCAAAATGATATATATATAACCATGAATCAAAACGGATATGATTACTCTACTTACCAATCCACAATCCAAACCCATCGATCTACCTACATCTACTATCTACATCTATCAAATCAATCAATCATCGATATTTGAACTATTTGAACAAAACAAAAAAAAAAAATTTAAACCAATCATGCAAATCTCGAAATGTAAAAAAAAAAAAAAAAAAATAGGAATGGTCAACAGGAACAATTTTTGTTGTTGTTGTTGTTGTTGTTGAAATTTTTCTATTTCTAGATTTGAAATCTTTGTATTTTCATTGTTCATTTTTTATCCATACACAGAATACATGTCAATCTAATTTAATCTAATCTAATCTAATCTGATCTGATTTTTCTGGACACAATCGTTTTTTTTCTGAATCTAGTTATAAATACAAAACAAAAATCAATAGATCAGCATTTGTTTTGTTTTGTTTTTGTCTAATAATGTCATCATGATTGAAATGAAACAAAAAAAAAAAAAATATCGGTGACATCACGATTTAGCCATTTTGTATTTGTGGATTTCAAACGCACACACACACACACACACAAAACGGATGTGTTCCATTTCAGTTTCATTTTTTTTTTTCGTTGAAACACATCCATCTACTTATTATTATTGTTGTTGTTGTTCTCATGGCCATTTCCTATCCATTACTTTCACATACACACACACAGAGAGAGAAATTATTTTCAAGGATTTTTTTCAGAGAAAAAACATAATGATTGCATGGGAAAAAAGTGTGAAAAAAATGATGATGATGATGATGATGGAAATCAATTTGTATCCATTATATATTTGAATGTCTTCGTGTTTGTTTCAATTTCACTATATGGTCTATTGTGTTTCATCAACCATTAAGTGTTCTATTAACAACAACAAATAATGATGATGATGACAGCGTGACACACAACATTTGGCCAATAAGTGATGATGCTACAAATGTGTATGTTTTCGATGGTCTAAATATAAAAAAAAACGCGTTTAGTTCATTGAATTTTCGGTTGGTTCATTCATTGGTTGTTGTTGTTGTTGTTTGTTCAAATATAACACAAACACATGCTAGCCGTGTATACACAATGAATGGGTAAAACTTACAAGAATTTAAAAAAAGAATCAATCACTGTGAATCAAGAAACAAGAATCAAGAATCAAAATGAAAATGGAATGTGAAGAAAAAATTGTTTCACCAAACCAAAAAAATAAAGGATCGAGGATACAAATTACACACACACACACACACACACAGAGAGATTTCTGAAATGTCTGATGACATTTATTTGCTTATCATCAATATGTTATTTGTCTGTCGTCAACGTTGTCAAGGCATGTTAATCAGAGACGAAAAAAAAAACATTCGACACGTTGTGTGTCTATGTGTGATATTTGAGAAACACAAAAAAAAATCTCAAAACCAATGGTAACCATCAACCATGGTTATAATCATCATCATCATCAATAACCATAACAACGATGATGATGATAAAAAAAAAAAAAAAATTTGAAACAGGTGGTGTTGGTGTTTGGTTTATGGCATATATATATAATCAAATATTTGCCATGGTATTCTCATCCATTTGGCCATAAATAGAAAAAAAAAAAAAAAAATTGGCCATTGAATTTTATAACCAACCACACATGAGAAGAGAAAAAACAAAACAAAACACTACCTGTTGGTTGATATTTAAAAAAAAAATTGTGGGCAATAAAAAATGCACACACACCCAGGTTATGTATAAAAGAATGAAAAAAAAGGCTAGGTGTGTGTGTGTGGGTGTGTGATCATTATAAGGTCAATGATACAGATGATGATTCTGGTGGTGGTGGTGGTGATGATACAAAATTATTTCATTGAACCAGAATTATTCTAACAAAAAAAAAAAAAAGTGAAAATTGGAATTTCGTAACAAATCTTCGTTTTCATTCAATAATATAATTCAATTTTCATTATGATCATAATTTCGTTGTTGTTGTTGTTGTTGTTGTTGTTTTGGGCGAAACACAACAACAACAATTTCCATTTTGGAAATAAAATGGAATCCCATCCCATTATTAACAACAACAACAACAACAACAAACCAAACAATCGCTATTAATGATGGGCTTGATGAAAAAAAAAACAAACGCTTTTCAAAGCACACACACACATTGAATCTCTGTTATATATTAAAAATGATAAAAAACTGAGAAATTTTGTTTCAAAAAACCGTAAAAGAAACAAAAAAAATTTGTTGCCAAAACAACAACAACAACAACAACCAGATGGATTTTCTCTGGTGATGGTTACCAACCAATACTGGAAAAAACCACTGACTGACAATTGCTCACAAATTGTGCAATAATAATGTTTTTTAATCACATTTTCATATCCTGTCCACACTAATGTAATAATGGATCACCATAGTAAAAAAAAAGACAGATCAAAACACTTACCTGTTTGGAATTTTATTGAAAAATTATTTGAAAATGAATATAAAAAAAAATGTTGATAATTAAATCATCATCATCATCATTATGATTAATAAATTGTCACGAAATGTCACCATTTTATGCATATATAGAAAAACATCGAAAAAAACACACACAAACACAACACAACACAATCCATTGATTACAACAAACAGTCTGTGTGTTTTGTCCTTGATTTCATTCATTTGTTGCTTTTAGTTGTGTAAATGTAAAAATTTTGTGGCCAATTATCAATGATCAGATCAGATCGATACATCGAACAAACACAAAGAGAAATAGAGAAGATTTGATATGTTCCAGATGTGTATTCAAATGTTCCAAATAACGGTGTGTGTGTGTGTGTGTTTTATTTGGTAATGGCTAAAAAAAAAAAAAACAAAACATCTGCAACAACAATAGTCAATGATGATGATGATGGTGATGGAGATGATTTTTGTTTACATGTATACGTTGTTGTTGTTGTTGTTATTGATCATAAATGACGACGATGATGATGATAGTAATCAATTATGAATAAAACAGATGCTACAAAAAAAATGGATTGAAAAAAAAACGGAAATGAACAATAATTCATTGACAAAATCAAAATGAAAAATGAATTTGTCGTTGTTCACAATCGATAGATAATTTTTGTCGATAAAGATGATGATGATGATGATGATGATTTAATTGAGAAAAATTCAATTTAAATGATTTGCCGTTGTTGTTGTTGTTGTTGTTGTTCACAAATGATAAAATCGAATGTATAATTTTGTCGTTTCAATCAATCAACCGAAAAAACCAAAATCCAAAGTCACATGATGATGATGATGATGATGATGAAATTGAATTTGAGGAATACGTTGTGGTTACGTTATGACTACGATTATTTCGATGTTCATCATCCTACGTTTGTCATAAAGATGTTGGAAGATGTTGGATCATCATCATCATCATCATTGACATTAACCTTACCTATATGGAAATCACGATGATCATGGCCAACAAAAAAAAAAAAATTCATTCACCGATTACCATGATTATTTTTAGCTTATTATTATTATTGTCACAAGAAATAATGAATTTTCAATGGAAAAAATTTTTTTTTTTTGGATTGTGAGGCTTCCATTTTGATAATGATTTCGATGATTATACAAACAAACACAAGATTGTCTATATCATAAAATGTCGATCATCATCATCATCAATAATGAACGATGGAAGATTATCATTATTAAAAAAAACAGGGTAAAATCTTAAACAATGAAAAAATAATGATTACGATGATGAACAAGCCATACACACACACACACAGAGAAAATTTTTTTAAAAATTTTAAATCATCATCATCATTGAAAATTGAAATTTCAACAATCCAAATATATTGATTGTCATGTGTATTGTACATGACTCATTTTTGATTCATTGGGAAATGAATGAATGAATGAATGAAACAGACAAACATGAAATCACAAAATTGTAATGGAGCATTCATTCATTCAAATATCCACTCAACGATGATTGTGTATGCAGTGGTTTTTTTTTCGTTGTTGTTGTTGTTGTTGTTTTGTTGAAAAATTTCTTTTTTTTTTGCCCACTATGAATTTGCCATCATTAACGTTTCTTCAATGTCCATTTCTTTTTCTCTTCTCTTGTTTTGTTTTGTTTTTGCATTTTCTAACAGTACAATCTTCAAACGGATAATATACACCTTTTTTTTTGCATTGCTATGTGGTAATTTCAATCATTGGTTGATTTGTGATGGTTGTTTGGTGATTGATTTGATGGTTGTTTGGTGATTGATTTGATGGTTGTTTGGTGATGATGATGATGTAAATGAATTTGGAATGGAGCAAAAAATGAGAGAAAGAGAGAGAGAGAAAAGTGATGCCAAAATAATTATCATCAAGATGCTCAGGATTCATCCAATGATTCATTCAAAGTGAATCGAGGATTTTCATTTTTTTTTATTTTATTCTTCTGAATATTTGCTGAATGTGTTGCTGCTGCTGCTAGTTCACAAATAAGTGTGTGTGTGTGTGTGATTCATTCGAGTTTTGATGATTTCGGGCGGTGAGATGGGATTCGAATCCAAGAGTATACTGTTATTCGTTGGTTTGGATTCATTCAATTTTTTTTTTTGTTTCTCGTTAGATGGGTAGTAGCGGCTTCGTAAATGTTGATTTTGAGTTTGTATGAAGTTTGCGTGCGTATGTGTGTAAATGGAATCCATGGCCGTTATTATTGTTTCCTGGTATATTCAGGGTGTGCATGTGTTGTTGTTGTTGTGAGGGTACCCAACAACAGTATACACAGATATATCTGGTAATGGATGGATGGTAGTGGGCTGAAAAAATTTTGACAAAAACAATTTTTGGTTAGCATACATAAAACATGACAAACAAACAACTCACATGGACGATTCGATAAGGCCATCTCCCCATACACACACACAGACAAACAAACAAAAATTCATTCAAAAATGAAAAAAAAAACACGAGGCTTATGACCCGATTTTTTTCGCTTCACCATATGATGATGATGATCAATATACAGATGGCCACAATAAATCCGATTTACTATCGAATGTGTCCAATAACATGATGATGATGATGATGATGGTCATTATCCACCAACAGAAAACAGCTGTCCAACCATAAATTGTTGCTGATGCTGCTGGTTGATTCCATCCAATCATCATCGTAGTTGTGGTGATCAATCGAGATCCACCCAAAAAAAATTCGTATTTTTTTTTTGTTTTTGTTTTAATCGGTTGATTAGATTCGATGATGATGATGATGATTGAATGTAGTTTTTCAAACAACAACAAGAACAAAGAAAAAATCGATATATCCGTTTATTTGTGTGTACTGTATCGCCATCTATCGACATAAATCGAGAATATAATTTTATTTATCAAAATCAATAGATGGCGTTAAATGACGATGATGATGATAAAAATGATTCGACTCATTCTGTGTATTGAAGAATTCTTGCGTGTCACTGTGTCACATTGTGTTTATGTCGGCGTTGTTTGCATGTGTTTGGGATGCAAATTATTTAGAAATTAAAAAAAATTTAAATTCAAAAATTCATTGTCATCATTATCATCATCATCAAAATTGAAATTGCAAAAAAATATTAATAAATCAATATGCCTGTCATTCATGTTGAAAATGATGAAGCATTTCTCAATCATTTGGGCCATAATGGAATCGTTGTTGTTGATTTTACCGCCAGTTGGTAAGATTTTTTCATTTGCGAAATTTTTTTTTGAATCTAACAATCATTTAAACTATCATTATTATTAGGTGTGGACCATGTCAACGTATTGCACCGGTATTCGAACGTCTATCACATGAATATTCGGCTCGTGGTGTAAAATTTCTAAAAGTTGATGTCGATGAATGTCAGGATACAGCACGTAATAATAATGTAACAGCAATGCCAACGTTCATATTTTTCAAGAATCGTGTGGCCATCAATCGAATGCAAGGTGCCGATCCAACAAGTTTGGAAACAAAATTACGTGAAATTGTCAATTCACAAGAAAATTTGGCCACCGCAGCGGCTGAATCTGGTGTGGCCGGTTTTATGGATCTATCATCGTTCATTAATAAAACACAATCAGAATGCTTAAATGAATGTGATAATAATAATCTTGGCCATGCATTATTACCTGGATCAGGATTTTATCTACAATCCGATTGTGATGAACAGCTCATCATTAATTTGGCTTTTAATCAACCGGTCAAGATTCATTCATTGAAATTAACGGCACCAGCTTCAAATGGTCCTAAACGAATTAAATTGTTTATCAATCAACCACGAACATTGGATTTTGATCAAGCTAGTTCTATGGAACCAATTCAAACGATTGATGTGGCCATCGATGATCTAGTTAAAGCTAATCCGATACCATTACGTTTTGTTAAATTTCAAAATGTTCAAAATTTAATTGTAAGTCTCTATTCAAGTTTGGTTGTTTGAACACACCACCACCACCACCACTGATCAAACTTTTTTCATTTATTTCAGATGTTTGTTGAAAACAATCAATCCGGTACCGATTGTACACGTATTGATAATATAACATTAATTGGTCAAACAGTGAGCAGTACGAATATGTCGGAATTTAAACGAATTGCCGGTAAAAAAGGTGAAAGCCATTAGACCGTTCAAGAATGGATTATTTTTTTTTCTTTAAATCTTGGGAATTTTCTTTTTCTTTTTGATGATAATTTTTAATTTTGAATAAAAAAAATTGAAATTTTCAATAATAATGATGAACAATTACTATCGATAATATCGATTATTATCAAAAGAATGTTTTCGTTTCCGTGTATGATTTTGTTTCAAAATCACTGATTTCGAAACAAAATTCAATTTTTAATTGAATTTTTACATTCCTAAATCCCATCCTACACAACAACAACAACAAATGCGTTCTATTTTGCAATTATTTAACCAAAAAATTTGTTCCAACTCCCCGTACGTCATCCAGAAAAAAAAACTTTTGACATTCAAAAAAAAAAAAAAATTGAATGCTCCCTTTTTTTCTCATCACATCAATGTAAGCCAAAAATTTGTTTGTCTGTTTGCGTGAAAGTTAATCATCACCATTATTATTATTCATTCCATTCCATTCCATTCATAGATGAAAGAAAGGAAAAAAAATTGAAACACAGAAACAGACATTGACAACATTGTTTTTCAACGTCATATCATCGTCATCGTCATCATCGGATTTACATTTACATTTGACAATGATGATAATGATGATGATTATCATGAAAACTTACTGTTTACATGAAAATATTCCTGGAAATCAACAATAACAATAACTACAACAACAACAACAACAACAACAACAATGAAAAACTTTCTTTAGCCACCGGTCCACGTCTTTTTTTTTTGATAATAATGACAACAACAACAACAACCGCAAAGGCAAATTCAAAAAAAAATCCACAATTATCATCAATGGTCTTTATCGTTTGTCTGTTTGTCTATTTTTCAAGATATAATTTCCCCAGAGTAAAAATGTTGTTTTTTTGTCTACAACAAGCAAGCAAACAAAAAATTCGTGCCATGAATGTAAATATAACTGATCACTTTGGTTGATGATAAAATCTGAATGAAATCGAAATGAGAAAAAATTCTGTTGTGTCCGGTCACAATGTATAATCATATAATGGAACAACCTTGTAAATCTTGTTTTTATGTGTGTGTGTGTGTAGCTGGGTGGATTTCCATTTCCATTTTTTTTTCATTGTTTTTACGGTAAATATAATTTTGTTCTTTTTTTTATTGTTGTTGGATTTTAAATTTGAATTTTTTTTTAGATTGGAATATTCATCATCATCAAATGTTTTATTGTTGTTGTTGTTGTTGTTGATGGAGATGCACGCAACAATTCGTTCTACTTCTGGTGCTTTGTTCTGCATATTACCATATTGGCTCCCACTCAACAAAACCATGGCCAATGGTGGTGCTCAAAAAAAAAAAAAAAATTTTGTGCCCATGTGCAATTCCGGTAATGACGTCCACCGGGTACGTGTGTTCATGCATACACAAATCTACCACCATAGTATTTTTTTTTTTTTGTATCATCACCATAGATGCCGGTTATTATTTTACAGTCATATATAGACAATGGCTAGATCATTCATTCACCTGGTTCCTATTTTTTTTTTTTTTTTTTTTGCTATTTGTCATCATCAATAATTCTTCCTTATTTTACGGATATGATGTGTACAAGTGTTGTAATCAATTGATGATCATCATGATGACAATATATATACGGGCCATGACAAAATTGTCATTTTTTTTCATACCATTGATCGATCGATCGATCGATCCATCGACCGGTTGCTGCCAAACACAAACACAACACACACACACACACACACACTAGCCAACCTAACTAGAGTTTAGTCGGTTCGTTTTTTATTTTATTAACTTGTGATTTTTTTTCATTTTATTTTCTGGTTTTACAGCCTATGTTTAAATGGAGTGAAAATTTTTTTTTTTTTTCTTTCATAACGGTGGTGGTGGCTGATTTCATTGAATGGTGGCATAAAAAAAAAATTTTATCATCTGTCTCTGTGTGTGTGTGTGTTTGTGTTCCATATACAATCTCATCTCTCTCTCTCTCTCTGTATCTCTGTATCTCTGTATCTCACATTGGATTGAATCATTCATTCGATTTTCATGAAAAAAGAGAAAGTAATAGTGGCTGGCTGGCTGGTTGGTTGGTTTCGTTGGTTTCGTTGGTTGGTTGGTTGGTTGACTGTGGTAGTGACGAAAAATTTTTTTTTTCTAACCAATGTTGTCATATATATCACACACATATATGCATGGCGCCAATAACAAATCAAACAGACAACCAAACAACAACCAAACAACAACAAACAACACCGACACACGACAAACGATCGTTGATGATGATGATGAGAAAATTGAAAAAAAAAATTTTTTTTTCTTCCAATTCAATTCAATTCAAGTGATCATTGAAGCAGCCAGATGAATTGAATTTGAATTGAATTTTTCAACAATTTATATAAATCGACATTGAAAAAAACGTAAATAATTTTTTTATTACTGTTGCTGTTATTGTCCATGACAAAAGATTCGATCCAAAGTGTGTGGGTGCTTTCTATGTGTGTGTGTGTGTGTAAATCGATTTTTTTTTTTTTTTTGTTCGTATGATCCCTTTGTGACGAAAATATATTCTGGGTAAGTTGCCAATAATTTTTATTCTAATTTTTCATCTCAAATATTCTGTTTGTTTAATTTAATTTAATTTATTTTTTTTTATTTCGTTTGTTTGTTTGTTAATCACTGTAGTGAGTAAATGAGCAAAACACAATACACACACACAATACACACTGACATGTTGCTTGCTTGCTTAATTCTTTATAGAATCAAGATCATTTGTAGCATTCTGGAATCGGTTTCATTTTTTTTTAATCATCAAAACATGACATACCATATACATTCAGATTGAACAAGATAAAAAAAAGCCACAAATCACCGATTTTTTTTTGATAGATCATGAATCGAATCGAATGATTTATGATTTAATAGAAGAATTTTTTTTTTTTTTTTGAAACCAAAAAAAAAATCTGTTTTGTTTATATTTAGGGTATACATGTGTGTGTGTGTTTTTCAGTTGAATTTCAGTTTTTTGTTTGTTTGTTTGGCAGCATCAATCAATCAATCAATCGATCGATCGATCGATTGATCGTGAGCAATGAATTTGATCACGAAAATTTTTATTTTTTTTTTAGTTTTTGTTTCAGATGAATTTCATTTCACTTTTTTTTTCTTTTCATTTATTAACCCGTTATCCACTGTTGTTTTTTTTCTATTTTATTCATTCTACCTAGTATGGTCGTCGTTGTCAAATCTGTAATTAAAGATCAAAAACCTCAATTTGAACGTTCGTCATTCGATCATCATTATCTTTATCTTTAGTTGTTGTCAAGTGTTTGTATCGTTTCCGATTGTCATCATAAAATATCGCTTTTGTGTGTGTGTGTGTGTGTGTTATGTGTTAAAATGGCCTCATTCTTGTTTGATTTGATGTTATCTTCAAAGAAAATACCCGGCTATTATAAAATGATGATGGATATGTTTAAATCGTTTCATTGATTGTGTATAATTGAAGGTGTAACCCTGGTTTTTTTTATCTCTCATTCATTCATTCACACAATAATAATACACGCCCACATGAATGGACAATGGCCATCATTGGAATCAAAAATATTCAAACATATAAACCTTGGAATAATAGTAATGGCTATTTTTTATTATTATTCTTATTATCATTATTATTCATATCGATACAATCGATATATTGTTTTTCAATTGTAAATCCATCATCTGATTCTGAAATTGTTATTGTTGATGGCCGTAATACAGCACAATCAAAATCATCACAATCATTATCATCATCATCATCATTGGTAACAACAATAGCCACAACGATATTATCATCTAATCAACCAAATTATAATTATTATATTACCGGAAATCATAATCATCCACATAATCGTAATGTAAATAATGGTCAACAACATATCGTTAATGATGATGATAATAATAATGGTGAACATCATGAATTACCACCAAAAAGATTTCAGGTTGCCAAATTTGATTTTGAACATGGTATGTTCGTTTTTTTTTGACCTTGTGTTGTTTTTTTTTCTTTGAAATTCATGTTTTTTTTTCTCATTGTTCGGTACATAGTTTCAACGCCTTATATAATTCTATTATGGATCATAATTGTTGGTCTAGCCAAAATGGGTAAGTGACCAATCATCAATGAATAAATAAATAAACGATGATGATTCATAATTCATAATGATGATGACCAAATGATGAAAAAGGTGAAAAAAACCCAATGATTAGAATTCCATTTGCCAATGACAATGAAATTTGCATTGAAAAAAAAACGAAATAGTTTGTGGTGGTCAATTATTTTTTTCTGGCCACTCCTTCTATCAATCAATCAAAAACAAAAAAAACAATTTGGAAATTTTTTTTTTTTTTTTTGATTACCAACTCATAATTTCCATCAGTACATTCGTCATCATAATCAATCAATCAATCAATCAATATACAAAGTATGCAATCACATTATCTTTCCATTTAGAATTTCTTTTTTTTTGGGTATCAATGAAATTGATGAAAAAATTAAATTTTCTCATCAAATTTTTTTTTCTTTTATTATTCACGAGAAAAAACCCACAAAAAAAACAAAGAAACCAGTTTTTTAACCATCATTTATTGATTATCGATTGATTGATTGATTAATATTACACAATAGCTATGCAATCAATCAATCAATGTGTTTTTTTGGTTCGTTTGTCGTAAAGAATTCACCATTGATAGGATTCAATTTTGTCAATTAAACAAAAGAAAAAAAGGTATTTTGCGTGCTTTTGTTTTTCAATTACCAGCAAATTACTTTTTTTTGTTTGTTTGTTTGTTTCATGAACGAGAATCATGAAACTAATCATGATAGGAAAATGATCCATAATTTTATCGTATACCGGTTGTTATTGTTTTTGTTTTGTTTTTTTTTTTTTCGGTTCTTAATTCATTTTCACTGCCCAATTATATTCTTTGATGATGATTAGGTTTTTTTTCCATTTGTTCATTCTGTATGGCAACAGAATTTTCTTTTCGATTCTGTTGAATTTATTTAGCTAGAATTGTTTGAAAGAGAGAGAGAGAGAGATAATAGAAAATGTACACTGAAAAGCAGCTGCTTCGAATTATATTGTTATTGATAATTAAGAATCGAGAATTATTGTCATTTGTTATTATTATTAAAATGGACCACGCCAGAATTTTTCGTTTTATTCAATAAACGATATTATTATTATTATTATTGGTTGAGTGATAATGATCCATTAACCTTGAATGGATTCAATTCAATTGTTTACCTAGCACAATAATAATAATAATAATAATAATCCTGATGATGATGATCATTGTGTAAAAAAAAGTTTGTTTATAAAAAAAGAAATAGAAATAGAAATAAAAACAAATAGACATTATTATTGATCCAACAATCAATTGATCGATCAATCAAAATCAAATAAACAGAACAGAACAAAACAGAACAGAAAAAAAATTGTCAATCATCAATTAATGTGACACACAACCTGTGTGTGTGTATATCGAATTTTTTCGTTTTTTTTTCATATTTCATAGCCATGACAGTCATTTTTTTTCACATACACACATCTTGATGATTTTCTTCCTGTCGAAATGTTGAATAAATCCTTGAACAAATCGATCGATTGATTCGTTTGATTTTCTTTTTTTTCATTCTAATAAATCGATAAATCAAACGAGAAAATTATCGATGAAAATAAAAACAAATATATTCTTTTGATTGACGGAATAAATATGGAGATTTTTTTTCCCATAGCCAGCAGAGAGGGAGAGAATTCTCCACGTGCATTAAATTTTTTTAATGAAAAAAAAAGTTCCAAACATACAAGGTCGCGTGCGAAAAGTACGAGTTATATATGTATACACACTGCCGACAGGTAGTTTTTTTTCTACCATCATCATCATCGTCGTCGTCATCATCATCATCATTGTTGGAATCAATCAATCGAACCATTGTGTACGAAAACATACAAAAAGAGATTAGGAACGTAAAGTGAAAGAAAAAAAAAATAAAATAAACCAATCTAATAAATCATCCAAGCATTCAACAACAACAACAACAACTTGATTGAGAAACCACACACACATAGACAAAATTTGAAACCATAATTAAATGTCAACCACCACCACCACCACCACCACCATCATCATCAATTGAATTTTAGCTTTTTTTTTTTTTTCATTTGAAAAAAAATCATAATTCATAATTCGATTTTAACGTGTTTCTATTGTTGTTTGTTGTTGTTGTTGTTGTTGAAAACAAATGATCAAAAGCAACAACCATAAACAACAACAACAACAACAACACTGCCAACAAATTATAATTAAAATTATCATAATGATCATTTATTGTATATGCTGGATGTTTGTTTGTTTGTTTGGCTATACAACGTGTTTGCTGGTTGACAATTGGTTTGACAATTATTAATCAATTTTTTTTTTGCTTTTCAAGGATCTTCGATTTTCAACAATTTTTTGTTGTTGTTGTTGTTGTTGCTGCTGTTTTTTTTTTTTCATTTATGAATCCCTCTCTCTCTCTCTATTTATCGAAAGGATTTCCTTTTCCTGAATAAAAAAAAATATTCTGTGCAGATTCCATGCTGCTGCTGTTGCTGAGCAGAGGATTTCTCTGTTTTTTTTTCATGAATTCAGAAAAAAAAAAATACCTGAAAAAATGATGAAATACGGAAATTGAATTGATTTTTTCAAGTGAAAAAAATTTCGAAAAAAAATTAGCCAATCGATTTTGTGTGTGTGTGTGTTTGTCTGATGGCCATTTGCTTTTGCAATTTGAAAACAAAGAAAAAAAATCCTTGACGTTTTTTTTTCACTGTTATCTTCTTTGAATGTTTTTTAATTTTTTTTTTGGGTTTTTTTTTCAATGAAAATTCTCTTGAATGAACTTGACATTCAAAAATTTTTATAAAAAAAATTGCCACAATCCATCTTGATAATGATGATTAGTATCTCCTTCCGGAAGGTTTTCCCATCTACACCCTTTATTATTATTCAATCAATCAATCAATCAATGAAAATTTAATGGAAAAAAATTCAAATCAACGAATCAAGTGAATTTGAATGATGATTTGATGGTAATTATTTCAATAAGACAACGACGACGACGACAACAACAACAAACATGCCAATCAAACAACAATCAAAATCCAATGATGATTATTCTTCATTGAAATGAAATGATGATGATGATGATGATTATCATCATTATAATTGATGATTTCCATTTTCCAATGATAATGATATAATTGTGTAATTTTTTTTTGTTGTTTCATTACAAAATAAATAACAGGTTTTCATGTGACACCAAAATTATCATCAATATGTCCGGAAAGTGTTGTACTCATGATATTGGGCGTTATTATTGGTTTGATTATGTATTTTGCTGGCATACCGGAAGAACGTTTACAACCATTGACGCCAAATCTATTTTTTCTATACATGTTACCACCAATTGTTATGGATGCCGGTTATCATATGCCTAATAGGTTGTTTTTCGATAATCTTGTATCCATTCTATTGTATGCTGTTGTTGGTACCATTTGGAATACATTGGCTATCGGTTTATCGTTATATGGTTGTTCAAAATTCGGTGTATTCGGTGAAGAGATACCATTTTTGGATATAATGTTATTCAGTTCCACAGTATCGGCTGTTGATCCAGTTGCCGTATTGGCTGTGTTTGAAGAAATACATGTAAATGAAGTGCTTTATATTTTAGTGTTTGGTGAATCACTACTCAATGACGGTGTTACCGTTGTACTATATCATATGTTTGAAGGATATGCTGAAATGACATATCATTATGGTGTTGATTCAATACAAACAATCGATTATATATCTGGTGTAGCATCATTTTTTGTAGTAGCCATCGGTGGTACAGCAATGGGTATATTTTGGGGTTTCTTGGCCGCATTTGTTTCACGTTTTACACATCATGTAAAAATTATTGAACCAATTTTTGTATTCGTTATGGCTTATCTGTCATATTTATCGGCCGAAATGTTTCATTTATCCGGCATTTTAAGCCTTACATTCTGTGGTATTACAATGAAAAATTATGTTGAAGAAAATATTACACAAAAATCACATACAACATTGAAATATGCAATGAAAATGTTGGCCAATTCATCGGAAGCGATTATTTTTGTATTTCTTGGCGTTTGTACTGTAAATGATCAACATCATTGGAATACGGCATTTGTTGCATTGACCATTATATTCTGTCTAGTTTATCGTACAATAGGTATGTTTTTGATTTATCAATCAATTTTGTTGTATTTATTTATTCATTCATTTTTGTTCCATAATTCACAGGTGTTCTCGTTCTGACAACATTAACAAATAGATATCGTTTACATCAAGTGAATCGTGTTGAACAATTCATTATGTCATATGGTGGTTTACGTGGTGCCGTAGCATTTGCATTGATTTTAATTATAAATCGTCAGATTATACATGCACGTGAAATGATGGTCACCACTATTATTGCCGTTGTTTATTTTACCGTATTTCTTCAAGGTATGACCGTCGGTACATTGGTGAAAATATTGAATGTACCACGTGCAAATAAATTTGAATTAACCATGAATGAACGGATTCATACTAGGGTATGTTTGATTGTATTATGTTTTTATTTACATGAATATGTGTCATTTTGTTTTTCTTTCCTTTTTTTTCTCATAAAGTTAATGGATCATTTGATGGCTGGCCTTGAAGATATATCGGGAATGATGATGGGCAATTATAAGTTACGGGATAAATTCCGTTATTATAATAATAAATATCTACGTAAATGGTTACTTCGTGACGCCAAAGAAATGGGAAATTTATCACGTAAAATATTTGAAACTTGTTCTCGTCTTGATTTACGTGATGCAATGACAATAGTTTCACGGCAACATTTAATGACTGCGGCGGCCACTATGAATAATGGTAATATCAACAATGTTGATGCTAGTGGTGTAGATAAATTTGCAAACATTGCCGCTTATTCAAATGCAAATTTTGTTGTCGATGAAGATGATTATAAAAATAATAATATTATGATGATAAAAAGAGGCAATATAACAACAACAACAACAGCAGCAGCAGCAGCAGCAGCAGCAGCAACAACAACAAGTTTACCAAGAATATTTCTAACCGTTCCTGGTAATCCAGCGTTAGCAACATCCGTTACAAATGGTGGTGTTGGTGGCGGTATGATGGCACCAATTATTGTTGATCCAAATCAATCATTAACAACATTATTTCGTACATTTACACAATCAAATTTGGCTGCATTATATAATAATAATAATAATAATGATGCTTCACCACCATCTGATCATTCATCGCAGAATTCATCATTTGAATTTGATGATGATTCAAAAGATGCCATTAAATCATTACCAAAACAGAATAATTTAGATTTCAATTATGACATCGGTACGGTTGTTTATTCACCAAGTTTAAAAGATTTAAAAGATGCTGAATTACATCATATTCTTAATGATGCAATGTTTAAACCATTTAAAAAGGTTTGTGCTCATTGTTGTTGTTGTTTTATTGTTGTTTCTCACATTTTTTTTTTGTTTCAAATGAATAGGCACATCATTATACACGTAGTGATTATTATGAAGAACCATTATCACATCCACCATTTCAACATCAGGTACGAATGCAGATACGTCGTCTAATATCGGAACGTGAAAGTCAACGTCGTCGTCGTCATACACATCATTCATCTTATCATCATACACCATCATTATATCGTGATAATAATAAAAAATTTAAATCACAAAATCAACAACAACAACAACAACAGCGACCAGATGATAATGAACAACAAATTGCAATGAAAAAAAATCAATCAATCACATCGAATGATCATAAAACAAAACAATATTATAAAAAACGTAAAACAAATATAAAACGTTCGAAATCTGAAAATGAAATTGATAATATAGATACAGAAAATGATTTAGACGACAAAAATGTTGATAATAATCATCATAATAATGATGATGCTAATAACAACAACAACAACAACAACGATGATGATGATGATGATGACGATGATGATGGTGGTATTACATTTACAGCTAGAAAAGCACAGAATAATGGTGATGATAATGTATTTATGGCCGATAAAACAATGAATAAATCAACGATGATGATGATGATGAATACAAATTTTCCATGGCGTCGAACATCATCAACAACACAATATAGTGAAACGGATAATTGTCAAGATGATTCGATAACATCGTTATCTAGTCAAGAACAACAACAACAACAACACAATCATCATCATCATCATAATCATAATCAACATTATCAACAACAACAACAACAGCAGCAGCAACAACAATTACCGCCAAAATCAAAATCATCAAATCGAAAAAAATTATTAAAAGATGGCGTTATACGACAACGTGAATTTCCACCATGGATTAATAATCGTGATTATGTTGATGATTATTGTTCACCAACCACCACATTGTTGGAGAGAATTAATTTTTTTGATAATATTAAATCATCACCATCGTCATCACCATCACGAACATCATCACCGTATCGAAAACAAAATTCTAATGATGATAATGATGATCGTGTAGCGACAAAAATCGTGGACAAGGTTGCTGCTACCGCTGCTGCTGCTGCTGCTGCTACAGCAGCACAATCACCAATGACACCTGCATCAACATTGAATAATAGTGGCCATTATCAGCCAAAAAAAGTGCCAAGTGTTTATGAAATATTTCAATTAGATAAAGATGGTCATTCGATTTATCCGATAAAATCATTATCATCATCAGCATCATTGGAAACACAAAATATGAAAACAATGGAAAAACAAATAAAAAATGACCAATCACAACAACCAAAACAACAACAACAACAACAGCAGCGACAGCAACAGGCAAGCTTTGGATCAAGTGATACTGTTATTGAATTTAAATCATCATCAAAATCGAATGATGGTCATTCTAAAACAAATACTAATGATAATCATAATGATGTCGATCATGAAGATAGTTTAGTGATTATTTCTAAATTGTGATATCGATCCAATCATCAAATTTTTATGCAACAAAATCTGTTTTTTTTTCTTCTGTTTAAAAAAAACAGATTTTATCTTGGAAATTGGAATGTCTCCAAAATCCAATCAATCAATCAATCAATCAATTTTTTCTAATGGAATAATAATCCAGTGTTTAATTTACTCAATTTTTTTTGCTCTTATAACTAGGGTTTTATCTATTTTTTTCAATTAATCGGATAATTGTGGTCTTTGTTTTTTTTTTTTTTTGTTTGAATTCAATTTTTGTTCCAAAAATTAAAATTTATTTGATTTTTACCAAATATATACCAGATGGCAGCAGCAGTTGTAAGTTTGAATGCTGTGATCAAATGATGATGATAATAATAATAAATTCCAATGAAAACACATTATTTTCAATTACTAAACACAATTTCATTTATATATCCAATTGAATTGGCAACAAATGAAATGAAAAAGAAAAAAATTATACCGGATAAACGGAAAAACATCTAGACTAAAATCTTTCGTTTTTTTTTCTTCAAACAAAAATTCTTTTAATAACATCCGATAACATCATCATGTTAATAAAATTAAAAATAAAAATAAGAGTGGTGTGGTTGTGGTGGTGGAATTCAAAGGAATTACTAAAAGAATTTCGATAATGTAAAAGATGAAGAGAATTATTCTTCTATATTCGAATGAAATTTCAATGTGTGTGTGCAATATGTGTGTGTTACAAAGGAATGATTTTTTATTTTATTGGAATTTCAATTTTTTGGAATTTTATTATTATTGTTATTGTATCTAAATCATTGCTGACTGGTGTCTGTTTTATTTTCATTTTTATTTACATTCAATGATGATGATTCAAATTGTAATTTTTCTTGTTGCTGTTGTTGTTCATCAATAGCAGTGGACATTATTTTATTATCGTCATCATCATCATCATCTTCATCTTCTTTTTCTTTTTCTTTTTTTTCATTATTATTATCATCATCATTATTTACATGTCTAATGATTGATGTACGAAAAATATGACCATCTTTTTTATTCTGATGTTCAAGTTGATCATTATGATCACAATGATGACAATCATCATTATTTTGTTGCTGTGTTTGTTGTTGACAGTTGACTATTTGTGCTGATACTGAACCGGTGGATGTTGTACCAGCACCAGCACCATCACCACCACCACCACCACCACCACCACCACCACCACCACCACCACCACCAAGATGACGTTCAGATTTACGATTTATAAATAAAAAAATAAAACAAAATGACATAAATGAACGTTGATGTTTGGCAATAATTTGTTTGGAACGTTTACGAAAATCTTCATTCATAAAACAATATATAAATGAATTATAACATACAGATGTCATTGCCCAAATATGTAATGTAAGAAATATATTCCAATGAAAATAAACAATATGAAAATCAATCAACAAATGATACATGGTTAATGGTAACCATGTGATTAAAAAACCGACAACAATCAACACAAGCATTGTGATACGTTTACGTTTTGCGTCCACTATACGACGATTTAATTCATTACAATAATGTTTTGCTAATTTTCCTTGTTGTGCAATAATGCGGCCAATACGGCTATATAAAATTGTTGTCATGCCTAATGGTAATAAAAATTGTGTGAATGTTGCCAATAATGATAATAATAATGGCATCTGTTCACGAATTGATTGTGGATAATGGGCACGACAACGTAATATCAGATTACCATTCGGTAATTTAATCCATACAACAAGATTAAATAATGTATGTGGCAATGCAAGCAATATCGATATGATCCATATGAATAGTATAGACATTTTTATACGAACACTACTCATTGAATGTGTAATATGATTGAAACCGATACGTGATGAAATGTCCACATTCGACCACCACCACCACCGGTTGTGCCTAATATTGAACGATAACGATGTAAACAAATAGCTGCCATTGTTAATGTTGAAACATAAACACTGGTCACCTGTAATGTTGGCATAATGATACAAAATGAATCTGGAAATGGCCAATTACGTAATAGAAAACGTGCACAATTGAATGGTATATTGAATATAGTGGTTATTAAATCGGATATTGTTAATGAAAAAATCAATATATTCGTTGTTGTACGTAATTTTGGTGTTGTATATATTACATGCAATACAAGATAATTACCACAAAGTGATAAAAACATGATCATACTATATGATATTATGACCAATATATTACGTATGTAATGATTATTTTTCAATGATTCTGGTAATGAAGATTCTGGATCATTATTATCATTATTTGATGATGATGAAAAAGATTCCATCGGATCATCTGTTGTCGTTGATGATGGTATCCATTCCTGTTGGATATCTTCATATGTTCGTACTTGTTGCGTTGATTGATCATCATCATATTCATCATCATAATCATCTTTATCATTCGTTTTCAAATACATTGATTCAATCAATTGAAGAATTGTATCCGTTGGTAAATGATTTATCGATATAGATGAATGATTATCATTATCATCACTTTGATTATTATTAATATTTGATGATGATGATGATGATGATTGTAAATAACGTAAATGTATCATTGATGGCTGCATTACAATCATTTCAGTTGAATGTCCACCATATTCATATTCATCATCGTCATCGTCATCGTCATCATCATTATTCATAATATTTTCAGTGTCATTTGACAATATTGATGATGTAACCGATTCCAATAATTCAGCCGTTGCTGTTTGATTAAAATAATGATGTCTGACAATATTACCATCATTGGTGGCTGTAACCAATATTAATGGTAACGATGTTGTTGAATTGGCTATAATTATATGATATAAATTCGATGCTTCTTTTGCCGGCAATGATGATGATGATGATGATGATTCATTTTCATTGGAATTTAATAACACATTTGGATATGATAATAATTGATGAAATAGACGTCTATATGATTCATCATTCAAATCATCATCAATTGATGGTATTGTTTCATTATTATCAAAATTTATTGTCGTCCATGATGAATTGATTGTCAGACAGATAAATATTGAAAATGCAGCCATTATAATCATGATGATCATCATCAATAATAGCCGACGTGGTTGCTTCATAATCATCATCGTCATTGTGTTGTTGTTAGATTTTCATCTGGTTTTTTTTTGATTTTTGAAGACGTTTGTTGTTGTTGTTGTTGTTCCTATGATGAAAATTAAAAAAAAAAAATGAAAAAAAATTCTTGAAATCATCATCATAACTAGAATTCAACAAGCACAAAATTCAGTTAAATGTCTGAATCCACATTTGGGTGAACTACTGTTCGATTCGATTATGTCCATCCATAATCCATTTACAAACGGCAACAAAATTATTTGAAAATGGAAAAGTTTCTTTTGTTGTCGATTGTTTTGCTCGTTTTTTTTTCTTCTTTGAATGGAAATGGTAAAAAAAAAAATTTTTGCTGTAAATGTGTGTGCGTGTGTATGCGAAGACGTCACTAACATGAATTGTTTGTAACAATTTTCACACAATAATGAAAACAAATAAACCGGGTAAACAAAAACAAAAACAAAAAATGTCATTAAATGAATGAATGAATGAATGACAGAAATTGTCTCTTTTTTTGTTTGTTTGTTTGTTTGTTCCATTTCAAATGGCAATTGTAAACATACAAAATACAACAATCACGAACGATGATTTTGTCATTCAATAATATGGACATTGGTTGCATTTGAAAATTGTCAATTATAAAATTTATGATGAATGATCATGAAAAAAAATGAAACACCAAAAACATACATACAATTTGGATGAAGATGACAACCTACACAAACAATCAAAAAATTTTACATCATCAAATTCAACGTTTTTGATAAAAATGAGGAAAAAAAAAAGAATCAACATGTAAATAATAACACTTTCAAGTCATTATAAGACGGATTTGACTTCCTCCCATAACAGGTGAAATTGAATGTTCATTGTTTTCCAAATCATCATGAATTTTTGAAATATTTCTGTATTCAATTCTTTCTATTTGATGATTACTGAAAATATTCAATTCTGATGATTAGAAATAGATTTCTTTTGAGGATTCATTCTGATTCTTTTTTTCTTTTGATGATGATTATAATTTTATTTTTATTGAAAGTGATGATTTTTCATGTTTGATGATTATGAATTAGTAGAAGAAGGAAGAATAATTCTAATATGCTCCATGAATAAAGAGAAAGAAAGAGAGAGAATCAACCATCAAATATATGGACAAAAACAGATAATAAGAAGAAAAAAACGAATTTTTTTCATGCTTTTCCTTTATATTGTGCCTTGGGAATTTCCGATTAATGGACAAACAAACAAACAAACAGGAGAGATAAAAACCGAAATACCATTAAAGTGAGCCAATATTATCATCATCATCATCAAGTGAAAATGTAGTTTTTATTTGTGTTTGTATTATATAATGAATTACATACATACCGAATATGAAAAAAAACTCATGTTAATTGATCATTATTCGATTTCTAATGGACAACAAACTTCCAAACACACACACACACATAAACAAACAAACAACAGACATCATCATTTTGATTTTGAAAAATTTAAATATATCTGAATTTGATGAAAATTCAAATGGAAAAACCAAACAAACAAACAAACAAGAAATTCACATAAAAAAGAAAAACAAATTTCAATGTCATGGATTTCTAGGATTTAATTTTGTTGCTTGTTGATTGACATACACACACACACACACGCACATAAACTGTTTATGTTGGCCGGTAATTCTTTGCATGTCCGTCACCCGTTTGTTTGTCAATATCGATTGAATATGATCCAGATGAATGTATCATCATCAAATATATATATATGGCGCCAAAGCTTTTTTTTTGGCTCCACAAAAACAGAATGAACGCATGTCTGTTGCTACCATTTTGATTCAAGATTGCGCAGTTGGGTTTGTTTTTTTTTTTTTTTTTTTTTTTGCTGCACTATTTTTGGATTCTGGACATATTTTTTTTTGCTAATGTTGATGTTTTTTTTCCATTTTTCTTTGCCATCATGTTGTTGTTGTTGTTGTTGTTTTTAAACAAACATAATAACATTTTAAATACAGTGCATTTATTTTTTTTTTTTGGCTTGAAAACGGGTAGATCATAACTTTCACTGTGTGTTTGTCGTTTTATATGTTCATTTTTTTTTTTTTTTTGGTTCTGTTTGAACATCAAATAAAACATGAACATTCCATAGTGAGGAGAGAAGAAAAAAAAAGAGAAAATGAAGAAAATTAATTTGATTTAACCAAATAATCATCATCGAAAGAGTTATAATTTGATCATTATTGACAAATTCTTTTGGAGAGAGAGGGAGAAAGAATTTCGGCCCTTTTAAATGCCATCATCAATATATTTGATAAAAGCCATATTAACTTGTCATACAATCGATAATAAGAGAAACAGAAAAAAAACATTGCAACATTCATAAACAGAAAAAAAAAAAAAATAATTAAACAGAATTAAAAATGTCAAACTATGATGATGATGATGACAACAACAACCATCCAGAAATTCAAAGATTCAAATGAATGAATGAACAAACGAAAAAAAACAAACAATCAGATTAAAAATTCAAATTTAAATTTAGACAGTGAAGCCAACATTCACAGATACACAGATGTTTGACCATTCTTCACTTTCAAACTAAACTATAATTGGTTGATTAATTTTTTCATTTGTTTGTTTCACAATTCAAATGGATTAATTTTTTTTTTTCTCTCTCTCTCTTTTTGTGCTACGTTTCATATTTTATATTGTTTTGGACACAAAATAAAAATACAGAAATAAATTCCATATATGTTGAAAAAGAAAACATCAGCTGTATAATGAACTATGATGATTGTAAACTAGAGGTCTCTAGAAACTTCTAGTATATTATTTTAAATCTATATAAATGAAAATTTTTCCTTTAATAATTGTATTATGTTTTGCCATTTTCAATAAATGCTATCATTGATTAAATACACATTTTTATGAACAATATATATGTTTCCACCAATTGTCATCAATAATCTCAACCAATGGATACAATTCAAACAAAGAACATATGATAATTAAAAACCTTGAAATTTGTAACGATCAAAACGAAAAAAAAAAAATTTTTTTTGTTCGTTTGTTTGTCAATGTCATTATTTTTGGTTGTTGAACAGACAATAAAAAAAACAGAAAACAGAAACCCACTTACACTGAAAAAAAATCACATGATCATTTGTTGTATACTTTCAATTGTTGTTTTTCTCTTTTCTCTTTTCTCTTTTCGTTTTCATTTTTCATTTTTGATTCAGTTTTGTTCAATGATGACCATGGCCATGATAATGATGATAATTGGGCATTGGATGATGCAATATTGATTTTGCAATTTCAATACAGAAACAAAAAATTTTGTGCCCACTTCTTTTCGTCGTCGTCGTCGTCGTCGTCGTCGTTGTTGTTGTTGTTGTTGTTTTATGTGCCCATTCAATTCCATTCCAGAGAAATGTAAATTATGCAAATTCAATTTATCATTGATTTGTGAAATGAAATTGTTTTCTTCTTCTTCTTATTCTTCTGTCAAACATTTTATGATGAATGAAATAGTGGAAATTTTGATTTGAATTCGCTTTCATCATCATCATTATTATTAATTTTGTGGTGACGTGGCAACGTAATTTAATCAGATTTTTTTTTTTGTCTACTTTTTTGTTGTTATTGTTGTTGAGACAATTGAATAATTTGTTTTCTTCTTATCGTTTGTTGATTGATTGCAATTATTCATCGATCGATTCGGTGTGATTTTCACATTCTGATTGTGAGTAGTCTGTCTGTGTGTGTGTGTGTGTGTGTGTGTTTGTACATTGTCAACAATGTTTAAAATCTTTTCAAAAAAAGTTTACTTGTTTTAAGCTCTTCATTATTCTTTTTTCCAAAGAATAATAAATTCATACGGTTTCTTCATACACACACACACACACACACACACACACACTGAATTAGATTTGGCCAGAATTAACAAAAACAACTACAACAACAACAATGGAAAAAAAATTCCAATTGGTCAAGAATTGTTGTGAATAGAAGTGAAACAAAATTTGATTTTATCGAATTTTCCTAATTTTTTTTTCTTTTAATTTCTGGCTTATTTATGTATGTATGAGTAGAAAAAAAGTGGAAATGAAAATAAACGAACAAGTGTGAAAAAAATGAATACAATGGTCATTGAATTTATGAAAATGATGAAACAATCATTTTGTTCATTCTATACAATAATGATCAATACATTTGACTATAATCATGATATTAAGCAATCAATGATGAAAAGATTTATTGTCCATAATCATGATGATAATGACCATGATCATGATATTGAAAATGGTGGCCATTCATTATTGTTTGACAATGAAAATTACAATGATCATGATGATTATGATGATGGTGAAATGACAACAGAAAATAATGAAGAATCAGAAGCAGAATATTCCGATGATTGTAATAGCGAGTCCACCGATGGCACCACGAATACCAGCATAAAAACATCTTTATCATATTCAAATGATGATTATAATAATGAAATTTTAAAATCAAATTCGCAACCAGAATCAGAATCAGAATCAGGATCATCATTATTATTGTCCAAACAACAAGAATATGAAAAAAATTTACCGAATCAAACAACGATAACAATGTGTAGTTTATCAGCAAACAACAATTATGATAGACAATTGATTGACAACAACAATGAATGGCGAACAATATTCTTGGGAAATAATTATGATTCTCCTCCAGAATTGTCATTTTCATCGACATCGACATCAACATCATTTATGAATGGATAAGAGATATGCATCAAACAAGAAGGAACAGAATAATTATAGAAGAAATTTTTCGTAAACACACAAAATTAGAAATGGAGAAAAGTTTCGAAAAACAAAAGTTTTCTATAAGCGGAAACAAAACAAAACCGAACAAAAATTAAAAGTGGAGTAATTAAAACTTTTTTTTTTCTTTTTCTGTTTTTTTTCGCTTGACATTATATTATAATATAATATAATATATAACACATGATATGTGGATGATATTTTGCATTACTGCCCAAAAAACATACATGAACTGGTTTCAGGAATATTCTTTATTTTTTTTCTTTCTTGCTCTACTGATCAGATCTGATTGAATGTAGAGTTTTGATTTGAATATTCATAATTTTTTCTAAGTGAAAAAAAAACAGAGAAAAGAAAGCGGAACGCGTGTGTAGGTGGGGAGTGGGCGGCAGTTGAAGTACACTCATACCCCGCTTAACGCTGCCCCGTTTAGCGCTGATTCGATATAACGCTGTATAATTACCCTACATTGCATTACATTGTTACATTGTATATGAAGGGTAAAAATGCATTATGTAAAGATAGCCCCGCTTAGCGCTGTTTCGCTTAACGCTCAGAATTTTTGGAACGTAACCCCCGCGTTAAGCGGGGTATTACTGTATTATATGGCCAATAACATGGTTCATTTGTGTGTGTGTGTAGTGAATGTGGTTTATTATTCAAGATTTTCAGGTGACACAGCAACACTTGAGAAAAAATCCTTTTTTTTCAAGGGCCTTTCAAGTTTGGCCTTCAAAGCCCAAACTTTTATTCAGTATTTTTTTTTTTTTTTTTTTTTTTGGATTCTATTCATTCGAATAATCATGAATAAAACGGTTGATGACTTACAACGCACACACAGTGTTAACAAGTTTTTTATCATTATTAATATTCTTCATTGGTACAGAATTCAAAAAATCGCTCTCCATACTAAGTGGCTGAATTCTGAATTGCCATCATCGTCATCATCATATGTTATTTTATGTGATCAATGAATTAAGAATTCTAGAATTTAGATTACAAAATTTCTGATGAAATCTGCAAAAAAAAATTGAATTGAATTGAAATGAAATGAAATTCTGATTTTTTTTTCATCATCATCAGAAATGAGAAATTACAAGAATTTCTTTTGAATGAATGAATAAATGTGAAGCCAAATGATTTGATGCTCATGATTTTCTATTGTTTAAATGGAATCAAAATTGATTCCATTTCATTTTACATCAATGATTCATCATGTGTTTTTTTTGTCTGTGTGTGTGTGTGTCTGCGTGTGTTGGCGGGGATCATGTTTCTTCTTTTTTTTTATTTGTAATGACCATTGTCCATTTTTCTTTTGTTTTTTTTTCTTAATGCCATTGTTATTGTTTGTTTGTTTCAGATTATTTTTTTTTCAATTTTTTTTTTGCCGTAAGACAAGATTTTCGATTACGATGAAATACATTTAAAGATTGATACATTAATGATGAACTGATGATCCCAATCTATTGATCAATAATGGATTGGTCATCATCATCATCATTTTACTTGTTTTGATCAATCAGAGTGTGACACAACAATAATCGAACATACAACAGCCACACACACACACTGAATGCAGGCATGAAATTTTTTTTTTGTAAATTCTTGCAACACAGAATTAGAACATAAAAAAAATAGAGCAAGTAGGCGCTGTTGTGTTCGCTGAAGGGGGAGGGGGTTAGATTCGATTTTTTTTTAGAAATTAAAACATGAAAATTGATTTTTTTTTTGCTGTTGTCATTTGTAAAGTTCATTTTATTCAATTATTCTGATTAAAAAACAAATTTTTTTTTTGCCATTTCCATTTGATCTGATTATGAAATGTTTCCGTTTTCCGTTATCTTATTGTGTGTGTGTGTGTGTGTGTTTTAAAAAGAAAATGAAAAACAAAACAAAATCAAACGAAGAAGAAGAACAAAAGAAAGGAAATTTTCAATTTTAAAATGAAATTCAATCCAATTCCAGTCATTAATTGATCCGTGTTCCATTTTTTTTTTTGTTTTTTTTTTTGTTTGTTTGTTTGTATTTTAAGAACTAAAATTGAAAAATAAAACACACACACACACACACACAAACATCAAATTGGAACAAAATTTTTCAATTTCATTCATTTGAGGATTATTTTTTTTTTTTCACCATTTCTTTTTGTCATCACAGAATAATAAATACAAAAATTATTCTATTGAAAGATTAAAAAAAAAAGATTTTTATTATTATTATGACACAGAATTTTCATAATCACAACAAAGCAAAGATTGAAAATTTATAAAGATTTCAAATTCTTGAGAGAGGGAGAGAGAGAGAAAAAAATAATTCCATCATATATGGATTTTGAAATTTTTTTTTTAATCATCATCATTATTATGATGATCATCATCATCATGATCATCATCATCAACAACAACAACAACAGATGAATTATTATAGGAACGTGATGAAATACGACCAGAACGTCGTATTTGAATTGGATTATCATTATCATCATCGATGGAACATGCACGCCGTTTACGAACAATTCTTGAGCGTTTATTATTCGTCGATGATTCTTTTTCCCGTTGACGACGTGATAATTCTTCATCAACATAATTGGAAATTTGTTCCAAAAATTCAGAAACTTTTTCCACTAATAATTGTTTGAAATTCATCCGCTGAAACCATAACGATGGCAATGATGATGATGATGATTGTGATTGATTGAAATTATCGATATTTTTAATTAAAAAAATTTTCTGCTGTATCGAACGTGTACGTAAAAATTCATTCAAACTTCCATGGCGAAATTTACGTTTCGGTCTTCTTCCTCTACGTTTAATAATTAATTGTTGCTGCTGCTGCTTGTTGTTGTTGTTGTTCATCCGGCAATTCAATAAGATTCGAATCATCGATTCGAGATGATGATGATGACGATTGTCGTAATATTGATTGTTGTAAACGTTCATCACTACAATTATTATCCGGTCTTAATCTTGATAATAATGCTGGCCATAAAAATAATGATAAGAATATTGTACGTAATTTTTGATATTCAACATTATCATCATTGTTGTCATCATTATTCATCATTTGATATTGATTTTCAACTGAATGTATAAACATTGCATTGTATAAAAATTGCATCAATACATATGCATATGTTGTTGAATAATTTGGTAAAAATAATGAACGAATTTCGTTGAATTGTTGTTGTTGTTGTTGTTGTTGTTGCCGTTGATTGATTGAAACAGAAGTGGTGGCCAAATAGAATCTTAATGTATCCAATGATGATGGATTTACACTATCACCGTCGTCATAGTCATCAGTTTGATCGTAATCAACAGATGGTGTCACTTCAGTAATATCATTACTAATATCTGGATCTAATAATTCACGTAAAACAGTACGTATCATGTCGGCACAATGTAAATCACTGTTTGAATCATAAATACAGCGGCGTTGAAAAAAATTAGCCAATGGTTTAAGATGTTTATATAGTTGTATACATGAATCGATTGTCCATTGTTGTTCACAATTATCATCATTTGGCCGTGTCAATACTGTTAATGCTGTTGGTAAATTCATTGTTGTCGTTGTTTGTTTGTTCATCATCATCATCATCATCATCATCATCATCATCATCATCATCATCATCATCATCATCATCATCATTATCATCATTATCATTATCATCATTATCATTATCACCGCTAGTTGAATTTTCATCATCATTTTGACCATCTGGATTATGTTTACCATCGATAATCATCTGTTGAATATCGGACAATTTTCGTATATAATTTAATAATTTCATAGAATTTTTAGGCAATTTTGGTTGCGATATTTGTTTCCACGATAAACGTTTTGTTTTCACTGTTTGTAAACATTCCATTAATTGTTTTTCATTGATTGGTTGTTGTTGAAAAAAATTACTAGGTATATATCGTGTTAATAATCGTACACGATGAAATAATTGATGTGCATTACGGTATGGAAAATGATTACGATTCAAACGTATATAATCAATTTTTCCATCAACACGTAAATCATCGGCACATGCTAGCATCAATTTCATATCATCATTTAATTTCCAATCACCACGTTGTTGTCGTTGTTGTGATAATATCATTGTATAACGTTCACGTATCTGTCTATTTGTACGATTCGGTAAATGTTGTGCAATCTTTACATAGATGCCTTCATTTTTTTCAATATAATTTTGATAATATTTATGTGCAGCAAAAATTATCGTATCCTCTAGCTGTGTCCAACGTTTCCATCGTTTCCAATTTGATGATTCAAGTAGCTGTTGATTATTGAAATGTTTTATTTGTGATATTCGTCGACCTTCATGTACACGGAAAACATATTTCCAATCCACTTCACCGGCATTTGTACGTGCTAGTTCAATTAAATGTGAAAGTTTTTCCGCTTCCTCACCTTCAATTGGTCCAGTCATATGCATCGATTTTGAATGTCGTGATTGATAACGGGAACAACATTGCCATGCTAGACGATGACTACCAGTAACGGACAATTCGGCCGCTACTTGATCCCAATTATTTTCACCATATTTTTCAATCAATTCTTTAAGACGTACATCTTCATCTTCGGTCCATTCATTACGATTAACACTGGAATGTAGATAATTATTGTAATAAAGTTCATAATCATTTTCATTTCGATCTTCGTTTTCACATAATTTTGCAATGGCTAACCAATCGATTTGTGGACAGAATCGTTCCGGTTCTTCTTGTGATAATCGTTTCATTGCTAATTCAGAATTCAATCGATTAACTTCTTCAGTTTGTTCGGCTGTACGTGCTTTTAATACTAACAATTCTTCAATACGTTTGACAATCGAACGTGTCTGTTTGAATAGATTTTGTGATTGAACTTCATTACGAATGATTTTAATTTCACTTGTTTTCCAATTACGAACAGGACATTGATGATGCAAACACATTTGGATTCGAGTATCCAGAACATATTCATGTTCTGGATTGAATAGATTCGGTGCACTAAAACCACGATCATCACGAAGATATGGTTTATAAAATTTTGTCAAAAACATTGTTGAATTTCGTTTCTCCAAATGTGTTAGATTGCGAACAGAATTTGTTGATGATTCATCATCATTATCATCATCATCATCATACTCATTATCACGAAAATCTAAATCTTGTAATTGTTGGATTTTCTGTCGTTTCCATTTGAATTGTTCGGTCAACATTTGATTCATTTCTAAGGCAATTTTAATCTTTCGAATTTCTTCATCATCATCATCATCTTCTTCTTCTTCATTTTCATTGTTCACATAATTTTCCGATTGATTACTTGATGTTTCGTTTGGATCCATTTTTATATTTAAAGTTTCGGTTTTTTTTTGAAAATTTTCCACTCAGAACCTCGTTAATCACGTGCGTGCATATAATAATGAAAAAAAATAATTTGTGTTGTGATAAATGAAGCAACTATTGAAACACAGCAAGGCTTTTGTTGTTAAAATAGAATTCTTTTTTTTTTCGTTGATGCATTTGTTTTGTTTTTCCCAATTGATGATGATGATTAGGATGGTTTTTTTTCAATTGAAAATTTTTGTTTCCTGATTTAATTTTGTTCAATTAACGATAATTGAATTTCTTCGATTTTTCATCATTTTTTTTGGCTTTGTTCTAGTTTTTTTTCAAAACATTTTTCACTTTCCAATAAGCATTTGCCACATTCATCATGACAATCGATTCGGAAATCAATCCATCATCGTCATCATCATCGATTGTCAATCAAATTCTGGAATTGGTCATATTCGATTTCGATCAAACAATCATTGATTGTAATACAGATACTTTTATCAATCAACTTGCACCGAATGGTCGTATTCCAGTGGAATTTTGGTCCAAAAATATAGTATGGACTGATTATATGCAAAAAGTATTCAATTTTCTACATGAAAATGGTATTCGTCATGATGATTATTGTCAATGTTTTAGTCATATGAAATTTGTACCCGGTATGATTGAATTGATTCGAAATCTACATAATGGATTGCCTTCAAATGGTAAAAAATTCGAAATGATTATCATATCAGATGCAAATTCATTTGCAATCAATGAAATCTTGGCACAAAATAATCTTACCAATTGTTTTCAGTAAGTTTATACAGATTTATTGATTGATTAATTATTAATCTTTTTGTTTTTTGTTTGTTTGTTTGTCCTATAGGAAAGTATTCACAAATCCGGCCTGTTTCGATGAAAATGGTCGTCTTTGTATTGAATATTATCATGAACAAAATGAATGTCAATTATCAGCAAAAAATCTTTGTAAAGGACATGTACTTGAAGATTATATTCAACAACGAATCAATGAGAATAATAATAATAATAATAACCATTATTATAATCGTTTACATTATGTTGGTGATGGATCAAATGACCTTTGTCCATCATTACGATTATCATCGAATGATTTTGTCTATCCACGTTCTGGATATAAATTGGATCATTTGATAAGAGAAAAACTGGAACAACAACAACAACAGCAACAGCAATCTGAACAATTGAAAGCTCGTTCTATTCCATTTAGCCATGGTGATGATATCTGGAACAATATTTTAAATGCCAATAGAAATTAGAAAATTTTGACAATTTTTTTTTCTCTTTGAAATTATTTATTTATTTATTTGTTATTATTATTAAATTTTGAATTTAGTCAAATTAAAAGATGTGTATATTTGTATGTATTTTAAATCAATCAAAATAAATGATCCACATATATATGATAAATGATAGTGTGTATGTATGTATGTATGTATGTTGGTGTTTACAATTGTAAATTTTCTGGTATTGTATTACCAGAATTTTCGACAACTTTTATCAATTTTTTATGTGAATATTGATTTTCAAAAAATCTTTCAGTAATAAATGTAAATGCCAAACCTTTGGCACCATTACGGCCACAACGTCCAATACGATGAACATAGGTTTCTACGTCCACAGGAAAATCATAATTGACCACCACTTCAATGTCTTTAATATCTAAACCACGTGATGCAACATCAGTGGCAAATATGATCATTATTTTGCCATGATTAAAATTTTGAATAAGACGTTCACGTCGTTCTTGTGCAACATCGCCATGTATGTAATCACATCTGGCGATATTCAAATCGTTCATTTCATCACACACCGATTGTGAACGTAATTTTGTCGATGCAAATACCAAAATTTTAAAGCCATCAAATTCACGGATTATTTCTTGTAATAATATTTTCTTTTCAAATTCACGACAACGAAATAGATGTTGTTTAATATCGACACAAGCTTTTAGGCCATACAATGGACCAATCGAAACTAATGAACGATTCGAATTCAATAATGGATCAGCCAATTCTTGTACTTTTTCCACCCATGTAGCTGAAAACAATAATGTTTGTCGTTCAGAAATTTCTGGACAAAGATCGATAATTTTTTTGATTTGTGGATAAAAACCCATATCAAACATACGATCAGCTTCATCCAAAACTGAAAATGAATTATAGATCAACATAAAAAATGAATCAATATGAATTATCATTCTAAATTTGAAAATTTCCTACCTAAATAAGTACATTTTGACAAATGAATGGCGGAAGCTTCAAGAAAATCATTGATACGTCCCGGTGTACCAACAATAACCTGTGGTCGTTTTGATCGTAAATCGTTATATTGCATCATACGTGATGCACCACCATAAACACAGAGTGATTTGAATAAACCAATTGATTCGAATACCTCATTTGTTTGTATGGCCAATTCACGTGTTGGTGATATGACCATCACTTTTGGATAACAACCAGAAGATTTTTGTCAAGATCATCAGCATTATTCATCATAAAAATTGTTGCTGGTACTACGAATGCCAATGTTTTTCCTGAGCCAGTTTCTGCTTTACCTATTTTTGTTGTTGTACAATCAAGTGATAAAAAAAATGAAAAAAAAAATACAAATTTTTCATACCAATAAAATCACGTTTTTCCAAAATAATCGGTATGGCTACCGCTTGTATTGGTGTCGGTTTTCGATAATTAAGTTCGGCCAATTTATTCGACAATTTTGATGGTAAACGATTATCATTTTGATAATCGAGAATTGGATCACGAAAATCATCAGGATTTTCAAAAACAAGACCATGTTCTTTACAAAAACGTTCCATTTTTTTTTCAATAGAAAAAATCAAAATTCAAAATTAGAAACTATGACCGATGACGATGAAGTTTTGTTGTTTGTGACAAAAAAAAAAAAATCAAAACGGGAAGCACACACACACACGCACACTATTGAGCGCTCAACTCAGCATGTTACATCATCAGTGCCCTCTACAATCATCATCAGAAAACTTTTCCAGAAATTCGAAATTCTATATCCGATCATAATTTTCGGCAAAATTTCTCTAGTTTCAGCAACCAAAACAACAACAACAACAACAAAAAACAATTCGACCTTGAAATGAATTTCATTCATTATCTGGTGATTGTTGAGTCCACTTATTTCGTGGCAAAAAAAAACATCAATTCGCTTATCTTTTCTTGTCGTTCCAGCGATAAATTTTTTGAATACATAATGAATTTTTCTTTTCTTTTCTTTTCTTTTTGGATTCTTTTCAATTTCGTTATCATTGGCTCGATTCGATTTTTGGTTTCCACATGATAAAGATGTTAATGAGCAAGATTCTTTCTTCTTTTTTTTTGACATTTCACACAACGATTGTGTCATCATTTTTTCATATGATAAAAAAAAGAATCATATGATGATGATGGTGAAGAAAAATGTCCAGAAAAAAGTCACGTTTGTATCATTAATTTTTGATTTTTTTTTCTAATTTTCTAATTTTCAGCTTGATATTGTAGAAGAAGAAAATGTAGCTTGAATATTGGCAAGAAACGAAATTCCAAAGTTGTTGCCTTGGTTATTAGTGTCTCTTGTTATCATCGTCATCATCATCATTATTATTGGTTGGATGTGATTTTTTTTTTTTTGGTTCACAACAAAAAAAAGATGAAATTGAAACAACCGGAACTAAAGAATCGATAAAACGCTTGCGCGTATCCAAAATTCTTCATCATTATTAAAATAAAATTGACATTCATGAAATGGCAATCATTCGATATTCAACATTCATTTCGTTCACACACACTAACAAAAAAAAGTGATTATTATGGCACATTTACGACGTATACATTTTCAAAGTAGAAAATGTTGTTCATCTGTATCGGCTGCTAGTATGCCGGATTTTAGTGATAATTATTTTGAAGAACTTAAAGTATGTATAATTGTTTCTGGTTTCTGATTTTTAAATCCCGTTTTTTTACCTGCCTTTTTTTTACAAAAGAGAAAGATTCGCTTCATTTGCGATGATGGTATGAAACAGACTGTTATTAATAACAAACAAAATGATGGTCATGGCGCGAAACTTTGTAATAAAATCAACAACAACAACAACAACAGCAGCAGCAGCAGCCACAAAAACAACAACAGCAATCAGATCATCATAATGCCGTAATATTTTCATTGAAAAATCAAGTTGCTGGTCTAGTTCGAGCGCTAAGAATATTTCAAGAATTTAATATCAATGTTCGTCATATTGAATCAAGAAAATCTCGACGAAAAAATTCACAATATGAAATCTATTTAGACATTGATTGTGATGATAGGGAAAAAATGCAACAATTACTTCATCAACTTCGGTATGTTTCTATGCTTATTTCTTTTTTTTTGAATTTATTTTTCAATTTCAATGCTTATCATCATAGACATGAAGTTGATTGTTGTACATATGAAGAATTTGAACGTATTTGTAATTCTCCAAAATCGAAAGAACCACCTAAACAATTACCATCGATTCTTACATCACAATCATCATTTGATAAAGGTGATCTTATCGGCGAAGATGGTATGCCATGGTTTCCACAACGTATTGCTGATCTAGATTATTCTTCGAATCGTGTTTTAATGTATGGCGCTGAATTGGATGCTGATCATCCGGGATTCAAAGATCCTGTTTATCGACAACGAAGAAAATATTTCACTGATTGTGCAATGAATTATCGACAGTAAGTTTTAATTTTGATTGATTTTGGATAATTTTTTTTTCAATCCATTTTTCTCATAGTGGACAACCAATTCCACGTATTGAATATTCGGATGAAGAAACTAGAACCTGGGGTGTCATCTATACTGAACTGCGTAAATTGTATGAAAAACATGCTTGCAAAGAATTTAATGATAACCTGGAATTATTGGAACAACATTGTGGTTATCGGGCTAATAATATTCCACAATTGGAAGATATTTCTCAATTTCTTAAACGTAAGGAACGATTTTAATTTTGAAAAATTTTTAAAATACTTTTGTGTTTTTTTATTGTGTATGTGCAGAACGAACTGGATTTCAACTTCGATGTGTAGCTGGATATCTTTCGGCACGAGATTTTCTAGCCGGTCTAGCATTTCGTGTATTTTATTGTACACAATATATTCGACATTCAAGTGATCCATTCTATACACCGGGTATATGCCATTCCTGACGATGATGATGATGATGATTATTATTAATGAATTTTTTCTCTATTAGAACCGGATTGTTGTCATGAATTATTGGGACATTGTCCATTATTAGCTGATCCAAGTTTTGCACAATTTTCTCATGAAATTGGTCTAGCATCGTTGGGTGCAAATGATGAAGAAGTGGATAAATTGGCTACCTGTTATTTTTTCACCATTGAATTTGGTCTTTGTAAACAACAGAATGAATTAAAAGTATATGGTGCCGGTTTATTATCATCGGTTGCTGAACTGAAACATGCTGTATCTGGTTCAGCACATATACTTGCATTCGATCCAATATTAACATGTCAACAGGAACCAATGATAACAACATTTCAGAAAATGTATTTCTATACAGATTCATTTATGGATGCAAAAGAACAGATGAGAGAATTTGCTAAAACCATCAAACGTCCATTCGGTGTACGTTATAATCCATATACACAATCGGTAGAAATATTGAGTAATACGAAAAAAATCCTCAATCTAGTAAGCGAATTAAAAGGTGATCTTTGTATTGTAACAAATGCATTGGCTAAAATTAAAGAAGATAATGACGATGATGGCGTTGGTGGTAATGATTCAGATAATAATGGTGATACTATCCATGGTGCTAATGATCATGATCATCTTGTATTGAATGAAGCTGACGCTCGTCGTAATAGTCAAGCAAATTTAGATCAAATGATTATGGATATGAACAAAATACAGGTATCATGTGAAAATCATCAACAACAGCAACAACAAATGAATCATCAGGAATAATAATTCTGAGAAAAAAAAACATTCATTTTAATCAATTCAATTAATCAATATATAAAAGAAATAATTAGATAATAATGTAGCTGTGTGTGTGTGTGTGTGTTTCTGTGTGTGTGTGTGTGTTTTTAAATTTGTTTGTGCATCAATATGATAATGATGAAATAAAATAAAATTAAAAAAAAATGAATGAAAATGAAATGTGAGTAAAGCAAAGCAAAAAAAAAATCGTCAATCATCATTAGGATTATTATGAAAAAAAAAGAAATACTTGTGATTATAATCAATTTGATTATCCAGATATTTGATTCGTTTGTTTGTTTCGAATTATATATTTTTTAAAGCTGGAATGCCAACTATAGTTGAAAATTGGATGTAATGAATGAAATGTGGATGAATTGGGTGGTGGTGGTGGTACTGGTAGTGGTGATGGATTGGTTATAAAATATGAATAAATTCTTTATGAACAACCACAACGTTCAACAACCATATTGGGTAAAATTCCATAAATGACATTATAATCACTATCCAGATAAAGCATCGATATTGAAGACATTTTCCGTGGTGAACAACATGGTCCAATTGCATTCATATTAATCTGTTGTATTAAATGTGTATGTGGATATTGATTCATCAATACGAATGGACATTCACCACTACAATAATTGGCTTGATAACGTTTTGGTGCTATAATCCAATCCCAGCCAAATTGTTCAAAATCCACCGTTAATGGATAACGACAACAACGTACTTCAGCTGATTTATCTTCACAATTTAAACCAATGGTACGTTTACGACGTATCGATTGTGATGGGTTTTTTCGATCCACACCAATTTCTATGAATGGTCTCTGTGTAACAAACAAACAAAAATCACAATTTATCGTTCTTAATCACAATCCACATCAATCCATTCATACATACCAATGGTGAATCCTGTTCAACATCATCACTATGTATAACACTAATCTGTTGTCCATTATTATCATATGCATGTATAACGATGCCAAGATTTGTTTCTGGATTTTCAAACCATTTTGTTAATAATTTTTCCATACGAAAATGTATCCAACCACCTTTACGTGTTATATTATTTGATATTCGTTTTGATTTCACCTAATTGATAAAGTTTGAAATATGAAATAAAATGGATGAAAAAAAAAACAGAATCTTACCAAAACTAATGGTGTATGACCATTACGTACAACCTGATAGATGACTATCCATGAATTTGTTTTCAATTGTGATGATGATGATGATGATGATGATGAACCTTTCATGTAAAGCCATAGAAATGCTTTCTGTACATGTAAATGATAGATATTGGATGGAAATTTAAAATATTGTAAACGTAAATCTTGATCAACGATACGGTCGAATGGAGCTAGAGAAAAAAAACAAAAAATTTTTTAAGAATTAAACGAGGGAAGAAAAAAAATTTAAAGTTTCAAGTGATTCGATTTTGGCTTTCATCATCATATAACTAAGGTGTACGGTATTTTTTGTTTGTTTGTGGTTCATTTCTACCAATCTGTGACACACACACACACAAACACAATGATGACCGAATGATAAATTACCTTTGTAGATGATTTTACTCTGCACATTCATTCAATTTTTTTTTCTTTTATTTCGGTGAGAAACCGTTGAAGGTCATCATCATCATTGGATGACCTCTTCAGAGGCCATATATACACACAGGTGTGTGTTACCATACGAACTTGACCTGCAATGTGTGTGTGTGTGTGTGTGTGTGTGTCAAATAAAATATATATTTCAGCTGTTGTTGTTGTTGTTGTTGTTAACCATTGATATTCATTCATTCATTTTTATTTCCAGTCAAAGATTATTGACCTTTAACTTTTCTCATTGATGGTAGAAAAAATAAAATAAAAAAGTTCAAAAAAACTTTGCCCAATTCTAAGTCAGTCAGTGTGTCAAAGGTCAACAACAAGGTAAGGTAAGATTATATTGTGGGAAACAAAAAAAAAAATAATATGTATAGATAGATGGATTGATAAACCGCAGACACACAATGTATTTTGGGTAAAAACTTACGTTGTTGTTGAGCAAAAACGATTGATTTTTCCGTACTAACAAATTCATTATCATCATCATTATCATCAACATTGGCAGTACCAAAATCAAGATTATTAATTGGTCCAAAATAATCGTTTATGCCAAGAATTTTTGTCATCATTTTTGGTGTACCATCAGATGATGATGATGATTGATCATTCATCATTTGTGAAAAACGATTCAACATTGAATTTATTGGCGGTATTTTTGGCAATAGTCGTATGCTAACATTTGGTGCACGTTCCATATTCAATTTGTTCAATATGTTCATTTTAATTGATTCAATACGTAATTGTCTAGTATGTTCATCATTTAAACATGATGTACAATTACGATTCATTCGTATCATTTGTGATTGTTGTTGCTGCTGTTGTTGTTGTGATTTAGTAGTGATTTTCATTGAATGATGATTATGATGATGATTTGATTTCGATTCCGAATTCTTCAATGGAACTTTGTTATTTTTTATAGTTGATGATGGTGATAATGATGATGAATTTGAATAATAAACAGATGATGAGGATGATGATAATGATGAATCATCTGACAACATTCGATCATCATTATCATTCATAGATGACGTATGATTTTTGTTATTGTTTGTCCATCTTCGAGATCTTTCATGATTGACTTGTTGTTGTTGTGATGATGATAATTTTGTTGTCGGTGATGATGATGATGATGATGATGATAATGAGATCACGGATAAATTGGAAAATCTATTATTATTATTATTATTATGAACTAAATGCCAATTATCGATCAATTTTTTAATAGCATCGTCTAAATTTGTTTCAGCTAATATTGTATCAGCCAATAATAAACGTGTTGTTAACGATATGTTCATTGATGATGATGATGATGATGATGATTGTTTATTTGTTCGGTGGTCATCATTATTAATATTTGCATCAACAACAACAATATCGATGGCTATCGATATTAGTATTATGAAAAATAAGCTAGAAAGTAATAATTTTTTCATTAATTTTCTCGATACTGATGTTGTCGTTGTTGTCGTTGTTGTTGTTGTTGTTGTTGTTATGGTTTTCATTAAATTATTGGAATTCTTTATCATTGTCATCCTGCTACTACTACTACTACTATTAATATTTCTACTACTACAACAATGGTATTGTTTGGAATTCTTATTCTTAATATTAATATGTTGATGATGATGATTGGAATTTTGAAGATTTTGAATCTTTATTGATGATGAATTATTATGATGATAATGGCACTGATGATGATGATGATTATGATGATTATAATTTTGTTTTAAATCATTAATTTGATCATTTGATGATGATATTGATGATGATGATGATGGTGAATGATGATGTAATGATGTTTCATTCATTGAATGATGTACTGTCGATGATGGTGATGGTGATGATGATGAAATAAAATTCCAATCATACAACATGATCATTATGGCTAGATTCTAAGATTCTGATATGGCACCAAATAAGTCAGATGTTTAACCACAATGTGTTTCGATGTGTTTCAAACACACACAAATCTAAATATACGAAAAACGGAAAAAAAATGATCAATGAAAATTCAGATAGAAAGAGAAAAATCTGGTTCATCATCCTTAAACCACGCCGATCAAACAAATGTATCACAATATATGGATTTATAGTTTAAAATTAATTTTGTGACTTTGTTTTTTTTATCATGATTATCATCATCACCATCACCATCATCTTCCTCATGTCTACTCCCACAACTTTCATTTTCTTTTCATTTCAACACACACACACACACACACACACGTTATATCATAATCCTAACCCCTACAACAACAACAACAACAACAACAAAATAGTGTTGACGCCCATCGATAACCAAAAAAAAAACTGAACAGACCAAAATTCAAAGAAGAAACGAAAAAGTTTCAAACAACCAACCACCACAATTGGCAATTGATGATGATGATTTTTCTTTTTTTTTTTTTTGGATTGGTAACATGAAACTTGTGTATACAAAATGCTCCAGAAAAAAAACCAATGATCATCGATCATCATCGATAAATCCATATCTTTACTTTTTATATATATTCAGCTTAGATCAGCAATTAAAAAAAATTACGGTAGCAGAAGCCTAAAATCAGATATGCAACTTGTTGCTGTTGTTGTTTGATTGAAGAAAAAAAAATAAAATTTCATTAATCATCAAATTGATTGATTGATTGATCGATTTCTGGTAATAAACACCGTTAATGTTAAAACAAACAACATTGAGAAAAAAAAAAACAAATGAATATGCAAGAAAACGAAATAAAAAAAAAGAAGAAAAATTCAACGCAATCAGTTTAAAATTGATGAATTTCCGAAAATTTGTTTTTTTTTTGATAAATAATTTTGCGGTAAATTGAAGAGAATAAAAATTCAAGTGAGAGAGAGAGAGAGAGATAAACGGAAAAACGGAAATCAAACATCATCAAATCATTGTTAATTCATCCATTTTTTTTGCAACATAATGGTTAATCATCATCATTTAAATAGATGATGATGATGATCACTTAATAGGCAATAAATCAATAAATTGAACAAAAATCAATAACCAATAACCAATAATAGTAATCAATGGCTAAAATGGGTGAAACACACACACACACACACACACACACACAACATTTGTTTCCTTTTTTCTCTCTCTCTCTCTCTCGCTCTTTCTTCCTGATAAATTGCTTGTGGTGAACAAGATTTCTTCGTTCTCCTTTCTGGTGACCAAACAGTTACATAGTTAATCAATTTTTAGCAAACATTTCATTTTTCATCTTTAATTTGTTGCTGCTGCTGCTGATGATGATGATTTTGTCATATTTTTTTTTCTTTCATATCCACTATGTGCTTCCTCATATATCCAAATTTATATTACACTGGTTAACACTTGTATCAACAAGTGATGTTTCAATCCTTTTTTTTCTTTAGATTAGCAAAAAAAAAATTCCAACTACAACAACAACAACAACAAAAAAAACTGTCATCAAACAAAGTTATGGCCAACCATCAAAAATGAATCGGTTCCGATGAACAACAACAACAACAAAAAAAAATTCAGAAAGAGAGCAAGCAAAGCATGCAAACAAGTGGAAATTTTTTTTTTTTTTTTTTGATTGAATCAACAAGTGATGATGATCATCATCATAAAAAAAGCATTACGAACACACAGACATACATCGGGGACGGACTGACTGACTGACTGACTGACAAGAAACGAATAAAAAAAATGCACTGGAAAAAATCAAAATGTAAAATGATACTTGGTATTAAAAGAGTTAATTTTTTTTATCTATCAAAAAAAAAAAAAAAAAAAAATGAACAACGATACAATGTATTCAATCTGGTTGATTGGCCAATAAAAAAAAAATTAAATAAATCCGAAAGCAAATAAAAAAAAAAAAAAAAACAAACACGAATGAATTGTAAATCAATCAATTGACGATGGTCACCATCATCATCATCATGATCATCCAATTCAGGTTTTATTGATTATTTTTTTTTTATTTCAAAATTTCCTATCATTATCGTTAATCTTGATGTTTTTTTTTCATGTTTCAAATGTCGTCGTTAATCGTCGTATGGTCATTATTATCTTTGTTCATATTTAAGTGCGTGCTTGCCTCTTGTTGATGGCATGTGCATATTTTTTTTTTTTTTTGTTTTTAAAAAAGGAGATTTTTCCAAGATTAAATTCATTCCATTTGCAAAAAAAAATGCAATGAATTCAATGGGGTTTTCTTGTTTTTTTTCCACTTTTTTCTAAAAAAAAACACCAAGCAAATTCATTAATCCAATATACATGAAGGATACACCTCATATATATATATATTGGATGATGTGATAAAGATAAAGGACTTTGGCCTTTCGTCATCATCATCATCATTATCGCCTCCAGAATTTGTCAAAATTCTTGTAGAAAAAAAAGACCTGTTGTTGTTGTTGTTGTTGTTGTTGTTATGTTTGTTCAATGAATGATCGACCATCCAATGTTTATAATTTGATCATCATCATCAACATCGTCGTCGTCGTCGTTTTTTTGAAATATAAATCCTCATCACACATATCAATCAATAATCAACAAGATCATCATCATCATCATCATCATCATCATCATCATCATCATAAATTCAATGCTGATTGATTACTAATTATAGAATTTCTTCTTCATTTTCTTTTTTTTTTTATTCAAGAAAAATAAAAAAAAAACCGAAAAAAAAGTCAAATGAAATGAAATGATAAGATGATTTTCATATTTGGAAAATAAAATTTTTTTTTTTGTTACACTGGAAAAGAAATATTCAATGATTCAAAAAAAAAATTTTTTTTTTTGATTAGCTAATGTTGTGAGAAGTGTGTGTGTGTGTGTGTGTGTTGTTTTTCGATATACCATAAAATGAAATGAAGATTAAAGATTAATTTTTGACTTGATTGATTGATTCGATTTGATTGATTGATCGGATGATGATGATGATGATGATGGATTTGATATTGGCTTTTATTTTCATGGATGTGCTTATGGGCTGAGGGGGAGGAATGTATTTTTTTTTTTTTTTTATTTCAATGGAAAAATTCAGTCAACATTACCTTTATTTTTTTGGTTGGATTTTTGGGTCAAAGAAATTCAATCGATTGGTGATTCTACAAAGAGTTTTTTCAATCACTGAAAAAAAAATGACACACACACCGAATTTACATTTTTTTGTGGGGATTTCGTGACAGAGACAAAAAAAAATCATCAAAATTGGTCACATGTTGTTGTTGTTGTTGTTGACGATGATGATGATAATGACGATGATGATGATGAGGATGATGATGATGATGATGATGATGACGAAGAATTTGGCCAAATGAAATAAAAAAAAATTGATGAATAAATGATGGAAAAAGACGAAAAAATACTAAAAATAACCATTCAAAGTGTTAATATTGAGAAACTGATCACTGATTGACAGATTTTTGCTGTTGCCAATATGTCACACACACACACACACACACACACACACGTCTAAATGCGTTTTTTTCTGGTTCCAATCAAATCGTGATCCATCAATTTATCATTTTTTTTAATTTGGATTCAGATCCAGGAAATTGTTCTGTGTGTGCGTATATTATTCTTTATTGATTGAAATGAAAACTTTAATCTGGGTCCAGCAGACTATTTATATATAAATGGCGACGATTTTCAAAATGAAAAATACAAAAAAAAATGTGATCATCATCATTGGTTATGATGATGATGATGTTTGTATTGAACCAAAATTGGCTGGTTATGTTTTTTTTTTACTTTTTCAAATTCAAAATGGAATAGAGAGAGAGAGAGAGAGAGAGAGGGAGAGAGCAAAATTAGAGTGTGACTGTTTGACAGGATGAAAAAAAACGAGGTGGTGGTGTTGGTGGTGGTGTGTGTACTCATTCATTGTGTAGGGGTTGTACCAGCCTACCTACCTACCTACCTACCCACATAACTACCTTGGTTTTTTTTTGTTTTCATTTATTTTTTTTTTTGGTTTGCATGTTTTTTTTTGACCAGAAAAAAATGCACATTGTGGATCATTCATGTACATCAATCGAATCAATCAATCAATCGATGATGGATTGATTCGATTGATTCACTAATCAAAAAAACAACAACAACAACAACAATGAGAAAAAAGTGAAAGTGAGACATCATTTGCTGTCTGTGTGCGTGTGTGTGTGTGCGTGCGTGTGTACGTCTGTCGTTTGATTGATAATTGAATCGATTTTTTTCATTTTTTTTTTTTTGAAAAATCAAAATCGATATATTCACAATTGAATATTTCAATATCATTATTGATCGTCTGCGTCTGGTCGGCGTTTGTTTTCATTTTTTTGTTTTGTTTCAATGAACCCTTTTATGACTTGATTGATTGATTGATTGATTGATTGATTTGATGATGATGATGATGATGTCCGTTTCTTTTTAGATTTCTAAATTTTCATCTCTCTCTCTCTCTCTCTCTCTCTCTCTCTGAAGATTGTCTGACTTTT